CATTCTAAGTAAACAAAGGGAATTCAATAAGAAAAGATTTATTTTACATTTTCCGGCCGACATTTTATTTCTTTGTCATTCGACCTTTCGTCATCACAGTTTCCTTCTATTCTAACTCGTGATCTGAAAGTTCTTATCTTTCGCGCGTTGTAACCGTTTAAACACTTTCGATGTCGTTCGCGCGAAACGAAATTCTTCCTTTTACTTAATACTCCTTTTACTCAATAAAACGGGTTAAGTGGATATGTTACCGTGAATGATCGAAATCAAGGGAATGTCAACTTTCATTGGTGAATGTTAACAATCACATCGTCACATCTGTGAATGTCCGAAATGTTTGTTACATCCGATTTTATATTAATTTATTAGTTGATATTATTATATTTATTCTATATTTTAATATCTGCTGAAGATAGATTATGAAAAATATCAATGTTCTGAGTACCTGTTAAATGCATACTGGGCAGTGGCACTTAACCTTAAAAAACATCAGTGTAGAGTATACCGGGCAGTGGCACTGAACCTTAAAAAACGTTGTAGGGCATACCGGGCAGTGGCACTTAACTAGACCTAGTATATATTTGGAGCATTTTCCAAAGCGATTGTCAACATTCACCGGTGGAAGACAACAACCGCCAATTTTGGTCATTCACAGTAATAGATACATATTATCATCCAACTATTTTGGCAGAAAATCAGGTGTCTTCTCATGACGATGACGTATAGTTTATTAAAATAAACTTATTGTAAAATTTAAAAACTAAAATGGTTGCTCAAATAAGGAAATTTAACAATGATTTGATCTTTATAGTTTACCCTTCTTCAGTAATAAATATAGTGTGCTATAGTCCCAATAGGCGATCTACCTGTGTAGTTATTTTACGGTATACAGAGCTGCGACATTTAACCTTAAAAGAATATCATTGTAGGGCAATATTCTCACTGGCTTTTAACTTACCCGAGCAATTTGGCTAATCCTCCAGAAAAAACATGTTAGTAAAATTAATTCCTCCTCTCACACCAAATTACTGAAAACTCAATTATCAGTTATACAAACTACAAAACGAGTTCTGATAAAATATAGTAAAAAACATTTAGAAATATTTGACTTTCTAAATAAATGACTTAAATCTGAGAGATTTAAAAAATTCTTTTTTTTTTTTGACGGTCTCAAACTTTGACGAATCTGTTCGTTCACTTAGCCCCCGAATGAGATGTCTTGTCGTAATTTGGTTCAATGCAAAACGGCAGTAAGAACTCTGGTGTCGAGCATACCGGGCAGAGGTACTTAATCTTTTATTTTTATTTTATCCGTAGTTGAACAGCCGACACAATTTTGGGTTTATGACTTCTAATGTTCAACTCCGCAGCCTTGTAATTTTGAACCAATCCAGAAGACAAGTAAACTCCTGAATCAGTATCCCCAGAAGTATTGATTTGTTATGGGAACATGGAGGACTTTGCTACTCGACAGATTTAACTTGCATCAGTCACCATTTATTACAAAGAGAGTCTTCGATCAAACTCACGAGCTCTTGGACATGGGCCCAGTGCCCTACCAATCAGACTATCCCTGCCCGCTACTTAATCTTTTAAAAGAAATCCGAATTTGATGCTTTTCAATGTTAAGTGCCACTGCCCAAAATACCTAACATTTTTTTAAGGTTGTGTTCTACTGCCAGGTATACTTTTTTTCGGTATACCCTATTGCGCACTACTACATAAAATAACTGAACAGATAGATCGTCGATTGGTAATACACCTATAGAATAACCACTTTTAAATTTCTAGGACGTATTTCTTATCAAAAAAGATGAACACTGGTAAATCATTTATTTCATGTTTAACATTTCTCTTGAATAACCTTGACATTCATATTCACCTGAATATTAAAAATAAATAAAAAATAAACTATGCTTGATTCTGTAGTTATAAAATTGCTATATTTTCAAACCAGATTTGCAGATACATTAATAAAATATACATTTAGGGCATGCGCTCTTTTTCAAAAAGATAAAAGAGTGGTAACTTATTCATTTTATTTTTGGCAGACATCTGCAAAATTAAGACGTTATCGTTTTACAACTAAATTTAAGTTTTTTTCATCACTTAAAGTATTAACAAGTTATCCCTTCCGGGTAAACGTTTTTGTTTCACTTTTAACTAGGGTTTTTAAAATACATATTAAGAGTGATTATTACAAAGCCACCTAGGGGGCTAGTCGAAGGTCGATTCTCTAATAAATTCGTTAACGCTATAATTTCTTTTGTCTTGTTTTTGTAATTTCACGTTACTTTTAAAACATTTTTGAAAATAATAATATATGTAAATATTGCTCCGTCACTTTAATGTATAGTTACAGTATTTTGCATTGCATAATATGATACTTATGAAATAAAGGTTTTATAGCTGTAAACATGTCAAGTTACTACGTTTTACATTTAAAAATATGATGCATATTAAAGTAAAATCTTATTGCTGTTTATAACATAAAGAACTTAATTTTACATTTGAAAGCATGATACTTAAATTTTACAGCTGCAATTTGTCTTAACATATAGTGCCAGTTTAACTTAAAATATAGTACATGTCAAGATGCTATTTATTACATTAAGAAGTAGGATATTTTTAAAAAAGTTTTTTTTAGCTGAAATTTATGTAAACATTTCAAGTTACTACATTTAACATGCTTTTATATAAAAAGCTTGGCACTTATTAAATTAAGTTTTTCTTGTTAAGTTACTAGAATATTATTTGTTACTAAAATATTATTCGTTATTAGAATATTATTCGTTACTAGAATATTATGTAGAATATTACTCGCCGACGATGAGACGAAAAGAAATTATATTTATCTAGTTGTTGATAAGTATTGGACAACATTGTTATCTATGTCAATATACACACATTTTGTCGGAAAAGATAGAGACACTTGTTATGAGTTAAAGAAGTAGCTTCTAGAAGTTCAGTTTATGTCAAGACTTCGAATTTTCAGGAAAGGCAAAATACATTGTAGCGGTTAATTTATTTTTCAAAAAAAGCGTAGAAAGGAGAAAGTATTACAACCAGTACTTCATATTTTCTGAAAATAGACAATCCTGATTGATACTTATTTTTCATACTCGGCATACCTTATAATTTATATAAATAATTAAATTTAACTAAATCAAATAAAAGTTAACGAAAAGAAAGTTTTTGTAGAACGCGTATAGGTTTGAATAGGAAGTGAGCTTTCAATTTAACGTTTTTTCAACCTTTTTTTTTTTTAAATACATTTTCTGAAGCATTTCTTATGCTATATTTCATACCATTCAAACCGGAAGAAACTTATTCACTAATCTACTTATATCGTGTAAAAATTCCTTTTAAAATATACTCAACTTTTCGATTTATTAATATATAGATTTTAATGAGTCCTCTTCGTAACTTCGGAGAAAGTTTAACAATTCCGAAACAGTAAAAAAAAATTTGCTGAAAATTGAGAATTTTTCTGAATTCGCTAACAGTACTTTACTTTCCCAGTATATTACTTTTTCACTTTTTGTAATATATTTCCAGTATATTACTTTTTCACTTTACTTTAGTATCAGTATTTACTACGAATACTGGTTTTTACTTTCAGTGCTTTATATTTTCTGAAAATTGACACTCCTGCTTTATACTTGACTTATTCTTATTTCAAATTAAATTTTTAAACTCTGAGTACCTTATAATTAATGTAAATAAATACATTTAACTAGATCAAATAAAAGTTTACGAAAAGAAAGTTTTTGTAGAACACGTATAGGTTTGAATAGGAAGTGAGCTTTCAATTTAACGTTTTTTCAACCTTTTTTTTTAAAANTTTAAATACATTTTCTGAAGCATTTCTTATGCTATATTTCATACCATTCAAACCGGAAGAAACTTATTCACTAATCTACTTATATCGTGTAAAAATTCCTTTTAAAATATACTCAACTTTTCAATTTATTAAGATATAGATTTTAATGAGTCCTCTTCGTAACTTCGGAGAAAGTTTAACGATTCCGAAACAGTAAAAAAAAATTTGCTGAAAATTGAGAATTTTTCTGACTTCACTAACAGTACTTTAGTTTTCCAGTACGTATATTACTTTTTCACTTTTTGTAATATATTTCCAATATATTACTTTTTCATTTTTTGTAATATATTTCCAATATATTACTTTTTCACTTTTTGTAATACATTTCCAATATATTATTTTTTCATTTTACTTTAGTTTTATTTAGTATTTTCATTTTACTTTAGTACTGCGAATACTGGATTTTACTTCCAGTGCTGTATGTTTCCTGAAAATTGACAATCCTGCTTTATACTTGACTTATTCCTACTTCAAATTAATTTTTTAAACTCTGCGTACCTTATAATTAATGTAAATAAATAAATTTAACTAAATTAAATAAAAGTTCACGAGAAGAAAGTTTTTGTGGAACATGAAAGGATTCTTTATCAACTACGTCAACCTTCATCTATCAATAATTACCTCATGATAATAACAAGTTAACATGTGTTATATACTAGTGAATTGGTAATTAATAGTTATAGTGGTAGTTACGCCCCAAACATATATAGAATTGTATAGGAAATGAGCTTTCTATTTAACATTTTTAAAGCTTTTTTTAATATATTTTCTGAAGCATTTCTTATGCTATATTTCTTTCTTATGCTATATTTCATACCATTTCAAACCGGAAGAAACGTATATACCAATCTATTTATATCGTGTAAAACTCCCTTTTAAAATATACTCAACTTTTCAATTTATTAAAACATAAATTTTAATAAGGCTTCTTCTTCGGAAAAAGTTTAACGATTCCGGAACAGTGCAAAAGTGTTGTTGGAACTTGAGACATTCTCTAAATTCAATTCAATGCAACCAGAAATAAAAGAAGGTGGAAAAACAACAAATAGATCACGTTTCAAACCAGTTTCCGCATCTTCAAATTTCTGTTACATAACCTCCTCTGACACGAGGTGTCGAACAAAAAATAAGTTGGTATAAATCCCTGTTACAATTTCTTTCAATCCTGCTTACGACGATGTAAATTCGAACATGTGTTTCGATTTACAACTGTGGCCTTGTTCAGCACTTTCTCGCTCGTAGAGGATGATTATTTTCTGACCGATTTGCTAATGATGCAGGAACTGTCGGATGAAAGTAGTATCGCCGATTCGTACAGTGTGGGAAGTTTAGGTGACAGTGCAGAGGATTTGCTGGAATATGAGAACAAAAAATATTCACACCTTTGCATAGTGACTTATTGGACGAAAGAGAAGGTCGTGTGTGCCTTAGATGTGAGTATTCGTTTGAAGAATTGGATGAGGGGTTTTTTTAATTTTAAAAAAATTGTTTAAATCATTTATGATGATGGTCAATTTTGAAAATGTGCTTGAAGTAAGTTGAACTATAATTTTAAAATTAATTTTCAGTCGAATGGAAAAAGCGCGTAAAATTTTAAAAAGTAAATAAATAAATTGATGAATTTTGAAAATATGCTTGAAATAAGTTAATCATATTTTTGGAAGTATTTTTCTAACTAACAAGAAAACGCATTAAAATTTTGGGGAATGAATAATAAATAAAGAAATTTGTGAATTTTGAAAAAGATGCTTGAATTAAATGGATCATACTTAAATAGTAACTTCCAACCTAAATTGAAAGCAAGTAAAATTTGAAATAATCTTAACAAATAGCTAATTTCATGAATCTTGAAAATATGTTTAAAGTAAATTGAAAAAATTTATTACGTAATTTTTAAACTAATGTAGAAACATATAAAATATGAAAATAATAATAGTAAAAAAATAATTTGGTGAATTTTGAAATTATGCTTGAAGTGAGTTGAACGTATTTGTAAAGAAATTTTCAATCTATTGAGAAAGCACTTTTTTTTTTAAATTTGTAAATAAATAATTTTAAAAATTTGATCATATTTTATTCCCCACAAAGATTTTTATTTTAAAAAAATTCAACGAGACCATTAAAAATTCAAAACAGGGGATCCATAGGGTCAACTTGAAAAGCAAATTTCTTACTGGTAACAATATTTAAGTTTTAACGTGGACTTGGATACATGCCCTTATAACTGGTCCCTTATGATGGCTCTGTACTCATAGCCAGGGCCGGATTAAGACCTCTTGAGGCCCTAAGCACTGAAAATATTTTGGTGCCCCCCTCTAACAATTAGAAATACATCTGCTAGTAAGTCATATCATTCTAAATNATCCATAGGGTCAACTTGAAAAGCAAATTTCTTACTGGTAACAATATTTAAGTTTTAACGTGGACTTGGATACATGCCCTTATAACTGGTCCCTTATGATGGCTCTGTACTCATAACTGTCAATTTTTCTTCGTTGAAGGGGTGTTATAATGTGGTGGCACTGAGCCATGATGGCTCAGGTATAGAAGGTTCGCCTTCCAATGGTTTGAAACTCAGCGATGGCTGGTCAATACGAATTTCGTATCCGGCTTCCACCGACCACAGTGCTGATGTAAAATATCCTTCAGTGGTAGACCGATCATGGGTTAGAGTTCCTTTGCTGTTACGCTAACCGTTGTAGGTTTTCGTGCTTTTCCTCTCCATGTTACACAAATATTAGTTAGTACCATCAAAAAGTCCTGAAAGAAGGCAAATTTCTCACAATACTTGATCCAGGAATTCCCTTGTCTTCTGGGCTGGGATCAAAATTGTAGGGCTACGGAGGTAAACATTGGTAGCCGTAAACGTAAATTTTGGTCGGCTGTTCAACGACGGTTATAAAATAAAATGTGAAGGTATGATCAGAATTTGAGTTGTAAGAAGAATTGTTAGATAAGTTTGTAACTTTATGAAAACTGTAAAACAAAATTCTAAGAATTGAGGTATTTGGCTACTTGCATGTCTTCGTACCTAACCTTAAAACTAGCCTTAAAGCTCGACTTTTATTTGAATATGCTTGAATTGTTCCATTTTTAATGACTGATATAAAAAAAAAATTTTTTTAACTTTCCTATTACAAATATTACTAACAAAAAATTTTCTTCATCGAAGCTATGTCCTTGTTTTACTTGAACACCTTTGGACAAAATTTTCGCATTTAGTATATTGTAACGATAGAAAATAAATACGAATTTAAAAGTTAAGCCTATAAAAAATCATAAAAATAGTTTCAAAAATATAATACAAACTTTGTAAATTAATTAATTTATACTTATATAAAGATTCCAACTTTCAAAATAATAATAATTGCAAATTCCTTTTTTAAATAATCAATGTTTTAAAATACAACAAATCAAGCTTTTAAATCTTTGAAACAATAAGTACTGGAGTAAGACAAAAACATGAGAAAACTTTTATGCTAACCCTATGAAACCACTATAAATTTAAAATTATACTTTTAATATAACAAGCTTAAAGAATATTTTCAACTATGTTGGTATTAAATAAGGAAATAGTCTGTCAATCTGCTTCTCTCATTTTAGTAAATTCAAATTTTGCATGAAACTGTGTTAAGTGTGTCTAAAAATTTAAGAAAAAAAGGAGTTGCCTAGAAAAAAAGTAGTAATCAATGCAAAAATAAATAAAATGGGTTCAGTTTTATAACCTACTTCTTTTAGTATATTATTTAAAATTTTAAAAAAAAACTGAATATGTATAAAACATCTGGGCACCTGAAGCCGCTTGCGGCCCTTTTCCCATTCATCTTTAGCTTGAACTTTGTGGTTGCTCCAATGAGGTTGTGGAATACAAATGAAGTAAAGGAGTATTCCTGTGGATCGTTGAGGTTCTGACTGTGTAATTATATGCAGTAGGGTGATATTTCAAATATGTATATGCTTTTTAATGTAAACACGTATCTTTCTGGCATTAAAATTCATTTACATTTGAAATAAAGGTTGTTTGTATAGAAATGTTCAGTATTTTTATCTAACCCCTTTATAGTATTTTCATCTGAAACAACTGATCCATATAGATCGACTTTCGGCATTCAATTCCCGTAGCCTCTTAATTTTGAGCCCAACCAAGAAGGAATTCTGGAACAATAATTGGTACACACTCACTTTTGTAAAGTGTCTTTTTTTTTAATACGCTCAGATACAGTGTCATAATTTATCGACTTACTTGTCAAGAGCGCCAAGTTGTTCAGGTACCTTGAATCATTACAAATATAAAAATAACTTAATTTAAATAAATAAAAATATCGTTTTCAAATGCGCCTAAACAGCCAGTTCATTATGAGAAGACTCTAGTAGGGACATACTATATGGCATTCTCGAACTGGGGACGACAAGGAACTCTCAATCCTTTTGAAGTGCTCTTACCACCCATCCAAGTTTGCCATCCAATAGAAATATCTTCATAAATATAGAATTATGAAAATTTGATTGCTAAGATTTTATCCCCGTAACAGAACAATTGCATAAAATCAAACAAACAGAAACTGTATTTTTAATCAACTAAAAACAATCTCAAAACTATAGCATTCATTTTTTTTTTTTTTTTTTTTTTTTTTTTNTTTTCATTTTTTTTTTTTTTTACAAATAAATTCAGATGATTCCTTTAATATAATTTTTTTTTAAAATATTCAGATGTTTGATTTTTTGTGATTTGACAAGACGGTAAAATTATTTTTTCTTTTTCTTTCCAGCTCTCTTATATTGGACAAGACTGCTATGCCATTCCAAGTATTTTAGGCAAAATTTACGGAAGTCAGACACGTAGACTAGACTTAAGTTTTAACTCAATTAGGTAAGTGTGGAATACAGGGTGTCCTGTTAGCACCACCCTTAACACATACTTTTAATATATTTGCCAAAAATAAATTAATTAATTAAATACCGATCACTTTATAAAAATCTAATGAATCTCTACTCATGAAGACCAGTCTGAAAAAAAAGCCTATTTNCATGTCAAAAACCCATAGTTTTGGTAAAACTGTATTTTTATTTGAGTTTAACTGCTTGTAATTTAAAATTAATTCATTTTAGGCAATAAAATTAGAAAAAAAGTTGTTAAAAGATATTTAAGAACAGATTCTTGCATTTTCCCAGCATGATTATATCAAAACATACTATTTGAAACATATATTAGGATACTAAACAAAATTTTCAACATTTCCAGGCATCATTTTGTTTGGCATATTACATTACTGAAGAATGTCAAGTCATTCTTGACTTAGAGTTTGTTAGTAGCTACAAGTTTTGAAAGTTATTTCTAATATTTATTTCTAATATTTAAGAAATGCCAAATTTTAAATTCTTCTTTTTAGTTCTTGAATGTATTAATAGTTCCAAGCTTTTTTGATTGTTTGTTTATTTCTAACAATTAAGAAGAGCAAAATTTTGAATCCTTTGCAAATCAAGCTATAATGATAAAAATAAGTATCACTATTTTCAATAAGTATATTTCTATATGAATGTATATCCTTCTATAAGAATACATGTATATAGTTGCAAAATCAATAGCAATCATTTACAACATTCATTTATTCAATCATTTACAAAGGCAATTATGTGAAAATAATATATTGTCGGCTATATGCCATAAATTAAAGAAAACAGTAGGTTTTTGACAGTTTTTACAGGTAAAAACACGGTTTTTACCACTGTCATGTCAAAAACCAGTTTTTGACTGCAAAAACCCAACCCTGGTTCTTCTGAATGATTCTTTATCTTTTGGCCAATTTTCTTCACTTAATTCTCTTCAATCATTTTTGTCCATTCCAAATAATTTTACTTGATAGCAAATCAATAGCTCTGCATCTTCTTGATACGATATCAGCTGGATTATCCTTTCCCATGATGTACTTCCAATTAGTATGATCTGTTGAACCAGTGTAACCGGTGTCACCGATGCGAATATTGGAACGTGTCCTGTTAAGCTTTGGATCTCTTTTACTCTGTTTGAAATAAATGTCCACTGATTTGTATTTCCACGAATCCAACTCGTGGGACCAATATTAAATACGAAGATCTCGGGGTTCAAATCATTATAAAACGTCTTCAAAAGAAAATATATTTAATAACAAAACAAAAAAAGGTATGATATGAATGCTACAGTGTCTGAGGGGATTCTGAATAACAATTTACTTTTGCATTGCTGAGCAGAGCGCTATCTTTTATATTTTAGAAATATTATTAACAGGGGCCAGTCTTGCCCTTCCCAGATTGTTTGTGTGTAAATCAATTAGACATCCAAAATCTTAAAATATAATCATGAGTTATTTAATAAGAAGTGTATTAGAAACTCGGTCATCAAAGCTCTATGCTATTTTATTCTATTTTATTATCAAAAATGTTTGATCAAACGGAACACTTTTCAATTATACTTATGCATTTGTTTCTTAGATAATTGAGTTTCCTTTCCTCTATAAATAATAATTGAAGATATGTTGAAATACTCTCTTTTTTTAATGGAACTGGGGTACTTTATTCCTACTAAAGGATACCATATACTCAAACCAACTTGGGGTTATGGTATGGGATACCTACCAAAATACCATAGGGGCCACTCTGGCTCATCCCATCATTCTAGGTACGTTCCTATATTTATACGTTCCATTATTTATGCGTTTCTATAAGGCTAAGACATGAATCATTAAATAGGCACTTAAATTGGATCAAACTATGAAAAGTCAGAAGGACTTGATGCATTCAGAAGGTTAATTTTTTGAGTTATAGAGCAATAAGAAACGAGAGGGGCCACAATGAACTCACCCGTCTGCCTAGCGTTTCAAATTAATTTGCATTTAAAATGAAAACTGTTAGTATAGAAATTTTCCATATTTCTGTCCAATTCCTGTCTGGAGTATTTTCATCTTAAACAACCGATTCATATAGATAGGCTTTTACCTTTATAGATAGGCCGTAACCTTTTAATTTTGAGCCCAACCGAGAAGACAAGTGAATTCCTGACGCAATAATTTTATTTTATTTTATAACTGTCGTTGAACAGCCGACCCAATTTTATGGGTTTACGACGACTCATGTTCAACTCCGTAGCCTTGTAATTTTGAACCTAATCCAGAAGACAAGGGAACTCCTGGATCGAGCATTGGGAAAAAGTTGCCTTCATGGAGGACTTTTTGATGGAATCCGCATATGCGTTACATGGAAAGGAAGACCTCGAAAACCTCCCACGGTTAGCCTGACGGCAAGGGGACTCTAACCCATGAATCGTCTACAACGGAGGATATTTCACGTCAGCACTGTGGTCGGTGCAAGCTGGATGCGGAATTTGTATCGACTGTGATTCGAACCCGGTTCGCCGCATTGGAAGGCGAACGCTCTATCACCTGAGCCATCGCGGCTCTGACACAATAGTTGTAACACAATCGCCTTTCTAAAGTATCTTTTTTTTTAATACGCCCAGACATAATGTCATAACTTTGTCAACTAACTTTTCAAACGCGGCAAGTTGTTCATATACCTGTAATCATTATAAAATATAAAAATAATATAATTTAATTAAATAAAAGTATTGTTTTCAAATGCGCATGGGCAGCCAGTTCATTATGAGAAGGTTTAGTACTGGCATACCATATGGCATTTTCGGACTAGGGTTGTCCAGGAATTCTCAATCCTTTTGAAGTCCCCTTACCCATCCAAGTTTGTAAGATTTTATCCCTATAGCAGAACAATTGCATAAAATCAAACAAACAGAAACTCTATATTTAATCACTAAAAATAATCTCTAAACTGTAACATTCATGTTTTTTTTTCTTTACAAATAAATTCAGATGATTCCTTTAATATAATTTTCAAAAAATATTCAGATGTTTGATTTTTTGTGATTTGACAAGACAGTAAAATTATTTTTATTTCTCTTTCTAGCTCTCTTATATTGGACAAGACTGCTATGCCATTCCAAGTATTTTAGGCAAAATTTACGGAAGTCAGACACGTAGACTAGACTTAAGTTTTAACTCAATTAGGTAAGTGTGGAATACAGGGTGTTCTGTTAACACCACCCTTAACACATACTTTTAATATCTTTGCCAAAAATAAATAAATAAATAAAATACCGATAACTTTATAAAAATCTAATGAATCTCTACTCATGAAGACTAGTCTGAAAAAAAAGCCTAGTTCGAAAGTTGAGAAAATTTAAAGGGTTTTTATTCTTCCAATATTTTTTTTTTGTGGCTTATCACTATTTCAATACAAAGCGTTAACCCACTAATACTCAGCTAAAGAAGGGGGTCCATGTATGAAAAACACCTACACGAAAAATTGGGTCACAATCGCCCCACTGATTGACACTAAACATAATTTTCATATTTGATTTCATTTTTCAAAGAATTCTTTAAAAAACTGTGATTGTCTTCAACAGGTCTTTAGAAAATGTCCAACTGTTTCCTGTTCTGGAAGAGCTGATTTTAGACAACAATGACCTGAATGATTTAGTCTCTTTCATTCCACTGCCTCACCTTCACACCCTATCACTTAACAAGAATCATGTAAGTATACACCCTTTAAGTTAACTTCTGTTAGGAAGCGCGTTGCTTACTTATAGACCAACGCAATTAAATATTCCTATTACAATGACGACCGTTCGTTTTCTTTTAACACATAGTAAAATAATAATAATTTTTTGGTTCTGAAAATAATAACTTCATATACAATAGTTCTTATTAATTGAAATTTGTCAGCCATCTTTTAATATTTATAAAGAGCAATATTTAGTATGTTTCATTCCTTCGGAGATCGTTTTTTTTTTNTGATCTAATTTTGTTTCTTTTGAAGTTTAAAAAAATAAAATTAAATTTTTTTTTTTTTTACCCATTGGCAAAATAGGTGCTGTTTTGGGTTTGATGGTGGGCGCACCTTATTTGGACGTCATCACACTTTTCAACTGTGTTCAAGAGTATTAATTAACAATGCACAATGCGTCGTCATTGCATGCATTGCTATGGCAACCGCTGCTGTTTGATATATGTTTTTTTTTTAGAATTTTTTTTTCACTTGTAATTATGCATTAAGTTGGTGAGCTTATGCCAATGGGTAACCTGTGACAGCCTTTCGGCGATCACATTTTTTTTAAAAAATTGGTTTCGAAAATTAAAGAAATTTCAATGTTGAACTGTTTCTCTTAAATCTAAATAACTGCAAATAAGCGCAAATTACTTTTTTTAGTAATTTCATTTTTTTTTTAATTTATTTAGTTTGCAAAATAATTTTATTACACGGATGGCAACTGCTGCCCTTTCCGACAAAGATTTTATTGAATGGTAGAAATTAATTTCTCTAAATATTCCGAATTCTGGTGAAAACAAAGAGATCTTAAATAACTTTTGGTCTAATGGTCGGATTTTCAGGTTCTAAGACTCGATCGTAATGGTTCGATCTCAAATATGTTAATTAATTAGTGCTGACGATATTTTAGATTACGAAATCAGGCACATAAACGTACTTTCTATGAATAAACATACCTTTTTTTCGAGAGATTCGGATTTCAGTAGCTCAAAATATAGCATTATAGTCCTCTATAATGCTATATAGCAATATAGCATCTCCCGTATGCCCATAGATGGGCGGGTCGGGGACATACAATAACTTATAGTCCTCATAGTTTCATCAGGAGAACGATCCAAAGTTCATGTTAATGTTATCTTAATGTTAATTTTACTTTTTCGTAATTCACCATATCTCGAGAACGTTTTGAAAAATTGAAACGAATTGAAAAATTTTAGTACACAATTACAAAATATAACTTTTCGCGTTTATTTATTTATCCTTTAGTAATATTCGAAAATTTTATTAAATTTGTAATGAAAATTTCTATTTTGTAAAATCTTTTAAATTTTAATTCGTATTTTAAACAATATTATAAAAATTTTAACTTGTTTTTTTTTGTTTAATATAGTTTTTAGATTTAGAAACCCTTCTTAAACAGTTGACTCGCTGTTATCCAGAATTGACGTACCTGAGTTTGCTTGGGAATCCGGCCTGTCCAGATCAACTTTCCAATTTGGAAAAAGATGACGAAGATTATCAAAGATATAGGTAGTTATTTTTTAACTGCATATATGGGATATTCAAAAGCATTTTAATTAGCGGTTATGGAGACAAAAGGTTCGATATTCGACTGTTGCATTTCTTTTAAAAGCTACAAAATATGGAAACACTTCTATACTTTCTACTGTTAACAATCTTGAGTCGTGATGGCTCAGGAGATAGAGCGTTAGCCTTCCAATGAGGTGAACCGGGTACGAATCCCTACGATGGCTGGTTGATACGAATTCCTCATCTGACCTGCAGCAACCACAGTGCTGACTTAAAATATCCTCAATGGTAGACGGATCATGGGTCATGGTCCCCTTACCATCAGGCTGACCGTGAAAAGTTTTCGGAGTTTACCTCTCCATGTAACGCAAATGCGGGTTAGTTCCATCAAAAAAGTTCTCCACGAAAGCAAATTTCTCCCAATGCTTGAACCAGGAGTTCCCTTGTCTTCTGTATCAAGTTCAAAATTATAAAGCTACGGCGTTGAACATTAGTAGTCGTAAACCCAAAATTGAGTCGGCTTTTCATCGACGGTTATAAATGTAAACAATCTTTCTTTTAGCAGCAAATGTTTTGCTTTTAAGATTTAAAATAATAATTGGATTACAGATTTTTCATAGCAAAATTGTCAGCTCAGTTTGGAGGATCATGCTCGAAGCTTTCAGAAATCATGTCTATTTTACCCATGCAAAATTTGCATCGACAAAAATGAGCGTAGGATGTTAAAAGCTTCTTTCAATTTCAGGAGAACTATAATTATTAAAAACAGGGCCTGTTTTAGAAATCCAGAGGCCTTAGGTACAAATCGTTCGATCCTTTAAGAAAAAGAAAAAAAATGCTAATGTCATTTACAAAATGCTTTTATAACTTTTTATATCACAAGCAAATTATAATATGTTTGTAAATTTGTGCTTATATTTTAAATGTTAATGAACTCAGAATTCTTACAGACAATTTTTAAAGAAAAACAATACACACAAATATTTGTAACGTTAAGAGGATCTCCAGACATGTGGGAACTGCTACGGGAGGGCCTCTCAGGCCTTATGATACACTATCTGGCCAAAACTATCCGGGAACCAGGTTGTTATAGTGGTGGAAGCATAATGGTATGGGGTGACATAGAGTATAGAAGTGTTTCCATACTTTTGCCCAATCCCTGTAGAATTTATTTTTCAATCCCTGTAGAATATCAATTTACAGAATTATTCTCGTTGTAATTACTTATGTCAAAAACAGGCTTAATGATGCAAATTTATAAAATACATTTCTAAATTAAGTTTTTTGTGACTTTAAAATTTCGAGCATTTTTTCGTAAGAAAAACTCGAGAAGGACTGCGTTTCTGATAGAAGTTAACCTTAACTGTTGAATGTTTGTCAAGAGTTAAAAAGATTATTCTCTCTGAAAATATTTATGTCCAAATTTAGGTTTCATTGTGCAGGATTGAAGAAATAATTTCAGATTTATCCCTTGAAGCATTAGGTTTCAACCGCAAGAAAATCTGGAGATTCAACTGTTCTTTTCACTAAAAATCATATCCTTATGATTCCAATTTACAGGATAACTATTGTTGTAAATAATTATATACAATAATTACAGTTATCACATTATTCAAATTTATAAAATTCAACTCCAAAAATCTTATAACATCTAAATTTCATGAAAATTTCGAGACTTATCTGCCCTTTATGTTTATAAGTTACTGTTTGAAAACAAAGTGTAGTGCATCATTTTTCGAAAGTCCATTCTCTTAAAGTGAAACTTTGCTAAACAATGAAAATTTGTGAAATTAATTTTTAGAGTGTCCCTTGTTATATTATAAATTAATTAAAATTTTATCTGGAAAACTGCCGTTTCTAGAATGAAAGTTACTACTCTAATCCAAAATCCATGTTACCATTTTNGTAACCTGTGACAGCCTTTCGGCGATCACATTTTTTTTAAAAAATTGGTTTCGAAAATTAAAGAAATTTCAATGTTGAACTGTTTCTCTTAAATCTAAATAACTGCAAATAAACGCAAATTACTTTTTTTAGTAATTTCCTTTTTTTTTAAATTTATTTAGTTTGCAAAATAATTTTATTACACGGATGACAACTGCTCCCCTTTCTGACAAAGATTTTATTGAATGGTAGAAAATTAATTTCTCTAAAAATTCCGAATTCAGGTGAAAACAAAGCGATCCTAAATAACTTTTGATCTAATTGTCGGATTTTCAAGTTCTAGGACTCGATCGTATTGGTTCGAGGAGGTGATCTCAAATATGTTAATTAATTAGTGCAGACGATATTTTAGATTACGAAATCAGGCACATAAACGTACTTTCTATGAATAAACATGCCTTTTTTTCGAGAGATTCGGATTTCAGTAGCTCAAAGTATAGCCGTATGGTCCCCCTAGTTTGATCAGGAGAACGATCCAAAGTTCATGTAAATGTTATCTTAATGTTAATTTTACTTTTTCGTAATTCACCATATCTCGAGAACGTTTTGAAAAATTGAAACGAATTGAAAAATTTTAGACTTAAAACAATTACAAAATTCGTTTATCCATAGATAATTCCATGCAAAATATAACTTTTAGCATTTATTTATTAATCATTTAATAATAGTCGAAAATTTTATTAAAATTGTAATGAAAATTTCTATTTTGTGAAATATTTTAAATTTTAATTCGTATTTTAAACAATATTATAAAAATTTTAACTTGTTTTTTTTTGTTTAATATAGTTTTTAGATTTAGAAACCCTTCTTAAACAGTTGACTCGCTGTTATCCAGAATTGACGTACCTGAGTTTGCTTGGGAATCCGGCCTGTCCAGATCAACTTTCCAATTTGGAAAAAGATGACGAAGATTATCAAAGATATAGGTAGTTATTTTTTAACTGCATATATGGGATATTCAAAAGCATTTTAATTAGCGGTTATGGAGACAAAAGGTTCGATATTCGACTGTTGTATTTCTTTTAAAAGCTACAAAATATGGAAACACTTCTATACTAATTCTAATAATAGCAATCTTGAGCCGTGATGGCTGAAGAGCGTTCGTCTTCCAATGAGTTGAACCGGGTTCGAATCCCTGCAATGGCTGGTTGATACAAATTCCGCATCTGGCCTGCAGCAACCTCAGTGCTGACGTAAAATATCCTCAATGGTAGACGGATCATGGGTTATAGTTCCCTTACCGTCAGGCTAACCGTGGGAGGTTCTCGGAGTTTTCCTCTGCATGTAACGCAAATGCGGGTTAGTTCCATCAATAAAGTCCTCCACGAAAGCAAATTTCTCCCAATGTTTAAACCAGGAGTTCTCTTGTCTTCTGGATCGGGCTCAACATTATAAGGCTACAGATTTGAATGTAGCAGTCGTAAACCCTAAATTGGGTCGACTTTTCAACCACGGTTTTAAGTGTAAACAATCTCTCTCTTAGCAGCAAATGTTTTGCTTTTAAGCTATAAAATAATAATTGGATAACAGATTTTTCATTGCAAAACTGTTGGCACAGTTCGAAAAATCATGCTTGAAGCTTTTAGAAATCCTGTCTATTTTACCCGTGCAAAATTTGCATCGACGAAAATCAGCGTAGGATGTTAAAAGCTTCTTTCCATTTTCTGTACAACTATAATTATTAAAAACAGGGCCTGTTTTAGAAATCCAGGGGCCTTATGTACAAAACGTTCGATCCTTTAAAAAAAAAATTTAAAAAAAATGCTAATGTCATTTACAAAATGCTTTTATAACTTTTTATATCACAAGCAAATTGTAATATGTTTGTAAATTTGAACACTTTTGAGACAAATTAGAGCTCAGATTACGTAACTAGTCAAATCAACCACGAGCATTCGCTTCAGCTTTGATGGAAGACCTGGAAGTCAATTCCTATGGCCACTTATCAAAAAACTGGTGGAAAGTCTTCCCAGACGAGTGCAGGTTGTCATCGATGCAAAAGGGGGACCAACATCATATTAATATGTACAGCAGGAGGCTCTAAGTTCATACCACTGGGTGTTCGAATGCTTTTGGCCAGATAGTGTAAATCAGACCTTGACTTAAGAAGCTTTCTAATAAAAATATTGTAAGTCTTAAGAATGATTTCAAAATTGCTGGTACTAATGCTAGAAAAATGATATTAGCTTCTTATTTTGGTCGATGTAAATTTTACAGGGTCGATCCAAATTTTTGATCCCATAACATTATTTTTAAAAACTTCAAGCATGATTTTTGAAAATTTTTGCCATGCAAAATCTACCAAAGCATTTGCAGCTAAAAGAAAGAGTGCTTACATAGAGTATAGAAGTGTTTCCATATTTTGCCCAATCCCTGTACTTCTTAAACAATAAGTATTTGATATCAATTTACAGGATTATTCACGTTGTAATTACTTATGTCAAAAACAGGCTTAATGATGCAAATTTATAAAATACATTTCTAAATTAAATTTTGTGACTTTAAAATTTCGAGCACTTTTTCGCAAGAAAAACTCGAGGACTGCGTTTCTGATAAAAGTTACATCTTAATTGTTAAATGTTTGACAAGAGTTTAAAAGATTATTCTCTCTGAAAACATTTATGTCCAAATTTTAGTTTCGTTGTGCAGGTTTGAAAAATTAATTTCTGATCTATCCCTTGAGATATTAGGCTTCAGCCACACATTCGCAAGAAAATCTTGAGATTCAACTGTTCTTTTCAGTAAAAATTACATCTTTATGATTCCGATTTACAGGATAACTATTGTTGTAAATAATTATATACAATAATTATAGTTATCACATTATTCAAATTTATAAAATTCTACTCCAAAAATCTTAAATTATCTAAATTTCATGAAAATCTCGAGATTTATCTGCCCTTTATGTTTATAAGTTACTGTTTGAAAACAAAGTGTAGTGCACCATTTTTCGAAAGTGCATTCAAGGGAAAATTTGCTTTAAAGTGAAAATTTGTGAAATAAATTTTTAGAGTGTCTCTTGTTATATTATAATTTAATTAAAATTTTATCTGAAAAAATTCATTTCTGGAAAACTGCCGTTTCTAGAATGAAAGTTACTACTCTAATCTAAAATCCATGTTACCATTTTACAGAAAAACTCTCATATAAAATATCATATTTTATAAGTATAAAAACAATTGAAGTTTTATTTCATATGTATTAGGAATAGTTTTTCGTTCAATTTCATTAAAAAAGTTTTAAATCATAAATGATAAAAATAAAAAAAAATTATTAAATCCTATACGCGTTTTGGTGTCACAATGGTAGACCCTTCTTCAGTATAATTAAACAAAGTGCCTTTTTAACATTTATGCTAAAAATCAAAAACATAATGAAACAATATTAAGCAACAATCGTATGTAGCATATAGCTCTATATATGCAGTATTTCTTAATTAGAGATGCCATGCAATTACATTTTGAAAGCAATTTTCTGTTTGATGCTTGTAACTGGTCTTATATCTGTAGGTATTATATTGTGCACAATATTCCGAAGTTGAAGTTCCTAGACTCGACGCCTGTAAAAGTATTCGAAAAGACAGAAGCTCAAAGGATTGGCGCATACATGAAAGTATCTCGACCAAGAATAGATGTTGCTGTAAGTTATCGGTGATGCTAATTTGATTTGAAATTTGCTCATTTTAGCATTTGAAACTGATTTTCATGTTTCATTTGATAAAAAAAAAAAAAGAATGTGTGCATTTTTTCGCCAAAAATTGACTTCAAACAACAATAACAAAAAATTCCACTTTTAACGAACTACCCATTTCTCTTAAAGATTTTTGTTAGAGTATATATGTATATATCTTTTTTTTTGCGGATATAATCGTGTGGGCTGATGAAAAGATTATATCTTTTATTTTCTGGTTTTTTTTAAAAAAAATTCAGCCTTTTTTCTTTCTTTTTTTTAAATCAGTTCTTTGTTATTTTTTTTTTTCATTATTATTACCCCCCCCCTTTGCATATGTCTGTAATTTTTCTTTGTTTTTATCTTCATTTTGAACACATCTAATGAATTCTGTTTACTTGTAGCTTATGCAAAATAAAAGAAACTTATTGTTTTTCTTAACTTTCTTCGTGTTTTCTTGTATTTATTTATTTTGTTGTATATATATATACAACATATGCTATATATATATATATAACTCTTTCCGTTATTACATATCATTTGCAATGAACAAGTGAGAAAATATTTAACTGTGAAAACGTTTTTGTGGCAGTTAGATAACATTACTCTTGCTTTTGATAAAGAGAAATGTTATCACTCTTAATACTCTTGTGAAAATATCTTAATCTACAAGGAAAAGATAATCCTGTTTGTTGGTGAAGTTCGAGAAAGAAGTGGTAATCTGTTTGCCATGTTAATCACTGAACGAAACACGGAGCAGGTTTGGCAAATCCAAATTGTAAACATTCGCTCAACTGTTGATTTTATATACTATCCAGTTCATTGTTTCCAAATGAAGTATCTAATGATAAAAACACTCTATTTGATAGGGAAAAAAAGTTTATTTTTCAATATTTAAAATAACTTTGTTAAAAAACGAACTGAATCGTTAAAAACTGAACAGAAAGTTAGGGGTCATTCCAACCTCACCGTTTGGACCGGGATACATAAGTTGAGGTCAATCTGCATAAAGTCCCACCGTGGACTGATAGTAAAGACACGGTTCAATGCAGAGCATCGAAGTCAAGCTTCACTGGATGTAAGCGGGTGGTTGACCACTTTGATCAGCCTGCCTAGTGACCGAGGGTGCGCGGTATCGGTCCTTGTTAAACTGTTCTACCGTAAAGTGCTCGACTATCTACCAAAGCGGGGATGACATTCCCTCCGCATAGGCTCAAAATGGGATAGCCTTGTCTTTGGATCATCCTCAGCGATGTTTCCGAGACCGTCGCCAATAGCCCACTGTGCAGCTCTACAGCAACGATAATCAAATACCTACCGATCTGCATGAAATAAAATACTTATTTTTCCTATTCATAAAGTTATAATTTCTATGTATCACTTTTTCCTTAACTTAAAAAAATGCAAAAAACCGTAAAACAAATATCATTAATCAAAATTTAACCAAAGTGAGATGTAATGCTGATCAAAAGACACGAGACTACAACGTGGCCGTAAAAAGTTATAGTTTCCATGTTAATAGTTTAATAATTAAATTGAGATACGAAAAAAAAACTTTAAATTTGATATAAAATTACGCAAAAACCATCTCCACATATATAACATTTTCATATTGTAATGTTCCTTTAACATTTTCATATCAATCGTATCTCAATTATTTAGAGTGAAAGCGTCTGAAACAGCTGTGGTAATGGCTGTAATTTTATTATAACCCTCTAAAAAGGCCAATATTTTATAATTTTTTCCAAAAAGTAGAAGATGGGTAATTTAATTATTAATTCTTGAAATTTATCCAGGGTAAACAAAATATTCGTGTCCACTATGATATATTACTAACAGAATTATGTATATTTTGATTTTAAATTATCCCACTTTAATACTGCACTTATCAGATACCTGATATTGCCTGATTTGGATGTGGGTGGGGATTTCAAATCTCAGTAGTTTTAAGAGTTTTTTTAAAACGATATTTTTAGTCTATTTTTGTCTAAATGTATAAGATTAAAAACGTTCTATATAGCAGGGCATCGCATAAAATTGTAGACAAAATTCTAGGGGAGTTATTTCACGTCAGGATTAAAACTGCATAGGTAACAATGCAAGATGCCATCACACGTGGCTAGTGGCGCTCCCTTTTTATGGCCTGTTCAAAATNCTTTCTTCGTGTTTTCTTGTATTTATTTATTTTGTTGTATATATATATATACAACATATGCTATATATATATATATATATATAACTCTTTTCGTTATTATATATTGTTCGCAATGAACAAGTGAGAAAATATTTAACTGTGAAAACGTTTTTGTGGCAGTTAGATAGCATTGCTCTTTGCTTTTGATAAGGAGAAATGTTATCTATCTTAATATTCTTGTTAAAATTTCATCTGCAAGGGAAAGATAATCCTGTTTGTTGGTGAAGTTCGAGAAAGAAGTGATACTCTGTTTGCCATGTTAATCACTAAACGAAACACGGAGCAGGTTTTGGCAAATCCAAATTGTAAACATTCGCTCAACTGTTGATTTTACATACTATCCAGTTCATTGTTTCCAAATGAAGTATCTAATGATAAAAAGAACTCTATTTGATTAAAAAAAGTTTATTCTTCAATATTTAATATAACTTTGGTTAAAAAAAAAAACTTTAACATTAAAAACTGAACAGAAAGTTCGAGATCATTCCAACTGGACCGGTATACATAAGTTACGGTCGATCTTCATTAAGTCCAGCAGTGGACTGATCGTAAAGACACAGTTCAATGCAGAACATCGAAGTCAAACTTCATTGGCTGCGGTCTGTAAGCGGGTGAGTGACCACTTTCATCAGCCTGTCTTGGGACCGAGAGTGCGCGGAATTGGACCTCGTTAAACTGTTCTACCGTAAAGTGCTCCACTTCTCGTTAACCTTCGTTGAGCTACCAAAGCGAGAATGACATTCCCCGCAGCATAGGCTCAAAATTGGGATGGCCTTGTCTTTGGGTCATCCTCAGAGATGTTTCCCAGACCGTCGCCTATAGCCCATTGTGCAGCTCTAGTGCAACGTTAATCAAATACCAACCGATTTGCATAAAATAAAATACTTATTTTTCCTATGCATAAAGTTATAATTTCTATGTATCACTTTTGCCTTAACTTAAAAAAAATGCAAAAAAACCGTAAAAAAAATATCATTAATTAAAGTTTAACCGAAATGAGGTGTATTTGCTCATCAAAAGACACGAGACTACAGCGTGGCCGTAAGAAGTTATAGTTTCCATGTTAATAGTTTAATAACTAAATTGAGATACGAAAAAAAAAAAACTTTAAATTTGACATAAAATTACGCAAAAACCATCTCCACATAAATAACATTTTCATATTGTAATGTTCCTTTAACATTTTCATATCCCCCCCTTCAATCGTATCTCAATTATTTAGAGTGAAAGCGTCTGAAACAGCTGTGGTAACGGCTGTAATTTTTTTATAACCCTCTAAAAGGGCCAATATTTTATAATTTTTTCCAAAAAGTAAAAAATGGGTAATTTAATTTATTAATTCTTGAAATTTATCCAGGGTAAACAAAATATTCGTGTCCACTATGATATATTACTAACAGAATTATGTATATTTTGATTTTAAATTATCCCACTTTAAGACTGCACTTATCAGATACCTGATATTGCCTGATTTGGATGTGGGTGGGGATTTCAAATCTCAGTAGTTTTAAGAGTTTTTTTTAAACGATATTTTTAGTCTATTTTTGTCTAAATGTATAAGATTAAAAACGTTCTATATAGCAGGGCATCGCATAAAATTGTAGACAAAATTCTAGGGGAGTTATTTCACGTCAGGATTAAAACTGCATAGGTAACAATGCAAGATGCCATCACACGTGGCTAGTGGCGCTCCCTTTTTATGGCCTGTTCAAAATTACGCGAAGAAATGCCTATAAAGAAGATTTTATACAAGAAACACCTTGATAGACTTATCGATTTGTTGCGTAAATGCTTTCTTTAATGCTTAATTTTTCTTTATTCGTAGCAAGAAGCTAGTGCCGAAGCTGATGCACCACGTTATTCACCACTTCCACCCACTACAAAACCCGGTGGAACGCATAGAGGTATTTTTTTATTTTTAGATTATTCAAGATCTATTAAAAATTCCTTGCTTGTATGAAATGATATTAAAAATTAAAACAATTCAAATCATTAAATAAACTACGTATTATAATTTATCAGATTTTCGCTTTACCATCTTTTTTTGTAAATTTTAACTACATTTTTAATCAACATATCCTAATATTGGACATTAATATGAATGTGTCAAAAACGATGGATAGTTTTAAGAAATCAATTAATATTGAATCATTCAATCAATTCAATTTGAGAAATCAATATATATATATATATATATATATAATGTGTTTGTTCTTAAAATTAGAAACGGAAAGATTAAAGTAAAAAGAAATTTAATAACACATCAATAAAAATGGCATTTTGTTATTTTATGTGTTTCTGGTCTCTATTAGATGATCATCAAAATAGCATTATCTGAAGGTTTCTGATGAAATATAGGTCAATTGTATTTTCACAAACTCTGTAATCACAAAAAGAAAAAATGAAATGAAATACATCAAAAAAGTAAAAGAAACAATAATTCCAATTTTTTGTAAATGACATTTAATTTTCTCTATTATTTTGTAGTTTTTCTTTTCAAAGAAATTTAAATAAGGCACCCAGTTCTTTACCAAAATGACTGTATACCCTTTTCTTGGAACCAGGTTTTTCAAATTTTAATTTAGAAAGAATTCAATTAATTAAAAAAAATACAATAACCTTAACTATTATGTCTTATTTTTTTTTAACTCGTTGGTTCTAAATTATTTGCTAATTTATTTAGTTTGGTAAAAATTACATTTGTAAATCATCCTTTTTGCCCGTACGTAAAGGCCTAGTGGATAATCCACTACTAAACATGCTTAAAATGGATATTTTTCTTATTCATTTTGTTGTTTATTTTGATTATCTTTCTTGAAGCAAAGCATTTCTGAAGTTATTTTGTCACTTTTCAGGTTCCTTTGGCAGATTAAAACAACGGTATACTGGAACACAGTCTGAAGGAAACAGATTTATTCGGGATAATGAACTTTAAAAACGTAAATATTTTAAAATTCTTTCAACTTAATAATATTAATCGATGTTCGTCATTGTTCTTTTATAATGCACCAGTGAAAAAAAGGTTAGAATTATAAAATATCGATCGAATCGAAAATGTTATCGAATAATATTGATAACTTAATTTTGCTAAATCTTTTATTTATTTCTTCCAAACACCATAGTTATGCTAAAGCAGAAAAACTTCCTCCTCATAATGAAAAAAAAAATAATCTTTTTTTTCTTCACATAGCTGCTAACATGTCTGAATATTAAGAAGAATGTCTATTAGTGATAGACGTTTGTATTTTCATATAATTAATTTTGATTTTTGAAAAATATTTGACGCATAATGGCAAAGGATAATAATTCAAAAATATATATATAGGTTTATCAGTTATGCGAGGTAGCTTCAGTTGGGTACCTGCAAGTAAATCATGGTATTTGTCGATTCAGTAGCCAATCAGGTTAATCACACACGTCTAATGTCGCTTACAGGTATCAAATTAAATCTTATCTAAATCACAGTTTAGCATAATCCCTTCTGGAGTTAATACCAAATTCTTAGAAAATTTTTTGTACTTTATTATTTTACTACATATAAAATCTTTTTCAACAACTGATTAAGTTTGCAGCTGTATTTTGATGCAAATGTCTCGGAATTTTAACATTCACAAATTTCTGTTAAAAGGATGATACACCTTATTTTCTGTTCGTAATTCTCTTGATAGATCAAAACCATCAGGCCTCAAAAAAAATTATTTGTTTTAGTGTGAATGCTTTTTAAACTTTAACTTACATACACTGGTGTGCAGTGAGTTATGTCTATAAATCATGTGTGAGCGACCAACAGCTAAGTTTTCGTCCTTGTTACAAAAGAAAAATCCTTCTGTTTATAGGTATAACCTGTCATACACTTAAAAAAAAATCGCTATTTTATTGATGGAGCTTTCAGTTTACTATTGAACCAGGTACTAATTGAACTATTAAAAACAATTCTTTTATATTTTCTGCTTGGAGTCCTCTTAAAATATCAGGACAATTAGAAACAAAGAAAGATAATTTAATAAATTATTTTGCGGTGTGAACTGAATGCTTTAAACTTTAACATTCATATATTGGTCAGCAATGTATCTAATTAAGAAAACCTATTTTCTGTTCTAGATTTGAAAAGCTTGTAAATTAAGCCTTGAATCAAGAAGGTTCATATTATTGGAGTCAAGGTGAAAAGGCACCTGCACGAATTCCACTATTGTTCTCTTTATAACACAAAATTCTTAGCAATGCAATCATATATTAATATAAAATTAACTACACATTTTGAAACATTTACTTCAAGAAATTTATAAGTACTAAAATTATTCAAAATATGATGCATTTCTTTTAGGATACAAGCCTTTAAAATTTAATCAATATTCATGAAATAACTTCATGTCAGTTTTCACTGTAATGGCAACTGATACCATTTTGAAGATCAAAAAAAGTTATGGTGTACCATAAAAAAAGTCTACAAAATGAGTCCCGTCTATTACTTTTTTGATAAACTTGCTCTATTATTTTGTGTTGTGTTTGTATTTTTTAATTAACTATCAATTTTTTCAATGTAAATATTTACAAAGAAAAAACTGAAATTTATAAATATTTAACTCAATATTCAAATGTTCAGCTAAAACCCAATGTATTCAATTCTAGTCAAAAGACGAGTTCAATATCTTTTTTCAAAAACTCAATTATACCTTTTTACACTGAAACTGTCACCTTTTTTCTTGTAAGTTTTTGGTTTCTAAAATAAAATAAAAACCTGTTAAGATATTTGTACCATTTAACAAATGTAATAAAAAATTATTTTATCATAAGAATGACTTGTTTATTTCAATTTTATATTGTACTTTTTAACCATTTTTATATAGACTTGTATATTGCTATTAAAAAACTTAATTCTTATTCCTTCTATTCTTTTGTTGTTATCAGAAAGACAAGAAATATTAGTTGAAGAGTTAGTTTTGAACTTTATGCATGATTGGCTCCTAATTCAATTTGACATTTTCAGAAGCCTTCTACATGAACAGTCGATAAAATGGAGAAAAGCTAAATGTTCTTTCAATCATTTATAATTTTTACAAATAAATTGATAGTGGATATTTTTTTATTTAGCATTTTTAAAACAGTGTATATTACAAGACAGTCATCAAATCCTAATTTGAGATTAAATGTTTACAGTATTTAAGATTCTCTATTCATTTTATTTCTAAAATTATACCCATTCAGCTCCGTAATCTGCATTTTTTGAAAGATAGTAAGTATTATATATTTGTCAGTTAACACTTAACAACCAATATATAAATATCAGCAGTTTAGTCGATTGATAAATAGTTTTGTTATTGTATAATTTAAGTTTAAAGAAAAAACTTTTTGCATCAAACCAACTCTGTTTTTATCAATTTAAACTGCAATAAATATATTTTTTTTAAATGGACAAACGTGTAGTGTTAAATTACTTACTCAAAACCATATATCTCATATTTTTATTGAATGGAAAAAAAAAGCAAAGTAAAAATTTAACCCAAGATGCAGAGACCTGTTATGATTGCTTTTAGAAAAGTTCTGTTGCATGTTGTAATATAATGTAATAATTCCGTTATCAGCTTGTAATAGTTATTCATGTCCCTTAATAGTGTTAGAATTTGTATATCTTTAGATAGGGCTAATTAATGGAGAGAGAAAAACATAAAATGGATGCTAATCTAATTTTTTTTTTTATATATTGAAAAATAAATTCCCAATCTGCATTGTTTAAACTCAAAATTTCAGAATTATTAAATTTTTATTGAAGTGAAAAGATCAATAAATTAGCTATTAACTAAAATATTACTAACATTCAGAACCATTCATAACAGAAAGAAAATCTACTTAGTTAAGAAGTTTTGCAACTACAAAAGAAAAATCTAACAACCAACTTAAAATAGGTAAAACAATATACCTTTTCATTTAACTATATTTCAAAAATAAAAATATCAAAACATTTAAGTTAAAGTTTAGAAAAAAAAAAAAAAAAACAGAATGATTCAAGAAAATAATAATAGAGGGAATATATACAATTAAAGAGATGTTTATAAGAAAAAACATTTTATTCAAAATAACAAATGAAATTATAACCACTAATGATTCATCTTTAAATGCATTTTACAATATTTTCGGATTCATGCTAATGAGACATCAATGCTGCACTGATGATTGACTTAATTGTTCAATAATTTTTTCTATCTAGGTTAAATACTTCTTAATCTGCCCATTTACCAAGAATGTCAGCATCTCTAAAGATAAACAATTCCTAAAATAATACAAGACAAATTAACATTTATTTAATAATTGCATTTTAATAAAATTAAAGATCTTATTAAGAAAGCAAAAACATGAGGACAAATGGAGGAAAAAAAACTGGAAGAAATGAAAGATTTAAGTTTAATAACACTAATTCAGTAAAATATTAAATGTTAATTTTTAGATTATAATGCTATTGAAATATTGATTAAAACAATTAGCATTACAAAACTATTGGTTCAGCATAAAGTAATCTAGTTTTAATTCTTTAAATTGTTTTTTCATTTGTATTCCAGGATATAAATTTGCAAACCGTGTGGAAGTTTTAGAACCTATTGACAAATAAAGTGTATTAAAAAAATACTATTTTAGATAATTTATTAAATCTTCAAATTCAAAAATTAATGAAAAATCCTTTTTTAAACATTTGGTTGAACATTCGACAAAAGGGCTGATTAACAAATAATGGTGGAATGTTCATTACTAGTGACCATATATGCTAATTCTGAAAATGGTACGAAGGAAAAATGAAGAAAATCTATCATTTTAGGAAAATGATCATTAAGTATGCAATTTAATTTTGTAAATCTAGAATTCATTCACTTTTACCTAGGTTAAAATATCTCACCAAATCGGCTATCTTCAAAAAGCTAAATAACTTTCGTTACTTTTTTAGTATACATAGTTTATATTATAAATTATAGCTTTGTCTCAAGTGAAAGGCACTTGAGCTACGGCTTTTTCTCCTTCAAGTCTTCTTTTGCGAAAATAGCTTTAAAAAAAAAAAAAACAAGTACATTTTTTATAACAATACTAAACTTATATTAAGTTTGAAATCACAGTCAAAATTTGTTTTAACACAGTGTTACATTAAATACAACATTTCTAATCAGCAATATCACCAAGAAACATTTTAATTGTGTTTTCAAAAAATTTTTCTCAAAAAAATTTACATTCAAAATTTTTTTTTATTTAAGTGCCAGTAGAAATTGAGGGAAGACTATTTTTAAAAATTTATGATTGTTCGAAAACTCAGAAGATATTAATAGATTGCTATTTTATTTGACTTTCGAAGAAAAAGAAAAAAAACTTTTAAGTCTATGAAGCATTAAATATAACAGAAAAAGTGCAACACAAAAATAATTTTTAAAAAAAAATCAGCTGCAAGAAAATAGAAGTTAACATTTACCAGAAAAATAAAAAGCACTTGATAAAACTACCATTACCTTTTCATTTATTTCAATTTTGGTACCTCCATATTCAGGTAAAAGTACTTTATCACCTACTTTAACACTGGGAGTAACAAATTCTCCTTTCTGGAAAGAAAAAAAAAAAGACAAATTCTGTAAGTCGAACTACAAATTGCCAAAGAGAAAAATGCAAGAAAAAGAATTTTTTTTTAAATGCATGGTATCAATAAAAAATTCACCTTTTTTTGCATAACTAAAATAAAAATATTAATTTAACGAAACAAATACTCTTGATAAGTGAAATCAGGTAGAGAACTATTTAAATAAAGATGAATTAAACTAGTGATTCAATTATTATTTTAGTCATTAAAGAATAACAAAATGTAACAAACTTTAAAAAAAAATACAAAACTAATCTTTTTAAAATATGTAATAAATTGAAGATTTTCTTAACTAAGCTTGTTATATGTTTTATCCTATATGGATTTAATTGATATCAAAATATTATTATAGAACAGGGAAGCTCACCAGAATAGTAAATATTTTCTCCAAGGTTGCAATTTCTAAAACAAGCAAAATATTAGAGGGACCGGAAAGTAATGTAATTTCTGCGCATTTAATATCTATTAGTCCTAAAAACCAACTCATTTTTTGATTAATTTCCGACATTGAAAGGTTGTTACTAACGAGGCTGAATATATTATTAAGATTAAAATCTAAACCAGCCAACATTGGAAAATAAAATAACATATTACTAGCAACATTTTTTAGGTTACAAGTAAAGTTATGATACATCCTGCATAATCATTTAAGTCAAAAAGAGAAATTCAAAGTTGGAAATAATATAAGCACTTACATTTAGCCGGTGAAAAATATGTATATAAATCTTAATCTGAAGAAGATTTTTTAAACCATTGTTTATAATTACTTAAACTACTAACACTCAACATACAGCAGTACTAGCAATAGCACTATCTGAAGAGGAATAAGAGAAATGTTGTGATACTTTAACACCAAATTTTCTTTTTAAAAATTGCAACAAATATGGAGAAATTTGAGAATTATACAGGTAAACAAGAGATAGTAAAAACAGGAGACTTGGCAGGTATGCAAATATCAAATGCTCAGAAACAATATTGACCTCAGAAACAGATCTGGTCCCCCTAATATATGTGTATTTTTTCATAGGGATTTCGCATCTAATGCAAATAAGTGGGATTGAAGATTCTTTATATGAGATGTTTAAGAATCACAAATCCTGAAGAACGTACAAACATTTTTAGAGGGAAAAAAAATCTTAAGTTCTATACACTAGATCATATTTCTATTTAGAAATACATAAAGCAGCAAAACTTCATAGTTGCAACCACTTGCATAGTACTCCTAGCTTTTCAACACATAATGAAAGCTTTTGAAATATGAATAAAAAAGGCCAATTTGTTTCCAATTTTCATGTCTTTAGGTTCAACCTTTCCCTAAATTATTATAAGCTCTACCATTACTGTACACGACTAGTATAAGAATTGATCTCTAATGTTTTTTTCTTTTAACAATTAAAAAAAAAAAAAAGATTGGTAATGATATTCAGATTATAGCAATGACTTAGATTGAAGGAAAAATTTAGCCTAAAATAACATTTTCAAATTACTCTACCTTGTAATTTTTTTTTTCAATCTAAAAATTCATAACTTTAGTAAATTTAGAATTACTCACATACTATCAAAATATAATTTTATTTCACAGTAGCTTTCAAACCAATGAAAATTATCACTTCATATTGAATATAACACTGTAACCGGATCAATAAAAAAAAAACGGAAAGAAAATAATTTTTTTTGGCATAGTTTTCAAAATAAATGTAAGCATTTTTTATAATAAAAAAAATTTATTGCAACTTCTTTTGGCGTAGCTAAGAATCTGCCCACCAATTATATTTTTTCCAATAAAAACTTGACAATAAAAAAGTAGCCAACGCCACTTTTTAAGATGCCTTTAAAACAAAAATGCAAAATTAAAAATAGGGAATTAAAAAAAAATTTTCGTAAAAATTTATAATAATTTATAGAAAAATTTAGATATAAAATTTAAATTTACAATAAGCTGAAATTATTCAAAGTTAAATAATTTACTCAATTTTCCAACAAAATGTTTTATTTTTCTTAAAAGACACTAAACTTCCTTTATAAAATAATTTTGCTAGGGAGCAAACATTGTCCTGCTAAGAAATTTAATTTCATAATAATGGACCTAGTTTTAGTGTCCTAGGTCATCTATGGGATTCTTGAGACTATTTTTTCCCCAGCCATTGGGAGAAAGAAAGAGAACTGCACAAATAAAAATTTAGAATTCTTACAGCATTGTGTGCACCAGGACCAACAGCAACAACAGTGGCACTTGAAACTTTCGCTTGAGCTTTTTCAGGAATCATAATTCCTCCTTTTGTTCTAGTCTCTGGAATAAATCTTTCCACCAAAATTCTATCAAGCAAAGGAATAAGACGCTTACCAATTCCAGCCTAAAATATAAGAAGTTTTAAACACAAAGTAAAAATCTCACATAATATATAAACATATTTCAATATAATTCTGTGTGATATGCTTATTAGTTTAACAGAAAAATAAAATTTTTCAAAACTTTCATTTCATAAGAATTTCAAAAAAGAGAGAGAAAAAAAAGTAATTGAGTTACTTTAGTGGTTTGATGATTCAAATTATCTAACAAGAAATAGCAAAATTTATTAATGTCAAAGAATTTGAGCAAGCGGATTGAATTAATGAAATTTAGCAAAATCTAATGAAACACATTTAGTCACTGATTTAAATTAAATCACAACTTCTACCCATTGACTTGGTATAAATAAAAATTTAGATTTCATTCTTCAGTTTGAATCTAGTCAATAATTCTGTATAGAACTTAAATGGTAAAATCTAAGATTCAAATCACTTTTTGAACTTTCTTATATTGTGAATTAAATCGAACCCAAATATTTTAATTGAAACTATTGGTGTCAAGCGCCCATAACATTGAAAACTAAATCAAATCTTCAATTTACTTTAAACTTGTATTTAAACAAAAAGGTTTATAATCTGATCTATAAGAGATTTTTATAAAAATTTAAAATTCTATTTTAAACTTCAAATTTTTTTAAAAGAAATATAAAGAGGTTTGTCCAAATTTGGGGTATAAACTATAATTTTTAAGGAAGTCAAATAGATTGTTTCTAAGTTTTTCTCACCAGCCACTGCATGCTAACCCCTTAAAGTTCATGATTACTTAGACACAAATACTGCAAGGTGTGCAGCCAAATCTTTTAACAAAAAATAAGCACCTATTAAGTACTTTTTAGGCACTCAAAAAATATTTTTAAGCACTATATACTTTAACAAAATGCAAAATAATTTTCAAAGACTACATGATCCTGATAAAATAACTAGTTTCTGACAAAACTCTTTTCTTAATTATAGTAGCCACCATAAAAAGATGGGATTTTTCAGTTCGATATAAGAGGGGAGAAATTGAGAATACCTTGAAAAATGCAACAGAGTTGCACATGAGAGTGCAATAATCTCTCCGAACACAGCTCAGTATACGCACATGCGGAACCGCAAGTATTTCATCAATCATGTAACATGATTAGCGCTTTCATACGCTATGAACAGACGGTACACTGAAATAGATCGAGGTAGAATGAATGGTGAAAAATTTAATATTGTGAAATGCACGCTTTTGCATAATACGTGGCAAAAATCTACATGGTGAAGAAAAAATCTAACTTACGAAAAGGGAAAATTATGTACTTTTTAAAAACAACCAAGGTGCTTTTCAAAAGCACCTTTGAGGGTTTTTTAAAAAAAAAGTACCTTTAGGCACTTTTTAAAAACGCTACGCGCTTTGCACTACTAATTAGGCAATTTTTAAGGCACAAAATCCAAGAAGATTTCGGTATTATGATCTACAGCAAAATAAACGCTAAGTATCTATAACTTTCAGCAGTGGTCAGCGAAAAACTGGGAAAAAATAATACAGAAAAGAACCAAATCAAATGGTATAACTAGCAGCCACTCCCTAGCAAACATTAATAGGTTTATTTATCTTTTTAAAATTTGAAGTACAAAATCAATGTGTTGGAGTTACAGATCACTATGCGAAATCAGGAACAGGACAACTTTAAAGATTTAGATTAGGAAGTTAAAGGACGTTCCATTAAAAAATTATAACACAAAATCTCAGATTAAGTATGAAAGGAAAAAAATTTAAACGAAGTGGACAGAACCACTAAAATAAATATTGAGCAACAGAATGTTAACTAATTATCAAACGAAAAACATAGAGAAATTAACTGAAATTTATATAATATTTATCAGTTAGGCTTTATCATATCAAGATCAATAATTCAAATTGAATCTGTTCAATATTACTACCATATTGTAAAAGCAAAATAATTACATTAAAGTTACAAATAAATGATTTAAATGAGTAGGTTTGCTAAACACCAGACCAATCCCTATGAAATTTATTTCCGGATTAAACAAAATGTAAAAATTAATATTTCTAAATTTTTTTTAAGTTTAAAATTAAATAATGAATAAAAACTAAAAATGTTACAGGACGAGAAATTCAACACAGTAATTTATCAGATGCAACCTTAAGACTGTACATAAGAGGTTCCATTTTAATTCGCAAAATTCATTCGCCCCTTACAACTATAAAATTTTAAGCTTGCAATATGTTTTCATGTAATAACTTCACTGTTTTTATCAAAGTCTCCTCGTGATCAACGTTCAAATGTTGTAACCATCAAACGTTTGAAACTATTCAAAATATTTCAAGCAAAAAAAATTTATAAACTAGCAAAGTAATTTTAAATAAACCATTCATACAATTTGTGTATAAGCTAAAGTATGATAATAAGCCTCTTAAATGTTTATCGACAAAATCATTACTAGAATTATTTGTTTATTTTTATAAATCAAAAAATATATCTAAATTGGGAACAAGAAATTACAAAAATTAATTTAAAAGCGACATACCATTATTTTGGTTATTTATCTAGATTCAGGAAAGAGTCACAAATTAGAGAAATATTTGACCAAATCTGATCACTAGGTGCCGGTCTGATAAATGGGGGAAAGCGACTCGGATCAGAAACCACGTGTTTACAAAATGTGAGTCAAATAATATTTTTAGGAATAAAAAACGATATTAAACTTATAATAAAATTTTACAACCAGTTAAGTTGTTCAACTGATTTCTAATGAGCTCTAAAATCAAAACGTAAACTATTTCATCATTTTCCAGAAATTTCGAGACCAGTCTAAGGACAGACATTGAGTAAAACATTGATTTGGCTTTGCTTTTAATTTCTTAAAAACAAACCATGATTGTCAAATTTTCTCGAAAAATTATTTAAATTACAAGTGTTAAAATAATTTAAATGCATTTTTTTGCTGTTTAAATTTTCAAAAAAGGAGAAATTTCATTATGACAGATCTCTATTTATAAGTAATCTGATTCAAATCACATGCTAAATTATAATTTTATTCATTAATTTAACATGCAAACATAAAACACACCATTTGAACTTATGCAGAAATTTAAAATATAACTAATATCTCAAAGCCAGCTGAATATTTAGTATAAAAATCTCTATAAGGTCAAGCCGGCTTTTCTGCGGAACTACTTTACAGACATACAGACGACCACATGGTTTTCTTGACGCCCTTGATATCGTTACAGTAGCATCTACCGGCTCATTAAATTTTTGACTCTTTGTGCTTTTCTTTAATATGTAAGTTCTCTAAATAATAATAAACAGACTAGAATTATTTACATTAATTTAATATTTGTGAGTTTAAATTAAGACTAATTCATTTTATTTTTTTTAATTATTTTTTATGTCTTAAAGGAAAATTAGATTTTTATCACCAGATAAGTAAACAGAGTCCATTAGTTGTTATTTATATGTTCTCTTAATGTATTGCGATTTCAAAGGAAATGAAATTTCGCTGATAAATTTTACAGAATTATTAACACTAAATAAATATCTAACACGTATGTTTAGGCAAAGTGTTAAATATATTGCATCACTGTCTTGTTGACTTAAACTATTTTATTAATGTAGACTATTTTATAATTTTAGCAATTTCTTTACATTCTCGCAATCCTTATTCATAGTAGCATAGTGATTATCGAAATTTTTTCTTTACAATTTTGTTCACTTATTTTTGTAATTATAAATTTATGTAAGAGGAAGAGTGCTTGCTGGCTTATATAGTTATTTGAGACATGTACATTTTTTCTGAAGTATTTCTTATATTATGATCATAATAGTCCTCATATTAGCAAATTAAATATAATTATGCATAAAGTTAAATGTTATTTGTCCTGCAATATATTAACAAAGAAAACTATGAGAAATAAATTAAATCTAGCTGATCTCTGAGAAATGAATGTAAATATATTTGAGATTTCATTGCTTAGAGGTATCCATCTCATATTCACCTGTTCATGTAAAGATTCTAAGTATAAATGAACACAAAATAGTTTCTTTGTGCTGGTGCTGAAGGGTTTTATATTTATGTTAAGAACATTGTGCTCTTTGTCTAAAATTTCCAGACCGTGATTTGCAGCAGAATAATCTCCTAAGTTAAGCAGTAACCCATAAGTCTAAAAGAAGTAACTTTGATATCAACTTGTAGGGTAACCACCCCCAGGTAAACCTCTACTGATTTTTAAAATATTTGGAAGGTTGAAATCATTTTGGCGTGTTGGCAATTTTATTTGGTGACAAAGATCACAGGACTGAAATAATTATATTGCAAAGTTGCATATTATTTTACATGGAAAATTTATATTTCCTTGTAACTCTCCTTAAATCTTATATTTAAACACTTAATTTATCAGTATGCAAAAATTGAACTTTTCTGTTAGAAAAGGTTGTAATCAACTGTTATTGAACTCATTGCTGTTTAACTATCAGAATGGGTACTACTGGTATTGTGTTAATATGATTTTACAGGGCTATTATAATTTAATTTTTATTCCTCCTGTAATATATAAGTTCTTAAATTGATATCTTTGATTCTTAATAAAATAAATTGTGTTGGCAGGAATGAGTTTTATTTCTAATTTTACGTAGTACATATTTGCTTTTAATGTCTTTGAGATTCTGGTAACATTTTACTTTGTTAAATACCTATGTCTATATATTTTTTTGTGGATTTAAATTTAAAACTTATTTCATTTTTTCTTAGAAAAATGCATTTCCATACTGTTCTTCGTCCTTTGTTGTCAAGAAGATTGGCTGTAAATATCCGAAGACATTATGCTAAGGATATTAAATTCGGACCTGATGTACGAGCCCTTATGCTTCAGGGTGTTGATGTACTTGCTGATGCTGTTGCAGTAACAATGGGTCCTAAGGTATTTCTGATTTAATTTGAAAGAAAATATTCGCCTAAAGTTAAATTTATACTTTTTCTTATTACATTCAATATCAAAACCGGAATCTTAGTTAAATAAAATGTTACTCAGACTGTAGGTTTTCCTTTGAGCTTGACATAAACTTATTCTCAATTATGATTTCTACCAAATCTCAAGTAAGTATTATTGTTTAATTCACATTATGTATTCTTTTTTTTTTAAAGGTAAGATTTAAAGAAAAGCACTTTTCTAATTTGTAATTAAACATGTTGGTTCGAGAATTAAATTTTAAACTTGTTTGTACTTAATTTTGAAATTGAACAAAACCATTATTAAGAACTACTTCTCTCATATACTCGCATGCATGTTTCCAATCCCAGCTGGGATAGCGGAGCTATACCAGATCCATGAGGTCGTGAGTCTTCAAAAAATCGAGGAAAAAGGAGAGGTCTCTCAAGAACCTCTTCCATGGTGAAATCCAGGCAATCAAGTAGATGGTGAGGACTGGCCTCGCTGGAGTTGCACTTTTTACAAAATGGAAAAAGTTTAATTTGTCCACTGAAAGTGAGGCTCTTAGTATGCCCGCTGACAAATCGACAGGTAGCGGTTTGGTCGGCACGTGTACCCTGAAAGTCAAGGGCTCCAATTGTGATCCGGTGGAACAGGCCAAGCTTTATTAACTTTAGATTTGCAGGTAAAAAATAATTCGGAGTAAGTGAGGGCCGTGTTTTGGAGAGGCTGGAAGGGAAGTACCTTTTGCCAACTGATCAGCACGTTCGTTTCCAAAAAGACCCACGTGTGAGGGTATCCACTGAATATGGATGTTATGGGAGGCTGAGAGGGCATTTAATAAACGAAGTATAGACCCCAGTCCGGTCTGCAACTTTTCCGGGTGCTGAATACAGCTACGACTGTCCGTTAAGTCACATGCATGTAGCTATCTTAAAATAAAAAAATTCTTTAATGAATATTTATATCTAAGGAACTTTTGTACATTAAATTTACTACATATGTTTTAATTTCATTTAGTTAAGTTATTTAAAATTAAAATTTATGAATTTGAATAAATTATGATTAATAATAGTTCACATGACTTTTTTTCTCTTTTCAGTAGGTAGTTTGACTAAACTTGGGCTTAAAACAATTATATATCTGATTCAGTATATAAAAGATTGATCTGATGATAAATTATCTTAATTATCATCAGATCAATCTTTTTTTTTAAACTTATAAGGATTAACTTTTCATTAATAAGAACAAAAGATTTTTCAGATCGTACTCTTGTAAAAAGATTTTGGGCTTCATTCTACAGTTCTGTTAAAAGTAACAGTTTATTATCATTTTAAACAAAAGGTTTAAAAATAGCATTATTTTGAATTTTAAAAAAATAATAGTGATAAATGAAGGAAGAGTGTCTGAAATTTAAACTTTAAAAAACACATTTTTGTTGCGCCAAAGTATTTAACTTATTTTGTACTGTTATGTCAATCAAGTGATTTTATTTTTAAGTTTGAAAGGAAAATTTATTTATTAAAATGTTTCAGAATAATTTTCCAAGAAAAGTCAAAGAGCAATGTTACTAGCTTGTGGCCAAGGTTTCTCTTAATTTTTAGATAGTTAATGAGTCTTGGTTTTAAATTTAAGTTGTAGATTAATTTTGAGAATAAGATTTATAGGTGAATTGATGTGTGCTTCATAGTATTGTATAATAAAGCAAAATATTATCTGTTAATAGAAATATTTACACAAATATTGATAGATATATATTTACAGGAATATTGATATATATTTTTTCATCTTAATATTTTATTGCTTTTTTTTTCTAAAAGTATTATCAGTGCACAAGAAATTTCAAGTGTTAACTTGAATGTACTGCATTAAAATGGACTCGGATTATTTAAAGAATTGTCCATTAAAAATAAAAAGTGAACTCAGTTCAGTTTTATCTAAAGACAAACCAATGTTGTGCTCATGAAATACAAAGATAAAGTAATATAAAACTAAGAAGGAAAATCTATTTTAGAAATGAAATATTAAGGGCTGATTGTGCTCCGGAAAAAATCCGGATTTTTCGCTAACAGGGATCGAAGGTCCAGACGTTTCAAAAAATCATTGATCATAGAAGTTTCTGGAAATCAAATTTTCAAACGTGGAACTAAAAAACACAGTTTATTTTATTTGTTTGTAAGGGAGAGCCAGAGAGATACTTTATAGGCTTATATTCATGATTAATATTCATTTTTTATCAGTAAATAATTGTTATAATCATAAACTCAAGAAAGAAAGACATATTTGTAAATTTCAATTACTTCTCCAGGTCATCATAGGTATGTGTAAAATTTTAAATATAATTTAAGTAAACTAAGAAATATTGAAAAAAAGGAAAAAAAAACCTTGTTTAATTTTTTTTCTCTAATTTTTCAATTTAGGCTTTTTTTCTTAACTCAAGAAATTTTCTGTAATTTGGGCTCACAATTACCCCTGAATATTGAAATGAAGAAAAATAAATTCAAAAATATAAGCATAAATCTTGAGCTCCTAAATGAATAATTTTAATACTAGTTCTCCAGAAACAGAATAAAAATACTCAAAATGGAATAACTATTCTAACACTAAAATTTTTTAAGCTTGTTTTTAACTACAATAACTTTTCTATAACTTTGTAAAATCTCACTGAAATTTTCAGCATATATTAATAGTAAAAAGCTTTTATATCTAATGGTACTCTACATATATTTAAATTCGTCTTTAAAATCTGAAATATCTAAATATATTCTTTAGAAATTTAAGTAATTTACTTAGTTTTTTATTTGTTTAATTAGGGCAGGAATGTCATCATTGAACAGTCATGGGGATCCCCAAAAATAACTAAAGATGGTGTGACAGTTGCCAAAGCTATTGAACTTAAAGATAAGTTCCAGAATATTGGTGCTAAGTTGGTTCAAGATGTTGCTAATAACACTAATGAAGAAGCTGGAGATGGTACCACAACAGCAACAGTCTTGGCTAGATCAATAGCCAAGGAAGGATTTGAAAAAATTATTAAGGGAGCTAATCCTACTGAATTCAGAAAAGGTACTTTTTAACATTATAACTGATAATTAAAATCTATCGTTTCAACATACACTTGTGTGCAATAGTTTTTGATCAACGTGTGAAAGGCATTGTTACCCTTTTATGCGGGTTTTTCTTTTGTGGAGATGATTTCTGTTTTATTTAGTCAAGCCAACATATATATTGCACTTGATTTCAGAATTTTTACTTTTCTTGCAATTTAATGGAAAATGTAATCTTCGGATTAAATTTAAATCTTTGCACTCAGTTCAGATGAATATTTCTTTTTTTATATATATATAATTTGAGTCGTGTAAGAACTAATTCTTCAAAAATAAATGTCAATGATAAATTAAAGTTAAAATCACTTTTTCCGTAAATAAATATGCAAAACTTACGCTTATTTGTTAAAATTGTATCTTTCAATTGTATTTTCATCCAATTCCTAGATGTAAGAAAATCACATCACAAAGAACAAATATCCCACTGATATGAAAATTGCATTAGATTTAAAGTGACTTTCGTAGCACTAGCTTTGCTTTCTGGTTGATAGGCATATTAAAAACGTTTAGAGATAAAATTATACATTATTTATTACATTTTCTATCAACCATTTATAATGAGTTTGACATCTATAAGACTTTAACACGCTAGTGTAGGTTAAGATAACATTCATATGATTCAGCTATTCTTTTTCGCATCATATTTAGTCATAGTTAAGTAAATATGATTACAATTATGTGACAAAAAAAAAAATTTAAGTGAAATTAACATTTTTTTCTGTGCAGAAATGTAATAAAAATTATTTTAGTCAGAACAGCAGAAGTACTAAATCTTATCTCTACATCTAAAGTGGTTAGTATTGTTAATTTGGGTACAGAAGTAAAGTTTTACGTTAGTTTCATTTATAAACATTTAATCTGATGTTTAGAAATACTTTTAAAATATTTACTGTTTTCAATTTTGTTTATTCTGCTTTTTTTCAGATTATCAATTATTTTAACATAAAGCCATCAGAACCATTTTTGATTTTATTAAATTTTGTGCACTTTTATATTTTAGGTGTTATGATGGCTGTTGAAAGAGTAGTTGAAGAGTTAAAATCTAATTCAAAGCAAGTTACTACCCCTGATGAAATCGCTCAGGTAATTGTTTTTAAATTTTTGTTTCACTACATTTTTGTATTTTAATCATCAATAAAGTTAAAATAATAATTGAAATTAACTTCCTTTTTAATAAATTCAGTTGTTCAAATTTTCTAAAAGCATTTATAGTACATAATGTAATTTTATCTTTTCAAAAAATCTGGTTTTGAATGGCATAATTTCTAATTGTTGTCTGAAAACTAAGATCAATGTAGCAGCTTATTCTGAATCTTTTCATACAAATTAACTTTCAGCAGAGCATAAGTGGTAACAATTCAAAACATGGTTCAATTGTTACTTGTTCATTTACTAATTCATCTAATTTCTTTTCTTTTGTAATTTTTCAGGTTGCAACAATATCAGCAAATGGAGATAAAGCTATTGGTGATTTAATTTCAGAAGCAATGAAGAGAGTTGGTAATGATGGTGTTATTACTGTTAAGGTAATCTGAAATTCTACATTTTTGTATCTTTTTATTTAATTTACCTGATGAACTAACTTTATTCATAGTCATGAAGCTGTAAGCACCAGTGTTCATTAATTTAAATGATTTTATTAAAATCAGATTTAAATGACTCAATCATTTCATTGAAACTATTTAATTTTTGTCTTTCAAGTTTGAAGATCTTAGTATATCATAAAGAGTGAAAAGTTCAATTAACAAAATTTCATTATTGGTATATAATATATTATAGAACTTTTGAAATTTAGTTTTAACCCATTGACAATAGCTTTAAATGATTTTTAAAGACAAAAGGAATTTTCAAGAAAATTCCTTTTGTCTTTAAAAGGCTGAATCAGATTTAAAGTTATAAAAATAACAAACTTCGGTTAGTGCTAATATAATTTATCAAATCGTCTCCATCAAAAGATTAAACCTGAAAGACTCATTAAAATTAAAAGTGGACAAAAAATCTGGGTAAATTTAGAGAAAGTTGGAAAAAGAAGTTGAGAACCTAAAAAATCAAATTTTTAAGAACTTTTGACTTGTTTTAATATGTGATTTTTACACGATTATTTCCTAAACGAAATTTTCATAAACCTCTTACCGTATTATAAATAATTAAAAATTCAATTATTGCAATAGTGAGGATTTATATTTACTTCTTGAACTAAAGGTAATTTTCATTTTATATTAAAAGGTAATTTTCATTTTATATTTTTATATTAAAAAAGTTTATAGGTAGTAAGTGTCATGTCTTTTGTTAGGAATTCTTGATGTTGGTAATATAAACCAAAGTGATATGAATTTCAATTTTTCATGCTTTTATAATTAAGTCCTCCCATATTTTCACGATTTTTTACTTATGTTACTGTGTACCTTATAGAGAGTATGAATCCCTTGAAATAATTATTAGATTATTTTTAGTAAAGTTATTTTACTCTTAAAATTAAATAATTTATTAATTTCCTATTGTGTATAACATTGCATTAATCGTTACAGGACGGTAAGACATTAACTGATGAATTAGAAGTTATTGAAGGAATGAAGTTTGATAGAGGATATATATCACCCTATTTTATTAATACAGCTAAAGGTAAATTTATTGCTTTGAATAAACTATTCCTATTTTTAGCAAGCATTAAGAAAGAGGATTAAATGTTTAAAAACCTATTTCAGGTGCCAAAATAGAATACCAAAATGCATTGGTATTATTCAGTGAGAAGAAAATATCTAGTGTTCAATCTATTATACCAGCTTTGGAACTGGCAAATTCTAAACGTCAACCATTGATCATTATTGCTGAAGACATAGATGGTGAAGCTCTTAGCACCATGGTATTGAACAGGTAAACAAGATTTTCTGTTTAAAGCCTTTGGTGGCATCTTGATAATATGAAATGTGGTAAATGTGCTACCTTACTTTGTAAATAAGTGAATAATCCCAAGAAGCTTAAGACATACTTGAGGATAAAAACTTCTTTAGTTGCAATAATTAATGTGTGAAAGGTTGACATATTAAATGCTCAATATCTTTGATTTCCATACCAGTTAGAAATGAAACTGACCCTGTTTTCTTCAATTTTTCTTGTTATACCTTTTTTCATTATTTTGTTGGAAACTTACTTTTTTTTAAATCTGTTTTCCCAATTCAAATCTACTTGGCCTAGAGGACGAATGCTTTTAACTAGTAGTTGCTCACTCACAATTATTTTACTGTACTTGCATCCTGTAAAATCTCAAAGGTTTAGTTTATAAATTCAAACCTTGGAAAGTCTGGTGTAAGATAATTATGTATATTCATCCAGCATTTCCACAAAATGTTTTTATATATGGTAATATGGTATGCCTCTTTATGTAATCCTCTAAAAAACAAACAGAATATTAAAGTATTCAATAAACTAGACATGTGATTTATAAGTATTTTTACTGAATTCAGTATATTTACAATTAAAGCTCCGAAGTAATTATTTTGATTGTAGCAGTTGCTCCCTTCCTTCGAAATCAAAAAAAATAATACATAAACTCATCAGTTTCGGTTACAGCTAAAATGAGTTTCGGTTTTGTCCCCTAGATGGAGGTGGCGGATTCGCAACAATGATACTCTATGAAGAGAGAGTGGAGCATTCTAAAAGAAAATAATAGTGTGGACAAGGGGGATGCTACAATTGGAAGATAATTTTTTTTTTGGGGGGGGGGGTAGTTTTAAGGTACCTAATTAGAAGACCCACACTAACCTAAAAAGTAGACAAATTCACGAAATTCAATCCATCTGGTATAATGAGTCTGCTTATAGGAATTAAGTAAAATGCTAAGAAAAGAAGTATCAAAGAAAAATTTTAAACTAGAATCCATAATGCAAACTATTTCCTAAAATGTTGGAATTAAATAAATTTGTATAATATTTCAATGTGTTATAAGTAACTGTAAATATGTAGAAAAAATAGCATTTTTTTAAAATTCATGATTGTACTAAAAATTAAACAGATCTGTGAGAAACAAGGTTTAAAAAATCCCAGCCCACCTAGGTTTTTGATGAAAACCTAAATTTTTTTTTTTTTTCAAAAGTACTTTAAAGTTTTTTTTTCCTGAGAACTAATTAGGAAAGCGTGATTTGCTTCTATCAAAAAAGTTAAATAAGTTTAGATTTTTACATTATTATTTTTATTTCTTAAGGATAAGCAGATGGTTCCATAAAAATTTAATCTTCTCAACTAGAAAATTCTTAGGTTTTAATCATTTTATTCAGTTAGCATTGCAACTTAATATAAAGTTAATTCTTGACATGTTTGGCTGGAAATAATTTTATTAAAGTTCATCATAAAAGTAAATATAGCACATTTGCTGGTCTATTAGTGAATTATAAAAACTTGTAATAAATTTTTTCAATGTTTTTGCCAAATTTCTTTTTTACTCTTTTTAATATACATGAAAAAAATTGCAAATCTGAATTTCTGTACTTAATTTTGCAATTCAGTTTCGATGATATCATCAAAAATGGAGTACAAAGTCTAATTTTTCAAAAAAAGTTCTTAAAAGTGTTAATTTTTGCTTTCTTAAAAGAGTGGGAACCCTGTTAAAAGAAGTGTTTTGAAAATTTAACTTTCATGTCATTTTAGTATTTTTATTAGTTAGATCACAAATCCGCATTAAATTTTAGTTATGGTTTTAAAAGTGATTTTCCTAATCGATACAATATGAAGTACATGCAATGCGTATATCAATTTTTCAGCTTCTTGTAACTTTTTAAATGACTTGCTGTATGTTTTGTTAATTATAGTACATAGCTCGCATTGGATGCATGGCTAATTGTATATCCTTGCTCTAAGTATTCAATAGTTGAATATTATTAATTTCAATATGTGTATAGAAGTATGCGCAAATTAAAATTTAGCACTTAAATATATGTACTCCCCGGTATAGAGTACTTTTTGAGTACTGGTTAGTAATTTGCCTGACGTGTTATTAAAATTGTAATTCAGTGTTCAGTGCAAATATGTAATTCATTTATTATGTAGCATTTTGGCTAAATACGTTATTTTTTAAATAAGATAAGTTGCATAACAAAATATAAAGTTATTTTATAAGCATTCCTATTACAATCTTGGGTTTATTAAACGTAAATCTAATGATTAAAAATTTATAGGTTAAAAGTAGGACTACAGGTTGCAGCAGTCAAAGCTCCTGGGTTTGGTGATAATAGAAAAAGTACACTGCACGATATGGCTATTTCTACTGGTGGCATTGTGTTTGGTGATGATGCCGATTTGATAAAGTTAGAAGATATCCAGCCACATGACCTAGGAGAAGTTTCAGAAGTTGTTATAACAAAAGATGATACATTATTATTAAAGGTAATTTTCCAGCTCTAAACATGTGCCTATTTACAATGCAAACTAATGTTGTAATATTTGTATATGCCATATGGTTTTAACCAGCCTGTGTTTTTAATAATTGCTTTACTAGATCGTGTTGGACAAGCTTTCGCCTTACGTAAACCTAAAGTGACAGTCATAATGTGTAAAAAAAAAATTATATTTAAAACTTTAATTTTTAATGCAGATGTATGCTAATGTATTATTATTATACAATTATAACTAACAATAGTTGATTAAAAGTAAGTTTTGAACTGGAAAAAATTCACTCCATACTTTCATATTGTTTTTAGAAATAACTTTGTTACAATGTATAAAATTATTCCAGTGTTTCTAAATGTTAAAATTTCAAAACTTTTTATCCTTTTCAAAAATTTTGGTTTAGATCAGGGCCCTAGCTGGTAAAGGAAAACCTAGAATAGTCAAGAAATTTAATTTTGCCTCTAAAAATCCTTTTTTTTTTTTTTTTTTTTTTTTTTTTTTTTTTTTTTTTTTTTTTTTACAATAACCTAAAATTCTATGTTCCAGAAAAATATCCTATGTTTAAATTGCTGAGAGACAAGTTATTGAGTTTAAAGTTAAAGAAACATTTATTACAATCATATATCTTGAATTCTACTTTTCCGTTATTTTTTTTTATTACATAATATCCTCTTCAGTGATATTTTGCTTCCCATAAAATCTAGTTCTTGATATTGAAAAAAAATTACATTGTGTAGATAATATGTGGATTGGGATTATGTTTAAATAATATCTAGAAAAATTGGATTATTTCTGAAATGAAGTGGGACCTCTTTTAGATGCAATATTTTTAATTTAAAAAAAATATATTTGTCCTTTAAAATTTTTCATAACAGAAAATTCTGTTAATTTTCTTGCTTCACAAAGAGCAATAAACAATGTTTATTTTATTACACCAAGTAGTTCTAATTAATAAAATTTCAAAAGTGCATACTCATTGTTCTACCATATCTAACACATAACTGCTTATCTGTAATTTTCTCTTAAATTTATAAAGCAGATTTATATTTGTCTTCGTGTTTAGGGCAAAGGAGAGAAACAAAATATTGATAGAAGAATTAGTCAAATTAAAGATGAAATTGAACAAACTACATCTTCATATGAAAAAGAGAAACTTCAAGAACGCCTTGCAAGATTATCCAATGGAGTTGCTTTGTTAAAAGTAAGCAAAAATCTACTTTAAATTGTTTTTCCTTCAGACATGGTTTTAGTTTATATTATGCCCAAGTTCTGTTTATCAATAAATAATATATTTAAATAATTTGAGTTCTTTAAAGTTTAATTTTGTTATGCCTTAAAATATTTTAGAATTAAGAACTGTTTTTGAACAGTTAAATGCAGTCTAAGTTCTTGAAACTTCATTTTAATGGACAAATTTTACATTTTTTAGTTTTTTTTTTTTTTTTTAAATTATTTGTTAAGATTTACTTGTATCTAATTACATGTAAATCTATGTAAAATAAATCAAGGTGAGAAAGAATTGTTAATTATTTTTGATGCCATTTAAACATTAAATTAGTTGCTTGAGTTATGCTCCATTGAATTTTTCATGCAATATTTCCTCAATACCAAAGCGAACTGTTGAAGTTCATGACCTAAGTCAACTAGAATTTACTAGAGTGCCTGTATTGAAAAGAGTGATGACAATATCCAAGAGCGCATGCGCTGCCGTCAGATTTTTGTCCAAGGGGGTTGCCAGATGATACACCGAAATTGGCGCCACTCGCTCATTTGGTGTTATTCTGAAGGTTCTGTTATTCTAAGAGTATACTAAAGTATCAATAATATAAACTTTAAGATTGGAAAGCACATGATATTACAGATTTTTTAAGAAACATTGTCTAGCATCTGAAATTGTTAAAAAATTAACGTCAATGAAAAAAAAGACTTATGAAAAGACTTCAGCTTTTAATAAATGCCTTAAATAAAATATAAAAATTAATAATGATTGTGCCATTTATTTCAGAAATAGTAATTAATAATACAAATTATATAATTTATTATTATTTATTACTTTTTCAGGAAAAAATTATCGCATATTCACCTGAAAAGGTATTGTTTATTTCAACAAATTGTAAACAAAAATTTCCATAATTAGTTGAAATTTAAAACAAACTAGCATTTTATACAGTTGGTAACGAAAAGTAAACAAATGCTACTTTGTAACGCGCATTGTAACATTGTAACGGGAACATTGTAACGCGCCAACATGTCAAAGTAATATCGCCAAACTCTGCACTTCTGAAGTTTTGATAAAAAGATGCTCAAATCTTAAAATTTATAAGTAATTTAGATAGAAATTATGTGCATTAAAAGTAAATACATTTATTCTTATCTAACCATTAGTTATTTCATCACCTTGTTCTCTTTACAATGAGATAAACATAACTTTATATGCACGCAAGTAAGTGATAATAAGGATAAATTCTAATAACTAACAACTATCCAAATTTTCAGCCATAATTTTAACATTTACTGTAACTGTGAAGTTTCTTATTGAAAAAAAGTAAGTAATGAACTTATTACATGCATTTATTAATACAGAACATATTTTTTTTTTTAGTCAGGTAATTTTCACTCCGTGTAATTCCAATGGCGAATTTTCCACTCTCGCCTCCGGCGGTAGAGTTTTTCTTTCCACCAATCAGGAATCGCTTCTCCCTTGTCCACTCTCTTTTACTCTAGGCTCTCTAGAATTTACCACATTCCTTTCTACCTATGTTGTTGTGCCACTTTTTTTCTGTCCTGCCCTGAAAAAAATATTTATTTACCCCTGTGTTTAGGAGGTTAAAGAAAATTAAGTTTTAATTTGGTATAATTGCCTAGTTGTTCATGTAATTCTCTCTAATTAAATGTGCAATATAATTAGATAACATCAAAATGCCTAACAGTAAATGTGTTAAATTTAGTGAGACCTAATAACATTTTTATATGCATAAGATGAGAAGATAACTTTGTAACTTTTTATAGGTTGGTGGTTCTAGTGAGTTGGAAGTGAATGAAAAGAAGGATCGTGTAAATGATGCATTAAATGCTACTCGTGCTGCTGTTGAAGAAGGTATTGTTGCTGGTGGTGGAACTGCCCTGTTGAGGTGTATTGACTGTTTGAATACCCTAAAACCTGAAAATGATGATCAAAAAACAGGTAATTTTTTTTTCTTTTAGTGTTGATTTATATTGACTTTTGACTGGGCATGGTTGTCTCCACTCTAATTTGTTTCGCCTCAAGCTCAATACGTCATCAGATTGTCTTTTATGCAATTCCGGACAGGCCATGACGGCTGTGCATTTGTATACGTGCTTTGCACTATGACTGACTATTGTTATGAAGTACTGGAGAGCTAGAAGCCTAATGACCTAATAGTCAAAAGCTGGCATTTGTTTAATAAATAAATAATTGTCTTTATGTTCAGTCTTGACAAATTTAATGTGTATCTAAATAGTATTATAAAATTATTTAAACTTATTTCAAATATCTAGACTTTTCTTGAAGCTTATTAAAATATTAGTCCTTACTAAATAAAAAAAAAAATTATTTTTAAAGAGTTCTTGATGCTATTTTTGATCTTTCAAATGCTATGTGTATCTTAATAGATCAAATTTAAATGTAATATTCAAAACAATATAAATTAAATAACAAATCTTAATAAATAACTGAAATATATTGACGTGATGTACTGTAATAATCATAAGGGCCATGAAGATCTACTTTATTCTTTAATTTGAAGGTTCAGAAGCTTTGCTAGAAATCCTGATTGTATTCATTAAATTTTTTAATAAATTAACATTTCTTGTGAAAAAAAAATAAAGCATTAGTTAATTATTTGTAAAAGTGCTATATTTTCTTTTATTAAAATTAATACTTATTTATAATTAAAATATTTAACAATTGTTCTGTTTTCAGGCATTGACATAGTGCGAAAATCTCTGAAGATGCCTATTACACAAATAGCTGTCAATGCTGGTGTTGATGCAGCTGTTGTAACACAAACTGTCCTAAGTAACAAAGGAGATTTTGGCTATGATGCCATGAAAGGAGAATACGTTGATATGATCAGTGCCGGAATCATTGATCCAACAAAAGTAAGTTTTTATATCAGTTGGTCATAGAAGCCAAATCATCAAAAATTTATTGTCTTGTTTTTTGTTATTGTCAAAGTAATTACTTACCACTAAAATTAGGTAATTATTAATGACTTATTCAGGAGTGATTGTAATATGGGGGTATCCCTGAGTTCCGTGGTTTTCGTATGATCTCTCTGGGTCTAAAAGTTAAGAGCAGGACATATAATTTTTCTGAGAATATCTAATTTCTCAGGACCATTGGTTCTTGTACTTCTGCTAATCAAAAACTTTTAATCGGATGAAATTTTGACTAATTACCATTTAACGATAAGCTTACGTACACAACAGGGCTCGAAAAAACTCAGAAATTTTACCCGTCGCCGAGGACGGCTTGTCCAATAATATACCCGTCGCTTCTAAATAAATACAAATATTATTTCCTTTCATTTATTACAAACATTTATATCAATTGCGCAATGAATTAGTAGGTACTAGGAGTACAAATACTACGATTACGTTATACAGTAAGAAAAGAAATACTAGGTTACTAATAGTACCTACAGACGTGCCAACTCTCCCGAATTTTGAGTTATTCTCCCGCCCTCCGGAATTGATTTAAAAAACTCCCGAATTTTACTGCAATCAACGGCCAAACTCAAAATTACCTAATTTTTCCGCGATTGCGGAGGGGATTCCATCCCCTCTTATCGAACTACCATCTGCCTGAGGCGTAGCTGCACGTGCTTTATTTTTCCCTCCTCTTCAACGTTACCCCTCTTTAACACTCCTACTTCACCCGCCCCCTTACACTTGGATTCGTAGGAATCTTCCTGTGAAGTTGAATGTGATGACGTCACATGACGATATCGAGTGACGTCCGTACAGGAGTGGGGAAACTCGTACTCTCAATTGTTATAATTGATATTGTATCTTTCTGTTTTTATAGTTTTCAATTCGTATTTTACCACGGTTGGCAACAAACTTGTAAACTAGCAACGTGATATCCATTATTCGCTTAGTCTTCGTATATTAAAATTTTTTTTTTTCAAGGATGTCTAAGTAGAAACGGAAGTATGCAACCAATTTCAAAAAATCATGTACCAATGACTTTAGCAAGACTTAATTGCGAAGAGCTAAATCTGCAACTCTTTTTTTATGCATACAGTAGAGAACCATTTATGCGGTATCCAGATAATCCGGGAAAAAGTTTCGCTCGTTTCTCCCGCCATTTTGAACTAAAACGATATGGAAAAAAAAAGTGGAAATTGGACTCATCCTTGAAGTTGAGTAGAGGAAAATGTGACAAAGGGGAGAATTTTTTCCCCCGTTTACCCAGAGAAACGTCATTTCTTCCGCGACCTTGAAGATTTTAGATCTTTATTTTCTCCTTTAGGCCGTCAATCGAACTCAGAGGAGTGGCATGCTGATTTCGTGTTCTGTTTGATTTACGAGGGGGTGGGGAAAATGCATTGCACATGCATATCAGTAAACAGAAGATGAAAGAGAAAAATATATTTATCTATTTGACATTGATTAATAAAAAATAAAAAAATTTTCCTTTTGAATAAATTCTGATTCTTTGGAAGTGCGGTACCATTCGCAAGTTTTTCTTGATGTAGAATCGCACCTGCTTTAATTAAAAGTAGTGTTTTTATAAAAAAAAATAAAAGGAAAATTGTTTATTAATTTAAACATACAATTAATTTATGAAGTAGATTGCAGTTTTGTTTTTCTGATTCCACTACGTTTGATTTTTTTTTTTTCTTTTCCTGATAAATTTCGCACTTAATAAATTATTTTTATTCCTAAATTTTATCATTAGGGTTTTTTTTTTTTTTTTTTTTATATAAATTCAATTGATCTTGCCTTGTTCCAGGTTTTAATATTTATGCTAGTGCCGTTTTTTAACTATCGTTTCGGTTCGATAATTTTCAAGTGTTGTTTTTATTTAGATTAATAAGTTTTCCTTTTAAGCTTGTTTTTCTTGTCTAAACTTGCAAATTTTTTTATTCTTTTATATGTTATTTTTCTACAATTTTTTTCCTTTTTCGATTTAGGAGTGCTCTTTTTTCTCTTACTTTAAAATGTTTTTACACTTTTTCCTTGTAATTTGGGCTCGATAAAACATCGATTAACGACATTTTTTGGTCGATCCAGAAAACCGGGAAATTAAGTCATCCGGGATGGCGATGGTCCCGAGCATCCCGGATAATTGATTATCTATTTTACAGACATTAGTATTATTATACATTAGTATTGAATTGGTTTTTTAAAATAAAATAGTTCTTCAATTTGTTTATTTTTTAAAAGTTTTTGTTCATTTTTATTACAGTGTCAAGGGTTTTTGAATAATGTTTTATTAAGGAAATGGTATTTATTTTTTAAATAAAGAGTATCTACCTAATATAATTTTGTTTCTAAATCTGTGTTTAATTATTTTATTTCTATTTAATATTTTTCCACAATTTGTGCTCTATTAGTGTGTAAAATTTCTTGCATTCTTATATTTAATAAATTTTTTACTTAAAATTCCTTAGAAGTGTCAAATATCGCATACCGTGCGCCTTTTTTTATCCCTCCTGAAATCTCCTGAATTCTTGTTTAGGAAACTCCTGAATGTTAATTTTGCTAGGTTGGCACATCTGTACCTAGTATTTCTTTTATGAAATAATTTCTTTCTTTAATGAAATAATTTAAATGACAAAGGTCAAGTTATCTGGAATGTTAATTTATCCAAGGGTACTGCGTTTTTTAAGTGAATGAGTTTGCCGGTCCACAATAAAGTCTATAATTTACAGAGGTTTCTGTCACAGAAATCTGAAAGGGGTTTTCCATTTAGGTAGATGTTCATAATTGCGTTTATAATGCTACTTGTTTAAAACCAGTACGTAATGGGTTTTTTTTCTAAGTTCATTGCTGAAAAGCCCCTTTCAAGCGCTTGACAGAGAAAACATAAATTGCACCATACGCAATCAATTACACCATTTAGAAGTGAAGTGCTAGACTCTTGTAAGATAACCAAAATTGAAAATGTATCACAAACATTAACGGGAAAATGGCCGTCCGCGCGGACGTTGGATTCGAGAAATTAATTGTCCGCGGGGAATTTTCGGCCGCCGCGGTCGGACGGTTTTTCGAGCCCTGGTACACACGTTTCTTTTAGTTTGGCTGATTTTTGCCATTTTGAATAATTTAAAACTTCACCAGAATCCGCTAATATCAGTATTCCTATTCACGCGGTTTGCATATTAAGCATCAATTTTCGTATTGGTCTCATTTAAGTTACACATTGCGATTGGTATTCACATGTTTTAAAAATCTTATATCACTATTCATATTCAGGCAATTTTTAAAAATCCAACATTGCGATACTTGTAAGAACTAAGATTTTGCTTAAATTGGTTAATATTAAGGTGTGATATTCCTCATGGGTATGAAATTTAATTTTAAGTTTTTTTTTTTTTTTGTAACTATGAAACATCTGTAGTATATAAATTGCTATCTAGATATCTATTTTTTACACATAAAATGTTCAGGGGTTTTCACTTTGTTTCACAATCACCCCTGCTTATTAATAAGATAATTTCCTCACTAATTCACTTCCACTAACTAATTTCAACATTAATTCACAATTATTGAATGAATAATCATACATTATTAATCTTAGACTGACTTGGATTCTTGACCCTCAAATTATAGACAGCCACTGAAATATGGTACAAATAGTTAAAGAGAAAATTAAAAAGTTTAACCTTTTTAATCATTTAACAATGTAAAATTGCAAAATTTAAAAGAAATTTGTCATTATCGAATAAATTATGGCTTACTTAATTTTTAAAAGTTGGATATTTAATATTTGATTTCTCAAGAATCGAACCAATTTTATAGTTTTATCTAATTTTAATGGTTAAAAACTAATTTATGCTTAATTATTTAAAAATGTTAATTATCCTTTCATGTTTCCAATTATGTGCATGTTGCTGAACTTTTTGTATGTACATTTTCCTGAACAACTAAGTTTTTTTTGTTCCATTGTTGAACCTTATGATAGTCCTTTAGTTTGAGCTAAAACCCAAAATAATATAAACCTTCAATGTGCAGAATTTATTAATGTTCAAAATTTTTATTGCAGGTTGTTCGAACTGCTCTTCTAGATGCTGCCGGTGTTGCATCTCTACTAACTACAGCTGAAAGTGTCATAGTTGATATTCCAGAAAAAGAAGACAAAATGCCTATGGGTGGTATGGGAGGAATGGGTGGCATGGGAGGTTATTAAATATAAAACTATATTAGGAATTTTAAGACAATTGACAGATACTCAGAGATTAGGGATCAAGAACAGGTGTTACGAGTAATTGTGCATTTTTAATCATAACATTATCACTGTTCTCAAAAGTCATGCATTTTGTTAATTCATTGTAGAGCCTTGTATAATAAACAATTTTTTCTATTAACTTGTTTTTTCCTGTGTTCTTATGTGGTACATTATGCTCTAAATTATAATGATGAATTTTTTGATTTCTAAACTTATGTAATCAAATGAAATAAAGCAACTATTGCTATGGGACAACTATTTCTAAGTGATACTTTGAAGTTAAATAAATAATAAAACAAATGCTCTGTAATAAAAAAAAGTCTTCATCTTTTAATTTCAACTGCTTTCTAAAATTGACTTAAATTGTTTTAGTAATTAAATATGAAATATAAGTGGTGCATGGTTTGCTACAATTATTTCTTTGATTTATTAACTCTTATGTACGTTTAAGAGTTTAAAAGATGAAAGCTATTTGTATTAAACCAAAGTGTAATAAAAATTTCAATAGGTCTTTTATCAAAGTTAATATAATGTGTTGCAATAAGTGTTAAAAAGTTTATTTTTACCCTCATAGAAGACAGTTGCAGGTAATAAATTATTTTAGATGTTCCAGTTTAACAAAATTAAAGAAAGTCCTGAAATATTTTAAAATTCTAAGTTGAAGATATTCATTAATAAAATGCAAAGAGAATGAAACAGGGCACAAAGGAATATTAGAATGAAAAAAAAATTAAAGAATCAAGTAAAGTACAACATATTTAATTGCACAGCCTAGCTGATTTCTAGTATGAAAAACTATTTAATTTTGTTATAAATATGCCATAGATCTCTCCTCTGTACACTCCTTTCTTCTTGGATAGATTTAAGGAGCATTCTCTTTATTGAGAAGTAAATAATTATAAAAGTTTTTCTTTTTTTCAAATGCTAATCCTGAGATGATAGAACTAATAGTTTAGAAGTTATAAGGAATTTGTTTTATGAAAAGTAAATTTCGTCTTTTTGCTATCTAAACAATTGATTAGCAAGGTTTGGGCTCCACATTTACTAGCCTTCAAGCTTTTGAATAGTCTGCTTTTGTGCCTAATTTTAAGATCCCACATTTTCAAAATATTTGGGTTTCATTTTTTGACTGAGCAAACTAAACAGACTAAGCATTCATACCTGACATACCATCTTAAGCACATTTTATCCTGATCAGCAATTTTGTAATTGAGTATTTTTCATTAATTCCTACTTGGTAGTTTTTCTTCCTAGGAATGTAAACTGTAAAAATAAAAAAATAAAAGGTTTTAACTAAGTGTATGTCTACATCAGTGGTTACCAACTGGCGGTCCCCGGCCCGCGAAGCCTTTTTTTGTGGCCTGTGAACTAAAATATATTAGTTGTCATTTTTTGGGGACAATTTTCATAAAAAATCTAAATGGGTTTTAAATACTCGTTTAAAAAAACTAATTTTTTCGTTTCTGTGAAATTTAACATACTAACGGAGCAAAAAAATTTATTTCTCAGTCTTACCATCCAAGAAAATATTTTATTATTTGTAATTCAATACTTATGTTTTGTACAACTAGATAAATATCTAACAGTAATATTTAATGTTCCTTCAAACATTGAAGCGTCCTATATAAAATTTTGATAAAGTTGCGGCCCGCCATTTGACTGGTGTTTTGAATTGCAGCCTCATATAAGTTGGAAACCCCTGGTCTACATGAACATTTATTATAAGTAGAATTTTTCGTTCATAAAATTTTTCGCAACTTTTAAATACTGCCAGGTTACGTTTGATTCAGCAAAAACGAAAAAAAAAAATTCGCAATTTTAAATATTTACTCAAACAGAATATTTTTTGCAAAAATAACCATTGTAACTTATAAACTGTTAGTCTATAGTATCTGAATGATTTGGATCAGTGTAAAATAATGCATAAAGAACTGTTAGTCTATAGTATCTGAATAGTTTGGATCAGTGTAAAATAATGCATAAGGAACAGTACCTTACTTTCCCATTTTAAAGATATCCAGTTCTACTTTATAATCCTTTAATTTCCACCCAAAAAAAGAAAGTTGCAAATTTTTCATTTATAATGTGTCTTTCTGAAATAAAATAAAAAAAAACTTATGTTCTAAAAAGTGCTTAATTTTCTTTTTTCGAAAATTAGATTTCTTTCTTGTCGATTTTCGGTAAGTATTATGCAAAAGCGTGGTTTTCACATTGTTCTTTTCAACGTTTTCACAATTCATTTTAACCACAATCCATTTCAGCGTGGCGTCGGTCCGTAACGTATGATAGCATATAACATATTTGATGAAATACTTGGGAGTGGCTACTGAGCTGGGCTCGTGAGTTTATTGCACTTTCAAGTGACCTGGGGAATTTTTTGACTGAATAAAAAGAAATTGCTACAAAAACTGTTAAAATATAAATTTTCAAAGCTTATTTCAACTTTTTATGCAAAATAACTTACTTTCCAAGAAAAAAAAAACTTACTTTTATGAAAATGTTAAATATAAAACAACGTAATGTCAGTTTCTTTATTAACATGAATTATCGCTTTTTCTATCTAATTAGGTTATCTCTTTTTTTTTTTTAACACTGATGCTGTTTCTGATATTTTTAACACTTATTCATTCAAGAATTGTGTGGGGGCGATATCAATTTTTCCTTTGTTAAAGAAAAATATTTGCAATCTATGCCTTCTAAAAGCATTTTGAAAAGCTGCTAAAAATACAAAATTTTTAGGAGAAAATTCAAAACTAAAAAGGAAAAAAAAACTGCTCTTTTGGAATATTAAACTATTAGAATTTCCTACACCCTTGGTAATTAGTACCTATACGGTTGTATCCCCCAGGTTTAACTAAAAATTCAACTTTTATTTTGAAAAGTGACCTGAGTTTTTAAGACTTGTTGAAAGTGATTAACTGGAATTTAATTTAAAATGATTGATCGAATAAAAATCCGCTTTGGAGGAGCAGTTTAAGACATTTCTTGCAAAAAATAAGTTTGCTTATAGCTTGAATATTAGAAAACTACCGTAAGTATTTAAGTGTAACAAAAATAGACAGTAGGAAACCTTATCATCGAAATGAAACTTCTAACAATTCGAACGAAACTGATAAATCTATAAGTGCTGGTTCAGTTTTATTTTGGTTCAACTCATGTATATAACGTTTCAAAACTGAAAAAACTCATTGAAGTGATAGCATTACTATTATTTCGATGGTTTCGTTTTCGTCCACTATGTTTTGTTTGTTATAAAAATTCTTTGTTGTTGCTACGACAGTCAATTTTTGTGACAAACTAAATATGTTCTAGGGGTCTATGGAAGAGAATGAGCATCAATTTTTATGTGAAAGTAACTTTTTTATATCGATGTTTATGCAATATATAAAAAACTGTTTTCTTCATTAACTTAGTTAATGAATAAAAAGATATGAGTTCTACAAGTGTAGCTAGACAAAATAGGCGAATGCGCCAGCAGCAATTGTCTGCTTTAAATTCTCTCTCTTCTCCTATGACTCTTGCAGCTAGCACATTAAATTCTAGTCCTTCTAATTTTAAATCCTATGAAGTATCAACTGATTGTTCTTTGTCTGCTGATGAAAATAAATCGAATGAAAGTATCCAGGATTCCCAAAAAATTCAAGATTCTTTTACCTCAACTACTGGTTGTAGCTTCATAAACTGTGATGTCTCTAGTCGCCCCACTGGAAAAGTTTTTATTGAAGATGAAAGTATGTTAATTATGAAAGCTGTTAGTAATAATAATGCAAAATGGTGTTTTGTATTTTAAAAATGTTTCTAAGTACGCAAGAATATAAATAATGATGTTTTGTACTTAATTTGTATAAACAATATAATTTCGGTAAGAATATGAAGTGTAAAAAGGGTAGGACCATTTCACTCTGTATATGCAAATTTTTTTTAAAAAATATCTATTAATATAAGCTTTTTTTCAGAAAGATTGTTGGTAAACTTACAGGAGATATTTCCATATCAGTATACTTGTTCATATAATCTAAAATCGCCAACTGATTAAGTAAAAAATTGATCCTCTTTTATAATTGTTTTTCATTCTTTCTTTTTTTTAATATTCCTCATGTTTTAATCCTAAAATTTGACTGCTCTTATGAAAATCTTTTTAACTCAAACAATCATACTGAAATAGAGCTAAAAATGGTTTTAAATAAATTTAGTTAGAAAGGAATGATGGTCTTTTTCCCAACTCTTATCTTACACAAGCCTAAAGTTATTTTTCTTTTGTTCTGCCATACTTCTGTATCTGCTGGAGTGATTTTTAATTATTAATTTTATTATTTAGTATGTATTCCTCTGTCTCATTTAAGAATTCTCTTCATGGAAAGAAATATAAATTTTAGCTGTAATAAATGGTTTTGCGAGTTTATTTTATGTTAATTAAAGTGAAGTCAGGAGTTGATTCTGTAACATGCAGTAAGGATATTTTTATATCGCAGCCTATTTCTGCCAACTACAATCACTAAGAAACTATGCCAATCATATTTACATATCTAACAAATATATCTTATAAATTATCATTTCAATGAAAAAGTTAATATACAAAATACAGTTTACTCTTTGTCAGATAATATTTTGAGATATTTCCTTATTACTGTGTGCTCATGCCAACTAGCTTCACCAATGTGCTAAAATGTGTTTTTAGACTTGAAAACATTTTTTACAAAATGTGTAGTGGTTTGCCTAGGAAGGCTATGACTAGTTGGTTTCTTTCTTTAATGTTTTTTAATTTTTCTGGAGCCTGTGTACAGTTGTTGCCAAACTTTGATGACTTTTTTGGTTAAGAAACCGGCTTAAAAATCTTCCCTAATACTTCCTATTAAAAATGAAAAAATTTTTTGATTTGCATTGAACTCTTATTTATATAAAAAAGAAAAAAGCGGGAGATATCTTTACTTTCTGTCATTTAATCTAATTAATTCCATCTTCTTTTTAAAAATAGTAAAAGTTTTAGTAATTTTAAGCGCATTTTACTTAGTAAAGGAGACTGTCGCAGGTGTTTCATTCACAGGTATCATCCATTCATTACATACTTATAAATTTGTTTAATGAATTTTTTTAAAGTTTTCTCTTCTATGAAAATAAATTAGAATCAGTCAGGAGTTGAGATAGTTATGACCACTTGTGACTTTTTTTAATTATAACTTTTTTAATGTCTCCCTAAAACAATATAGATAAATGCTTTAAAGTGATTTTTTCACTTCTTTAATGTTGCAAAAAAAAAAAAAAATTAACATCTAGATAATAAATATTCTGTTTAGTTTCTTAAAGAAATGATCATGATTACCTCACCAGAAATTTCGTGAAAGCAAAAATTTCATTTAGGATAATCTAACCACATATAGTGAATTATAACAACTTGTTTTTATTGAAATTTTTATCTGAACATATTTTTAAAGGGTAACTTTGAATCACAAGTGCCAAAACTGCTTTTCAAAGATTAGAATTATTGGAATACTGACTCGATATAATTTTATTTAAAAATTATTTATAGGTTTCTGAAACATAGTATACTTATCATAAAAACTTTATAAAACATATTTTCTTTAATTTTTACCTTGCATGAGTTTTTTAAAAAATGGTGCTGATCATAATTAGCCTGATTCATAATCACCTCACTCAACCTTAACCAGGGTTCGCCAAGTGGGCCCACTTTGAAAAAACCCACCCGGGTTTTATTGGGTGGGCCCACCTTGAAAAAACCCACTTGGAACAACAAGTGGGTTTTTTCAAAAAAAATGTTTTTTACTAAAACTTATTGTTTCGCATTTACTTTTATATAATTTATTGTGCAGCATAAATTTGTCAAATAGAGTTCCATGATTTATATGATTAAGTTTTTAATATTAATAAAGTAAAAGAAACTTGAATCTTCATATAATTTTATAGTAGGTGTACTATTGAAAACTTCAAGTGGGTTTTTTCAAAAAGTAATATTTTAATGATATTAAATCAAATAAAAATTTAAATAATATAGTCTGAAAAGATCAATTTTTCAAATATAGTTGCATGCTTTATATATTAATAAAAAGGTTATTAATATTAATTCATATGTTTAAAAAAATTGAAAAGAAACAATTTTTTTCTTTTTTTACCAAGTGATACATTAACAAATTTAAGCAGTTTTATTTTCTGGCTATAAAAAAAAAGCTAAAACTTTCTGTAAGAGAACTTTTTAAAATTATTTAACTAAAAATGAAATCATTTTCCTAGAGTTAATTATTTGAAAACAAATGGGACAAGTAACTGATACTCTTTATAATTATACATAGTTTTAATTTCACTTTCTATTAAATCTTATTATATAAACATGTAAGACCATTAAATATTTATTTCAGTTTTTTATTTAACTCAAGTCAGATGAAATTTTAGTTTTTACTGATTATAAATAATTACAGATTATAAATATTTACAGATTATAATTTTATAATAGGTAATATCCATATGTTTAATAAATATAGTAGTAAATAAATGTGTGTGAAAACAAAAAGATTAATAAAATTGTTCCTTTTATATTACTGCATTTATATTTTATAATTCTTGAGTTAAAAAATTATGAAACGTAATGTACTTAACAATAAAGAAGATTCAAATATGTATTAGTGATAATGCATTATTTAAACTTAATATAAAATACATATAGCCAGGGTTCCCCAAGTGGGCCCACTTTGAAAATACCCACTTGGTGGTTTTTTTCACAAATTGTTTTTTTTTAAATTTGGTTCAAAAAGAAGTATCTCCTAATACTATCATTGGACAAATCGTTGAAGTTAACAAATATTTTAGAAATGTGCATCAAGCACATGGATGGGCAAATGAAATAAAATGCTTGATGACCCAATGATACTAGGTGGAACTCATATTGTGAGTGCGTAAAAACTTTTGCCAATATTTAGCATAAATAAGAAGAGATTGTTCTTGAACATCAAAATAAATCTAATAATAATATGTCCAAAATATTAAATAACGTTGGGCTTTACCAATAAACTATCAATTGGGAAAAACAGATATCAATTGTTTCTAAAGCTTTAAAAAAGCTTCAATCAGAAGACATTTCAATTTCAGAAGCTGTTGAAATATGAATTANGACAGTCAATTTTTGTGACAAACTAAATATGTTCTAGGGGTTTATGGAAGAGAATGAGCATCAATTTTTATGTGAAAGTAACTTTTTTATATCGATGTTTATGCAATATATAAAAAACTGTTTTCTTCATTAACTTAGTTAATGAATAAAAAGATATGAGTTCTACAAGTGTAGCTAGACAAAATAGGCGAATGCGCCAGCAGCAATTGTCTGCTTTAAATTCTCTCTCTTCTCCTATGACTCTTGCAGCTAGCACATTAAATTCTAGTCCTTCTAATTTTAAATCCTATGAAGTATCAACTGATTGTTCTTTGTCTGCTGATGAAAATAAATCGAATGAAAGTATCCAGGATTCCCAAAAAATTCAAGATTCTTTTACCTCAACTACTGGTTGTAGCTTCATAAACTGTGATGTCTCTAGTCGCCCCACTGGAAAAGTTTTTATTGAAGATGAAAGTATGTTAATTATGAAAGCTGTTAGTACTGTCATAAAATAAATAATACAAAAAGGTGTTCTGTGTTTTAAAAATGCACCTAAGATAAATAATAATGTTTTGCATTTAGTTTGTATAAACAATATAATTTCAGTAAGAATATGAAGTGAACAAGGGTAGGACCATTTCACTTAATATATGCAATTTTTTTTTAAAAAAATTGCTATTTATATAAGCTTTTTTTTCTGGAAGAATGTTAGTAAACTTACAGGTGATATTTCCAAATCAGTACTTCTAAAATCGCAAATAAAGTGAAAAATTGATCCTCTTCTATAATTGTTTTTCTTTCTTGATTTATTTTTAATATTTCTCATGTTTTATTCCTAAAATTTGACAGCTCTTATGAAAATCTTTTTAACTCAAACAATCATATTGAAATAGGGCTAAAAATGGTGTCAAATAAATTTAGTTAGAAAGGAATGATGGTCTTTTTCCTAGCTCTTCTCTTACACATGCCTAAAGTTATTTTTCTTTTGTTCTGCCATGCTTCTGTATCTACTAGAGTGAGTTATATTTATTCATTTTATTATCTAGTAATGTATTCTTCTGTCTCATTTAAGAATTCTGCATGCGAAGAAATATAAATTTCAGCTGTAATAAATGGTTTCGCTAGTTTATTTTATGTTAATTAAAATGAAGTCAGGAGTTGATTCTATATCATGCAGTAAGGATATTTTTATATCACAACCTATTAGTGCCAACTACAATTACTAAGATACTACGCCAATCATATTTACATATCTAACAAATATATTTTATAAATTATCATTTCAATGAAGAAGTTAATATACAAAATACAGTTTGCTCTTTGTCAGATAATATTTTGAGATATTTCCTTATCACTATGTGCTCATGCCAACTAGCTTCACCAATGCGCTGAAATGTGTTTTTAGACTTGAAAGCATTTTTTATAAAATGTGTAGTGGTTTGCCTAGGAAGGCTATGAGTATTTGGTTTCTTTCTTTAATGTTTTTTAATTTTTCTGGAGCCTGAGTACAGTTGTTGCCAAACTTTGATGACTTTTTTGGCTAAGATACCGGCTTAAAAATCTTCCCTAATACTTCTTATTAAAAATGTAAAAAAATTTTTGCATTTTTTTATTTGCATTGAACTTTTATTTACATAAAAAAGAAAAAAGCGAGAGATATCTTTACATTCTGTCATTTATTCTAATTAATTCCATCTTCTTTTTAAAAATAGTAAAAAAATTTTAGCAATTTTAAGCACATTTTACTCAGTAATGGAGACTGTCACAAGTGTTCCATTCACAGGTATCATCCATTCATTACCTGTACTCATTACATACTTATAAATTTGTTTAATGAATTTTTTAAAAGTTTTCTCCACTATGATTAAAATTAGAATCAGTCAGGAGTTGGGATAGTTATGACCACTTGTGACTTTTTTTATCTATAACTTTTTTAATGTCTTCATAAAACAATATAGATAAATGCTTTAAAGTGATTTTTTCACTTATTTAATGTTGCAAAAAAAAATTAACAACTAGATAATAAATATTCTGTTTAGTTTCTTAAAGAAATGGTCATCATTACCTCACCAGAAATTTCATGGAGATAAAAATTTCATTTACGATAATCTGACCACATATAGTGAATTATAATAAGTTGTTTTTATTGAAATTTATTTTTGAACATATTTTTAAAGGGTAACTTCGAATCAAAACTGCGTTTCAAAAATTAAAATTATTGGAATACTGGCTCGATAATTTTATTTAAAAACTATTTATAGGTTTCTGAAACAAAGTATACTTAACATAAAAACTTGATAAAGCATATTTTTTCTTAATTTTTACCTTGCATGAGTTTTTTAAAAAATGGTGCTGATCATAATTAGTCTGATTCATAATCGCCTCACTTAACCTTAACTGAAAAATTAAAATTAAATTGCTTTGGTTGGTTCTTTATTTATATATACCATCGGACCTCTATTTAACGAAATCGCTAAATCCCAATAATAAATTTGTTATATGGAAAATTGATACATCTTTGTCTTAAACTAGTATCTTCTATTTATTTTATAAATCTTAATCTTAAAAGAAATTTGCATGGAAAGCAAGAATAGAGCAAAACGTTATCCAGTGTTACACTATCATGCTACATACATTTTCAATTAAAAAACGCTGAATTGATTTATAAAACTACAGCTGCATTTATTATAAAAGTAATTTTAAACGTACATTATCACATGCGTTCTTAAGTTTAATTGCTACTGATAAAATCCATTAATTTCGTTTGAACTGCAAACAAGAAGGGAGAGACATTTTACTGCTTTCTCTAATGGCTTCAAAAATCGATTCAAGGTCATTTCCCCATAAAATGCAACAACAAGTTTGAAATGTTCTGAAATATTTTGGAAAATAAGGAAAGTGGATCTCAAAGAAAAGTTCATAAAATAGAAAATTTACTTCGCTATTTGTAAGTTATTTTACGAAGAAATTTCCAAAATGTTCTTGGTTCCTCAAAAAAATCCCAAAATAGAAAAATTAAAAAAATAGAAGTTCGTTGAATAGAAATCCGACTGTATTTAGAATTATATATACCGTTTTACCATAAACTCTATATTATATTATATCTGTATAGGAGGCTTTAAAGTGGTGGATGCTAGTGAAGTTATGCAGTCATTTAAGAATGAGTATTCTTCAGCGGAGTCTATGGAAAGAGAGCCTGCAATTCTATTGTCATATAAAGCAGCAAGAATGTTTCAGAATTTCAGTACCTTTTGTCACGGACTTCTGGGAGGAATGTCACTCATACATTTGCTGTTGCTCACTCATCTCATCACATCTAATTCATCAAATGAAGATAAAATGAAACATTTTGGTTTCTTGTCTCAGCCAGTCCATAATATCTATAATTTCATTTGTGTCATTTGTTGCATATCTGCATTTGACAGGTAAATGGCAACTTTTATTAAATTTCATTCTGTGTTACATTAAAAAAAATAATAATTCCACCACTGTTGTTTTTCCTACCAGCTCAACATTCTTTGCAGTATGCAAAATAAAAAACAAAACTCTAGGTATAACTTTTGATCGAATGAGACGATTTTCTAGTAGTAATATATAATCATATTATAGTTGGCGATATAGAGCTTAAATGTACTACAGAAGACTGCAATTTAAGTTATAAATTCTGTACTCTCTCTGAAGACATTTTTTTTGTGAACTTGAACTTTAGACCCTCATAATATAAATGGTAATTACTACATAGAACCAATGGTTTTGATAGTTCAGTTATAAGAGTGGTCAGAAGTTTAAACTACTTCATATTCATTTTAATTTTTGTGTATTTTGCAATGTTTCTAAATGCATTTGAATTTTTCACTCTCTTTGAGAGTAAAATATCTGAATGCAGCAAAAAAAAATGTACATTTTATTCAGAGAAAATACAGATTTTGCAACTTTCACATTAATTTATAATAATATTTAACCATATTAAATTATTCTACTATATTTGTAACATTTTCATCTATATTATTCCATAACACGTAATAAAAGATGGTGAGACCTGTATCCTTCATGAAAAGAAACTTATACAAAAAAACACTCCTTTATTGTAGAATGGTATGAATAGCTTTTTGCATAAGCTTATAGCTTTGTATTTCCATTAACAAAGTTTAAGGTTCAGGCTATTCAATGGAGCCATTTAGGGCCAAGAATACAATACTTGTCACACACATATGTCACGGTCCTTTTTACAGCGAGTACTCATTCACTGACATTCCATCTATTCGCAGATAGTGATTTTGACCTGAATACCCCAGGTCAAAATCACGATCTGTGAATTTGACCTGGGATCAGATTCACAGATCAATCTCCAATACAGTACCCCCAGAGATTTGAATTGTTATGGGAACCTGGTGATCTCGACAGAGTGAGGTCAATATCATAATGCAAAGTCATTATATTGTGAATAAAGCTCTAAATTGTTACTCAAAGTTAAAAAAAATTGGCTAATTTTGACAAAATAATGCGATATTTTTTAAAAACAATTAGGAAATATTAGCAGAATAATCAATAATGATACTTCATAGGTGAAATATGTATTTAGTATAATAATTTGGTACAGGGCAGCCATTTGTGATAAATAACATACAGCCAAAGTACACAAGTTTTAACTCAAAGATTAACATTTCAAAAAAAGAGTGAATGAAATTTTCAGTTGTACATTTATCCTTTTATTCTTATAAATGCATATCAGACTTCATACAGGTTTCCATATGATCATATAATCTATGCTTTTGATCATCAGTGGGATCCATAATTAACTAACTTTTTCACCGTAGATCATGACAGCCTAGGCTAAGAGTCTGGGTATCTTGCAACTTTTCTTCCATTTAAAAAGGTAAAAAAAATAAATCATGGATTTAACAACAGCAAAAAAGTGGTTTTAATAATTTCTTTGAAACTTTTGTTTAATTAAATTACTTCAATGACTATGGAAACATTTTGTTTTGAAAGGGCAAAAACATTGAATCTTAAAAAAAACTAAACTAATTTTAGTTCCTGAATAAGGATGAACAGTTTAGTGCAGATCAACATTAAAATAACAATGCTTAACATAACTTATTAAACGTTATGATGAAAGTGCAGTTCTAAAGATGGTCTTACGAAGAGCATAGGCTGTATTTTCAATAGTTTTTATGTATTGTTGCTTGTGATCCAAAAGAGCGGTATAATTTACATTGATTTCTAAATTATTTTTTTATCCTTCTAGGCATGATGTTGGAAGTATCAAGAACTTGCTTCAGAATGTTAAGAAATGCCATCCAACGCTTTGCATTATTTTTATATATCCGTTGTGCCTGTTAATGAGTTTGAGTACTGTTAACGTCGATGAAAGATTTTGGCTATCTTACAACAATGCAACAGATGTTGAAATGCTGACTTCAAAAGTATGAAGAAATTTTTTTTTTGATTTTGCTATTATCTTGATTTCTAAAGTGAATTGCACAACATTTAAATTGAGGTATATCTTGTGTAGTTGAATTTAGTGAACTTGAAATTTTGACAACTCACAAAATTGTATACAGACATAATGCTTTTAAAGACCTATCTCATAAATTTCCTTAGCCTTTTCTTTATAGTTGGTAAATATGACTGAATGACATTGCTATGTGTAATAAGCAAATGGTTAATATGTAATATATTTTAAGGTAGCCTTGAATTTCATAACCCTGGGAAATTTTACTTTAATTTAGGGATATGTATCAGATACCAAGTTTGCTCGGCTAATTTCCAGGTTTTAACCAGGATGCACCAAAATAATTTTTCCTACCTCTAACCGATTCTTATTCTCAAGACTCGGTACGAGGTATTTGTTACCAGATATCACTCATTAAGGTTTGACACAAACCACATTCAGATTTATACTAACCTTAAATTCATAAAATTGATTGTTTTAGAATTATATGCATTGCATCAGGTTTTTTAATAATTAAGCTGGAAAAGCTGATTTATGTAGACAAAATTAGCTTTTGTACAGAATATTGATTGAGTGAAACCTTAATACAGAACATAAATAGTACTTTTAGAACAGAGAATATGTTCCCTGAAGATAGAGGTCTTCTTAGGAGATTGACATGCAAATATAATGTTAAAAACTAAATTAATATGATTGTTTACTAAATATATAATAGGTAATTATATAGATATTTATTTAAAGTTGACTGTATCATAATGATTAAAATTTAAAGATAACTGGAAAAAATATGAGTATTACTCTTATACTAATTTGCTTTTAGCTAATGACTAAATGTAATTATTTGGATTTGGAGATTTAGTATTCTATATAAGAACTCAGTTTTATGGAACACAACAGTTGCAAAGAAAGCAAATATTTATTAAAAGGGACACATTAACTAGTCTGCTTTAAGTTCTCTTACCTTCAGATTAAATATGAAAAGTTTTTGTTTCTCTATGTTATACAAATGTGTGTTAGTTTCACAGAAAAAGTTTCTCATGAAAGCAAATTTGCCCTTTGTTTGATTCAGAAGTTTAAAATTATAGGATTAAGAAAAATAATTGTAACTTTAAGAACAACAAAACCTTCATCTGAATCTTGTGTTATAAAATTTCTCACCGAGTTTAAAAAATTGTAATAAAATAAATAATGTGAATATTTTTACTTTTATGATTTTCAAATGATTAAATATTAATCCCAGATAGTTAAAATCTTTTTTTATTTAAAACACCATCAATTTGTTAAAATAATTTTTAATAACATTATCATTCTACATCCTAACAGTCATCCCTAATTTTGTTTTCATTATATTTTTATAAATAGAGTTTAGAAAATCTGAAAATATGGACTTGCAATTAATTTCATTGGAACTTTTTATTATTTATTGCTTTTCCATTCAGACCCATTTCAAATTTTTTTTAAAAATTATTTTATTATCTTTCTTTGAATTTGCTTAAGATATTCTGGTCAGCTTTTCATAAGTTTTTGTTAGAAAAATTCTCAAATCTTTCTTGCTTTGTTTCTAAAAATAAAGATCTAGTTCAAATTTTGGATACGCTCAGTAAACTAGAATACTTATGGGAAAAACTGGCAAACAAGAAACAAAGATGGAAAGTCATAAGTAATTATTTTTTTAGAAGTCCTCTCAAATTATTATAAGGAAAAGTCTTACTTTTATTTGAGTTAGTTATTTTTTTTCAAACTTTTTTTTTCTTACTATATTTTAACTTGAAAAAACATAAAAATAATGAATAATAATGAATTCTGACTAATAATGAATTCTGATTTTTTAAAAATAAGTTCAACTTATAACTTTCATAGAAATTAGTTTTACTTGTATTTCTTATTTAAGTATAAATGATTTAATACTCGATGAAAACAAAACTTTTTTTTTATAGATATGAATACAGACATATTCAGTCTATGTATTACATAATTTTTATTATAAGGAAACAGAAACCTGTGTACTAATAACATGAACAAATTTTCTGATCTTTAAGTTCAATAAATATGTAGTATTTAATAACACTACTAAAACAAATATGTAGTCATTTACATTACCAAAAAGCAAGTACTATTTAACAAGTACTACAAAAAGCAAGTATTATCAGCATTTTATTTTCATAACATAATAATTCGGTGGGTGAGAAACCTCTATGTTTAATATGTAACCATTTCTTAAAGTAGTATTCATTTAGTCATTAATAACATTTAAAAATATAATATCTGTAACTAAGTTTACCATATTTAGAGGTTTTTACATCAAAGATTATTTTATAAGCATTAAGATTGAAAAATTGGTTTATAACACAATAATTCTTTATTCTACCCTAGGGCTAAAACTTCTGAATGTCATCTTATTAATCCATGTCTAACTGCTGATTAGAACCAAATTTGTTTTATAAATAGATTTTACTGTACACCTTTTTATCTTCAATTACATATTTAGAAGTTAAATTAATTATAATTACATATTAGAATTAATAATTACATATTCGAATATTAGAAGTTAAAGGGGAGAAAAAGGTAAAATGAATATTTTTAATCAATAAATAGGAATTTCAATGTGTTATTTTTGTTAACTTTTTTCTTTAAAGAAAGAAAAGAAATGTTTATATATTTTTTTCTTTTTTAGGATGTATCAAACGAAATTTTCTACTGGAAGACCTTAAGCATTTTGAAGTGTGTTGGTGCTATAATAGCATGGATTTTAATAAGCTTCAAACCAAATCATAACATTTTCCTCAAACAAATTAAAAATATTCTAGAGAAAAACAAAAATATTCATTGAAAATTGCTCATCTCTTGTTTTTTAATATCATTACTTAACACAAGTTATTTATGAACAATTAAGGAAATAACATTGGTTCTGTAATAGCATGGATTTCAATAAATTTCAAACTGAATCATAATATTTTTTCAAACAAATAAAAAATATCCCTGAGAAAAACAAGGATGTTTGTTAAAAATAGTTTCTTGTAACTTGTTGCTATGTAAAAGTTATTTATGAATTATTTAGAAAATAACATTTTATTGAATTCTTAAAATTTAAACTATAAATCTAAACTCCAACACAACATTCCAGAAGAGTCTGTAAAAACACTATTTATATAACCATGAGAAATACACTCCATCAATTATACAAAATGTAGATTTAATAAAGGTGAGAACCACTGAAACTCTGATGACAAATTAAATTTGCATGAATAAAATTTCTAAATTATAAAATTTGTAAAGCTGTAATAAGAACATACATTTCATATAAATTTAAACACTATTTAATGTCAAAAATGCTATAGTTTAAATGTGAGATTCATAATTCATGTAAAAACAAAGCAAGACCCGAGAAGCAGTTTAAAATTTGTAATTCATCTAGATAAGATTTGATCACTAAATAGCATTGTTTGCCTCTATTTGTATTCTAGCCTTATAATCATTTAAATGCACTCTTAGCTTTCTAAAATTAAGGAGATGATTGCCAAAATTTACATACATTGCTACATTACATGCTTAAAAGATATAGCTTTGTGTCTTGATTTTGTTGACAAAAATTGTATGTGAATTGATTGATAGAATCAGAATTTTATGTAATATAAATTTTTGGCTATCTTAACAAGCAAATGTTCCAATTAGCGAGGTTCTTCAGAAAAATTAAATAACATTTGTTACATAATTGAATAGCTTTTTTACTCTAAAAATATTATTATAAATTTCATAAAATTCTTATTACCGGATATAGAAAGTTATTTCAGTAAATATTGTTAAAAATATTTAGCACTAGCCATTTCTTTCTGAAAGTTACTTAACACATAAGTATTTTTTATCTGTTCAATTTACTTATTTCTTTTAAAAGTGTTGTTAAAACAACATTATGCACTTTCTTTATATTTAATAAGAAATTAAATATATAAATCTTTTTTCACATTTAAGTTGTTATTAACCTGTTAAATGGGGATTAAACTTTTATTCAACTAGTTCCACTAGACCTTTTTCTTGATAATTATCAGCAATATATCCACACCTCAAGTAATTCCCTTGACGAAAACTTATCATGCACATTGCAGCATTAGTATGCGTATGACAAAATATTTCCAGTTAACAGGTAAACAAATTATTGAGAAAAAAGAACATATTTCTATTGAAAGGCTGCTATTTAATTCTTTTTTTAAGATAGCTGGTCACCTTTTTTTTATATTTAAATAATTTTTGTATTTCATGTCAGTTCTATATAGAGAAATGCAAAAGAATTTGCATAGGAAAATGTTTACCTCATGTCATTTTCTGAGTCATTATTTGTCACAACACTTATTTAGAAAATGTACCATTTACTTGTTATTCTACATTTTATTTATTTATTTTTGTTTAACAGTGTTATTCATCAGCTTAATGCTATCTCTAGTCATTATTAATAAAAGTTATTTGAAACCTGCACTTGCTATTTTGCTTTTTTATTTTTAAAACAGTATTAGTTCTATGAAATAAAGTAAAATGGATTACTATTAAAAATATTTATCACTAGTCACTTTTAAGTCATTATTTTGTAACTGTTTATTTGTGATATACTGTTGAATAGCTGTAAATAAATCTTTTTGAATAAATAAATCTTGTTCAAATTTATGTATTGGTATTATAACAATAGAAAAAATATTATGTAGGAAGATACATATTACAAATATTTTATCACTAATCACATTCAGGGTCTACATAAGTTATTTCATAACTATTTAAAATAATTTATTTCTGTTGTAAATCTGTTCAACTTTGATAAATTTAGTAAAATCTCTTTCATGCTTAAATTTTTTTAAACCAATTTCATATCAATATTAAAAAAATCAAAAAGAATTTGTGTTGGAAGCCATTAATTAGAATTATTTTATTGCATCTGAAGGAAAATTGAATGCCTTCTAAGTTATTTAACATAGCAGTTATTTGAAACTGTCCAGTAAATACATTATTGAAAGTATGTTTTGTTACAATTTGACCATTTTAGTAAGCTTTAATTTTTACCCATTTTTTTTCTTAATGGTTAGATTTTGAACTATGGTCTTACATGCATACCTATAATAATAATTTATAATTATTTTCAAAATTTCTTAATTTTTGAAAAAGTTTGAAATTTAAACATATTTTTAGCAGTTAGTTCCTATTAACAAAAAAAAAAATAATAATAATAATTTAAAATTTCTATGTTGAGTGCAACTAGACCTAGTAAAACTTTTTTTCAAACAAAATTTTTAATTTTTGTTGTACTTAATTTACTGTACTTAATTTACATGTATTAATTTTCTGTTACATTAATTTTATGAAAGAAAAATCTATTTTAAATTAATAAAATTAGAAATTTAATTAAGAATAAAATATACAGTTAAAATTATTTTGCTATAGCTACAATAGGTAGTTCTTCACATCAGCAAGAACAAACATTTCATCAATCTTTTATTATTTGACCACAAAAGTGCAGCACTGTTAAAACTTTATTCTATATCAGAAATTACTATTAATCTTCTTGCTATATACTATGTAAAAAAATTTTGTGAAGGTGTGAGTTATTCAAAGTTTACAATACAACTTTTAATAAAATTAAAAAAATTTAGCATGATTTGACCATAAAACTTTAGGACAGTAAAACGTGACAACTTAGAGGATTTCAATGCAACTTATAGTAAAAAATAATGGTTTTTCATGTAATTTAACAATATAATTGTAAACCTGTGACAACTTACTCATTTTGCATAGCATAATGAAATTTTTGAAAATATGTCACTAATTCAAAATTTTAAATGCAAATTATGTAGTATTTTTTATGTGGTTATTAATAAAAAATAAACCAGAAAGTTTTATAATTTTTATTTAAAAAAAGGAATATTTAATAATCAAACTAAACACAAAATAGAAAAATCAATCCATTCTCGTTTTCAAAATTTTTGTTGTTACTTTATCTTTCTCCCTAAAAAAGAAATTTTGATATTAAATTAAATATAATCAATTACTAAATAATTGAGAATAATATTAATGAAACAATTGTTATAAAAATTTTAAATAATATAATTACAAATAAGGAATTTGAAGATAGTTTTTACAATGGAATTTTTTTTTTTCTTAAACTTTAATTCCTTGAGAAGAAAAAAAATCTTTTAAAATAAATAAAATTAAAAAAAACTAGTCAACTTATTTAAAAAAAATGAAAATATGAAGGTTTTATTCAAACAAATTGTTAGACAATTAAAGTATAAAAACTGATCATAAAATTAAAACAAAAACTATGTGTATACCATGCAACAAATAATGTAATATTTGAAAATATCTAATAGAGGGGTTCTAATAAATATCCTACAAAAGTGGCCTCAGAAACATAATATGCAGATGTCCAAAAGTTAAGCATAATTTTGCAATTTGTTTTAACTTTTAGACACCAGTGTGTATATCAAGCATAAAAATATGAAGTAATTTTCTTTTAGCTATTAGAAGAAGAAAACTTTCACTTACACTATGTGTACAATTCCACCCCAACCAGATATAGCATCACGGTCACAGGAATTAACTAAGGCTTGGGAAATTTTTTCAAAAAGTATATCTGGTTCCTGAAAATTAAATACACTTTATTAAAATTTTAAATTTGAACTAAAATTCAAACTCTTATAAAACATAAACATTAAATTATGTAGAAATTTATTCGGACTAAAACAGCATTAGGCGAGTTTTGAAACTGTAATAATATGTAATATAATATAATAATATAACAAGTAAATAATATAACAAGAAATATTTCCTGATACTTTTTAAACTGAATGACAACAATTCAAGCCTACAAAGAATTCATTTTTATATTTTCATTGTTTTCTTCTTTAAAACATTTCAAGCCAAATCATAAAGCAGACCTACCAACCTCAGAAATTCAAGAATTTCTAGTCAACAATTTTTTCTAAATTTGTTTTTACAAAGAAAAACAAAGTTAAGTATGTTGGGGGTATTAATTTACATGTACTCACTTTACAGCATTTTATATTCATCTTATCTAAATAAAGAAAAAATTTTGAAATGTCACTGCACTGTAAAACACAACACTGAGTAGCTAAATTCTCAAGAAACAGGCTGCACCTTTTCTTAATACAAAAAACAATTGAAATATTACTTGAGTTAAATCAGCATGGATTAAAATATCTTAAAAGAGAAATCTTTCATTTATGTCTAGTTAAAAGCAGTGTTGCACATTTTCTTTGGTTTACCGATTTTTTTTTTTAAAAAAAAAAGATTTGATAAGGAGTTAAGAATAAACCAAAGATATTCAAAATAAAAAATGGTCTAGTAGGAAAGAATTATCGGTCAATAAGCAAATTGTGCACAGGTCTGCCAATAAAATTTTTTTTTTAGGGACATAGCCTGAGAAAACATTTGCGGCCTGATGTCCTGAAAATGGCCACAAAATTCTGACACTCAGGAAGAAAGCTTAAGAAAATTCGAGAAATTCATTTTTAAAAATCTCTAGTAATTATCTGACGAGATGGTGCGATATGACTTATCTCAAAGTTTCCCAACTACAAGACTTCAAACACGTACATCTGTTATTTTTTTTAACCATTCTGCATAGATTTATATTATTCCATTTTATTTGTTTGCAAATATTAATGATGTATTCAAACAATTGAAATATTACTTGAGTTATATCAACATGAATGTCTTTTAAAAGAGAAATCTTTTATTGCCTTGTTAAAAGTAGTGTTGTGCTTTTTCTTTGGTTCAACAAATTTCTTTCAAAAAAAGATTCTAAAAAGGAGTTAAAGATAAACCAAAGATATTCAAACTGCAAAATGGCTGTGAAGGAAAGAGTTATTGAACTATAAGCAAATTCTGCACAGGTCTGCCAATGCAAAAAATTACTATTAGGGAAAGAGCCTGAGAAAACACTTTTGTGGCCTGATATCCCGAAATTAGCCACAAAAGCCTGAAACTCAGGCTGAAAACTTAAAAGAGTTAGTAAAGGCATGTCTGCAAAAATTGCATTATTCTTTGGCTTTTTTCCTCCTTAAAATCAAATCCCCAGACAAATTTAGGTTTCCATAACCCCAGGGGAATGGGGTGCATTTGTATTGCCATTGTGATCACTTTACAAGATTGAAAAATGGAACACAGAGCAAACCATGATACAGTGTTAAAAGATTTTTTGTTATAAAAAATAAAGATTTATTATTAAGAAAATGCTTTTGAGTTTAAAAACAAGTTAAAATATATAAAATACTGAGCAGTTGGGATTTGAAGACACCTGTTTCAAACAATAAATTCAATAGGGAGTTTTAAAAATATTCTAATGAATTATGTATGGATAGTTTTTTTACCATATCCTTCTCCCATAAAGCTTCACACATTCCAAAGGCTTGATCCTCACAAGTTCCAGACACTACAAAATCCTCAACAGGCCTACCAGATCCAATTACATCTAAACCACAAATATAAGGCTCGTTTGTTCCAGGTTCAAGACCAGCCACAATAGGAGACACGAAAAAAGGTCCAAATCTATTAATGAACAGATGACAAGTAAGAAGAGATAAATGTATAAGATTACAAAAATATGTATGCATAATACAAACCTCATCTCATACAGAAGATTTGACAGAACTGATTGTAGAACTGCAGGTCTCATTTTTCTGTCTTCTCTAAGTTCATACATATTTACACGAAATTGTAATTTTTGAGCCCTTTAAATGAAATAAAATAAAGAAACATGAAGTTTTTTCCAAATTAATAAACAGCTATTTAAATATTTAATACATTGGAAAAAAGAATTTTGGCAAGTTCAGGTAATAGATTTTTTGAGATGACAAGTTTTTTAAAGTAAACAAAGATTAAAACATATGTTATTTAGTAATAAATAAAAAAAAATTGCAGTTGATGCCAGTTTTTATGCAACAATGTTTTGTTATTAGTTAAATGACTATTAATTTTTCAGAAAAAAACTTAGTATGATTAAGGTATTGCCAATAACAAAATCTAACAAAATAAAATAAGAAAGCAGGAGTTGATGTTTGATGATTTTTCTTTTTTTTATTGTTCTCATCATAATCTATGCTAAATTTTGTGGCAAAACATATTGATTAGGAGACTTCACTAAAATTTACTTAATAATAAAGTTATCTTAATAAAAGTTATCTGCATATTTATAGTTAGATAATAGATATTATTCTTAAGCAAATTTAGAGTTTGGGTTTTGTGAGCATCCATTTCTCACTATAAATTTTTATTCTTTATCAGGTTCTGCACACATATTTTTGATATTGTGGTATTATTAGTTATTACACTTATTACAAAATAAATATATTTTACAAATATGATATACTTATGATGATATTTCTATTTCATTTTCCATTTTTGAAGACTGTTCATCTCAACCAAAATCACTAAGTGCCATTCGTGTACCAGCAATAAATAAAATATACAGGGTGGCTTAGCAAGAAGAAGTAATGACTTCTGTTTGGGATCCCGCTTTGAGATTTTTTCAGTAATATTCTGTTTGGGAACCGCAAAAAAAAAGCAGACTAATATCTGGATCATTGAAAATTATGGTATTAGGAACAATGATGAACCCTTAAAATAAAACCTTTATCTACAGTTACTCGCATGCAGGGTTGGCAACTTTTGGACAACTGACAATGGTTTTTTTAATCATATCAAGAAACCCTCTTTAACATGAGTCAAAACCTCAAGATTTTTGTGAAAAACTATCAGATTATTTAAGTATACAAAATGACATAGATATTTTCATGGGTTGTCTATTGTGAGAGAGAATCTAGGAAAAATTCTGTAATTTTCTTTTTTCTCAAAATTTCATTTTAAATGGGATTCTTCTATTAAAGCCTTAAACATAATAACCGGTTATTCTAATTAACATTTTAGCTGAGCATACAAAAAGGAACCAACTATAATTAATATAAAATTTTTAAATGTAGTAATTTGACGTGATTTTTAAGTTTAATAAGACAATAAGGGCTTTGAACATACATTAAAATGTATACTCACACGGTCGCAGTATCAGTGGCTAAACCAGGAAGGCCAACATATAATCTTGGTCCAAGTTCATATATTTTCTTGAAATCCATGCTTACAGTTTGGGCTCTGACTCCTAATCTTCGATCAGAAGCAATAGCAAAGCAATTTTTTCCTGTCATAGCAATGACAAGTCCACCGTTGTATTCGAATATACTCTAAATTTAAACATCAAATTATAAATAATGCCACACATTTCCTCACACAATAAAAAGTTAAACTTTATTTTAAAAGTTTACTTACCATGATGACGATAAATTAAAGGGCCTAAATATAAAATATAATGCAATAAAACTTTGAAAAAGTAGAAATTCAACAGAAGACAAAAACAGAGAGTTGCCGATTCATTTATAAACAGTTAAATTTGCAGTTAAGATCGCTTTATCTTTTATTTATTTTCTTCTTTGGAAATTTTGAAATAAGTTTGAATTTGGCTGGGAAAAAAATGTTTTTTTCGTACCGAGAAAGATCTAAAATAATACTAAAATTCTCTTTATTACTTAGAGAGGAAAAATTCTACACTAATAGTTATTAATCACTAAACTGAAAATTAACTTTAACCACTACGAAATGTCTTATTAAATGTCGCCAATACATTTACATAGTTCTTATATTAAAATGTTTTTGTCTTAAATTTCAATCATTCGAGTAAAATAAAAGTAAGCATTCTTGACTGATCTGCTTAAAAAATTGCTTGACATTTTATTAATTTCACTGTTAAATCTTTACTCATTTGTGCTGATATAAATGTCAACAGGTTATGCTAAAATTAAACTGTAAACAAATGAAAAAATGTAACGAAATTTCCTGGTTTTGCATTTTATAAAAACAACTATGATGTAATAAAGAAAGCAATAACTCTCATTTTTAAGATTCTTAACTTATAATACTGTGACACATACGTTTGAAATATTTTATAATTCGCTACTTTTCAACTTTTTCATTAAGGGATCTTTTCATTTCGAGTGTCTATTATTTTTAGATTTTATGCTTGATCGTTCATTCCACAAATTTGACTCGTTCAGAATATAATAAATTTAAAATTCATTGTAGAAAGTATTAAAAAAATCATTAAGTGCACTGTGAATTATATTGAAAAGCAAACTGCTGATTAGAAATAAGGAATATTTATTTACTTGCCCTTCCCTTTATAGACGTAGGACTGAAATATATCAGCCTTTTTTAATTAATATATATCTACTATAAATGCCAAACAAGCAAAAAAACTTTTTCAACTTCCAAAGAACTCTTAAGTAATTTACAAGCTGCTAAAAACTGCTGCTTCAGCATTCTTTATATATCATGAAAGACATCATTGATGTTTTTGGAAATTCTAAGTAATTATTTACTTGAAGGGGTGTTGCTAATGTCAAGATTCACTTGTATGATACTAATTAAGAAATTCCTTGTAAATTGTATTAATATGTTTTTCTTTTTTTACTAAAACAAATTGCTATGCCTACTCTTGAAGTTGATTTTATACACTGCTGCCATATGATCAAATGTAGGGTTTATTAATCCCTTCACGATCAGTTAATTTTCAAGAAAACGCCCGTAAAAGTTCCTATTTTTTTGTATTTGTATTACGTATTTGATTAGTACTGCAACTAGTTTAAAATAAACTAACTATCTACAATTACCTTAAAAATATCCTGTCACTGCCATCAGCTGTGTAAAATGGGAAATAAAAGATTTTCTGGGCAAAAGAAATGAATTAGTTTTATTCTTATTGGCGCATTACTACTGAACACTCAAATCTGTCAATATCACAGGAGCGAGAAATAGCGGAAGAAAACTCACCCCGTCATTTTCACGGGAGCGAGAAGGAAGAGGTTAACAGGGGTCTGCCCAGGCCAAATTTGTTAGCATTTAGCAGTACCGTCACAAATTCAACTTTACGAAAAATTTCACAAAATACTTTTTATTAAAATTTTATATTTTTATCCTGTAGGAAACGATAAATCCATGTTTTTACTATATTTTTGTGTTAGTTTTTTTAATATAATTTTTAATTTTCACAAAATGGGTACCTCAGAAAAACCTAGACAGACCCCTGATTAATTTACTTATTCATTTTTTTGGGTATCTAAAAAAGTTTATTAAAATCATCAAACTTTATTGTCAATGAATTAATCAGTCATTTAAGAAGCGGTGGATTTTTGTAACAAAATAAAATATAAAACAATGTAAGTAAGAAAAATTTATTTCTACGGGCATAAAATTGCAAGTTTATTGAAAATTTTTGGGATTAAATTGATTTTTTAGTAACTATCGTTTATCCTATTAATTTAAAAATGTGACATATTTAGCGCAGAGTTTAATCTCTGGGTGCCTAGCATTTTTTAAAGGTGCTTCTTTTATTCGAGGTTTGTGAAAAGTTCTTAATTTTCTATCTTTTATAGAGAGATTTTTTTCTTTGCTGTGTCGATTGTCGTCATAAATTACAATAAAAGCATGGTTTTCACAATTTTCTCAGCAATATTTATCAGAAACTAGTTATTTTATCATGATTATGTAAAGTTTTTGAAAAATTTTCTGGATTTTGTTGATTTTAAGTATATAAATAATTTTTATTACTGCACATATCCTAATCAGGAGCTATTTAAATATTTAATACATTGGNATATAGATTTTTGACATTTTTGACAGTGAGGTTTTTGACGTGACGGTTTAAACCATGGTTTAAACTGTCAAAAACCTGCCAACCCTGATCCTAATTATGATTTTTTTTTTCTTAGAAAGTGATTAAAACTATTTTTGAGTGCTTAAAAGGTGCTTATTTTTTGTTGAAAAATCTGGCTTCGCACCTTGTATCCATTGTACAATTATTAGATAAGAACCCATTTTCAAATAAATTATTTATATTTGGTTTATATCACAGAAAATGTTAAATATACAGCATTGTTTGTTAAAACAAATAATGGATGTTCACTGAAAATGCATGAACTGAATTGTTAAAAACATTGTTTTTAAAATGTTAAAAGAACTTAATTTGTTTTAATAATTCAAAGCATATTCAATTGGTTTCAATTTTTAAAAAATGTCCATCAATATATATAATTGCATTTGCAATTTTATCTACAGACATTACGCTAGTAGAAAATTAAGGATGTTTAATGAAATCCTGAACCATACAAAAATACATATATTTCAGTGAAATCGAGAAAACTTCTATAGCTAAAAAAAACTTATTCAATAAAAATAATTTAATGTTTAATGGATGAATCAGTTTATGTAGTTTTCAATTTTGATTCTCAAAGATTATATGATTAGACTTTGCTAAAAATTATTTATTTTTATAGGTTTAGCTGATATTAGGTTTAGAGGAGTAGTGATTGCAATGCGTCTACTGTATTTAAATCTTAAATACGCAAAACTGAAACTGTCCTCTCCCAGTCCTCCCAGAAGCTTTGACCAATGATTTTTCATGGTAAATTGCATGTTTTCTTCATAATTTTAAATTTATTTACTTATTATTGCAATGTTCCTGAATTTATCCCCAAATCAGATTATAAATAGCTATCTTTACTGATTATTCTCAGAATCAATACCCGCACTGTATTGAACTAAATAATTTAATGTATTCATTTAAATGTATCAATTTTTTTTCAAGCCCACTAAGTTCTAAGTAAGTTTTGTGTTCTGATTGTTTGACGTGAAGGTAGGTGTGGTAGAACGGTTTGTTGATAAAGATGCTTAAGCAAAAGTTATAATCTCTTAACTTGGAAGTTAAATTACTTTTATTAATGATGCATATAAAAAAAAAAAACTAGGCTAAAAGGTGACATTTTTTATAACATTTAACATTTTTTATAATTTTTCTTTAAAAAAAATCATTTGATTTTTTACACAATTCTTAAATAAACTATCATGTATTAAAGATAATGAAAATCAAAATTTAAATAATAAATAAGCAAACTGATGCGTAATTATTTTTTACAGATAAAAATTTTAGGAAGTGAACATTTTATTTTAAAAATAAGAAAGTTTGTAGCATTTGTTCTTAATTCAACCAAAAAAATTTTCCTGGACTGCCTTAATTTCACAACTTCATTTGTGTGAACGAGCATATTCTGCTCCCTTGTTTTATGTTAATTACAATACCCATAATTGTAATTATTTTAAAGTCTAAAACCGAACAAATGATTGGTTAAACTTCCAAAATGCTGAATTTTGCCATTGGTTTTGACAGATTTTATTGACCAAATTAGTAAATAGTTAACAAATGGTTGTTATCATGACATTGCCAGAAACCATATTTGAATCTGAGATAAAAATAAAAGAAAACTACATTTTCTACTATGAAATTTAAAACAAATGAATACATTAAAAAAATATGCAATATTTATATTAACAAAATCATTTATGTGTGCTTTTTTAAGCTATTCCTAAAAAAGAGCTAATTAATGGTTTAATACCCTTTTTTTTTCAGCTAAAATTTTCTATTCTGGTTTATTTTTTTTCTTGCTTTGTTTAATATTTCTAAAGTTAATATAAGAAATCGAAAACCAAATTAGCATATTTGATTAGCTAAAAGTTATTAAAACGAGCATTGTAGTTTTTTGTAAAAATTTTTTATTAAAAAATAAAGTGAAACTATCTTTCTACAGCCTGGTCATTGAAGTTAAGGCTCTACTGTTAATTATTAATATTTTCTTTTAATAAATGTTACTGCCATTATGTATATATTTTCATTTAGTTTAGTTTTAACATTAAAATAATAGTTTTTAAAAAAAGTATGAAGTATGCTTTATTAATAAAAAAAACTTATTACTATTGGTAAAGTTTTAAGTTTTTTATTATAACTCATTTTAATGTAAAAGCTACCTCAGATTTTAATATTGATTGGATTGTTTCAAGTTAATTGTCTGTATTTCAAATTATAAATTCTTAGCAAGAAATTTATTTTTATAACTATTTTAAGTATTTAATAATAATAAAAAAATTCTATGTTTGGAGAAAACTTATGCTATATAAGGTAAAACATTTATAACTAAGCTGCATTATTTACATCCTTTCAAAACTACTTTAAGACTCTGACTATCATGAATTTTATATATTTTTATATGTAAAATAAAAATTAAACAAGTCTGAATGTAGATTTTTTATAATTAAAAGAAAAAAGACTTTCTTTTACTTATCAATAATGGAGTAAAAAATAAAAATGCTTAGAATTGAGAAGACTCCCACCTGCTCGTTTTTATCTCATACTACAAAGAGGTTGTTAAAGCCACTAGGTTATTGATGGGGTTTTTAAAAATAGATTTCTATATTTATAACTTATCCTGAGTGTTTCCCTAAAGTGCTGCTTTAAAGCTAAAACTGCATTCTTAACATTGGCATTGCAGCTATTAGTCTTGTCTACCATTTAGGTTTCAAATTTTCTATTATAATTATTTTATGGATAGTAATATTTTTAATTACTTAAATTAATTGTTCATATATTTATTTTGGGCATATTTTAAAAAAAATTATTTTGATTTGCAATTTGAGAATTTGTTTATTGGCTTTTGAATTATCAGCTTACAATTTATTGTTGAATTTAGCACTCATTTATTGTACATGCTAATTAGTTTTAATTAGTAGAATCATTTGAATTAGTAATTTATTTATTTTTGTTCTTTTTTCTGAAAATTTGCTAATTTTGTATCGCTATTTATTTGTTTCTTTGCTACTGTGCATGATATCAGTTTACAGTTTGTTATTTAATGCAGGACTCTTCAAATGTACGTGCCAATCACAGACGGTACACCACAGATTTAAATCATTCGCGACCACGGACTGTGACTCTTGTGAAGGATAAAAGCGGATTTGGTTTTACGTTGAGGCATTTTATTGTCTATCCTCCTACAAGTTTTAATTCTGGGAAGGTAAGATCTTGATATTTTTTTAGTTTGCAGTTATTTTTTATATTTTATAATAGAATTAAATTAATAAAACTTTTTAATTTCTGGGTAAAAATATTTATTTTTTTTGAATTTCTAGTTTTACACAAAATAAAAATCATCTTTTGATATGAATTGTAATTGCTTAACTTTCAATTCAAATATAAAATGCTAGTCATTCACAGAATGTTTTTAGAAAATTTTTATCCAAAAATTATAATTTTATTTGTCTTCTGTTTTAATTTTTTTTTATTGAAAAATTTTTTAGGCAGAATTTTTAATTGTAAAATATGTAATTCTAAGAGTAGAGAGTAAAATTTAGTGATTTTTAAAATCTTTCAACTAGTTATTTGTAAAATTGTGAAAAAATTACTCGTTATTTGTGAATATAAAATAAACGTTAAGTCACATTCTTTCAACCAGGGTCCGCTTTTAAGAATTAGTGCAAATAAGGTCCGTTATTGCAAAAAAACTTTTTCAAGGAGTTTTTAAATTGTAAAGACATACAAGATTATGCTCAGCACTGTAAAATTATAATTAAAAAAATTAAAATTTAAAAAATTAACAGCAATTTGCAGCTACTAAATTAGGAATGTAACATACAAATATTTGGTATTTAGCGTATACTGTTGAATGCAGAATATTCATTTCAGACGAATAAAGGAAGCAGTGTCTGACGAAGGCAAAATTTAGTACGTTTACATCTGTCTTTCTCCCCCCCCCTTCCTGGGGAGGGTTTATTCGATTAATAAAACAATAATGAAGATAAACAAATTTGTGAAGGGTCCGATTAAGAGATAAATTTTATTGTGAAGGGTCCGTTTTTAAGTTAAAATATTTTGTGAAGGGTCCGTTTTTATGAAAAGATATTTTGTGAAGGGTCCGTTAACGGACCCAAATTTCCTCTAAACAGACCCCTAGAAATACAACACTCATACATCAGAGTTGAAGTGTTTTATCCTAGTGTGACATAGTAAAGAAAACATTTAAGAAATAATTATTATTTTATAATATGTGCCATGATTTTTTAAGTTTTAAAATAATTTTGTGTATAATGCAACCAACTTGCTTATTTTTAACAATTCTTTAAGTGGTATATATACATATGTTTTTGCCAATTGATTTTTTAATTAATTGCTGTATTATTTTTCTACTTTAATTATATTCTTACTTACTTGTCTATACATGAAAATATGTATTTTATAAGAAAACAATATTCTTTTAGTAACAATTCAATGCTTTTAGCAACAGTATTATAAAAAAACATTCAAAATAGTGTTTGAAATAGACTTTTTTTTTTTTTTTTTTTAAAGAAAAATGTTTGCTTAGCTATGAAAAAGTATTGTAGGAATAGTAATAATAAAATATTAATTTAAACTAAGCTACTTGCATATCTTCAGTAATTTTATTCATTTGCTAGTTAGTTAAGCAATTTTATTTTATTTCAGAATAAACAAGTGCGGAAGGAAGATGCTTCCATTGCTGGTAACTATGCTTCCATTGCTGGTATTTGAATGCTTAGATTTATTGCATGTCTGATGGATGTACAGTGCATAAAATAAAAAAGTGAAAACCATCAATAACTTTTGACCCTAATGATTTGAAGGTTTAACCTTACGTATGACAATTAAATATTTAGTGCAGATGTTTAGTTACAAAATCAGATATGAAAATATTTTCTCTGAATAAACATGATTTTTTTTTTTTTTTTTTTGATAGATACAAACTCCTGACCTTCTATATATGAGGTTTTGGAGTCTGGAACCTAAGTTAAAGTTTGGACCCTTTAATGTTAATTTCATATTTTGCATATTTCATCATATCTCCTCAATTAATGAAGTGAAGTAGAAATTTTTGATCTCTATTATAAAACTAATTTATTTAAGGATAATTTTATGATAATAGTGCATACAGATTATTAACTCTGCATAACTGCCCTTTTATATTAATAAGAACAAATTGATTATCATGAATTGCACCTAGTTTAATGTAATAAATTTTAAGGATTATATCATGTTAATATCATATATATATATAAGGATTATATCATGTTGGATATTCAAATTAACTAGCCAAATTTATGAAACTGCAATTATTCTGTTTTTTTAACCAGCTACCTTATTTATTATGTAAATAATTAATATGTTAGTGATTATGATGCCTACTTAACAGATTTTTAACATAATCATAATTTTTGTCTTAATAGAAGCACAATGGAAGTTGGACTGCAGAAACAAGCCAATGGACACAATATTTATCCGTGAGGTTAAGGAGGACAGCCCCGCATACCATGCTGGCTTAAATAAAGGCGATAGAATATTAGCGATTAATAATCATCCTTTATCTGGGAAGTCCTATTCCGAAATCATTCATCTGATTCTCAGGAGGTAAAACCAAACTTATTTTTTGAGATTCTTATTTTTCAAAAGTTTCCTTTTAACAAGAGTATTAAGTATTTTCAGCATATATTGGTCATTTAAAGATGATAATTATGTAAAGCAAAAGCAATTAACTTGAAAAATTTTTTTAAAGGAAAGAGTTCAATTGAAAATAATGTATTGAATATCTTTCTAATTTGTATTTTCGCAGTGTAAAATTTGTAGTCGTTTCTTATTTTGTAAGTTGTAAGTAACACTTGAAATGACCCAAGTATTAAAAAAAAATGGGATGAAGGAAAATACAGTAGGGTGACGAAAAATATAATAGGATGATGGAAGGAACAGTAGGATGAAGGAAAATGTAATAGGATGAAGGAAGATTTTTTTAATGCATATATATGGTCATCAAAAACTAAGCATTACTAATGCTGTGATGATCTGTTTACATAATTTTCTTAAGATTTTGACAAATGACACTTTTCATCACTAAATCTTTTTTTCAATCAAAATATTTTAGGGTGAATATAATACTTAATCAGATTACAACGTTTTCACTAAATAATTATGAAATATTAATAAATATTCATTATTGACATTTATTCTAATTCACTAAAAGCTGCATTTTTTTTTTTTTAATATTTATTTTTCAGATAGATTAGGAGTATATTTATGAGTAGCTTTAATATATAAGTACTATTACTATCTATGACGTAACTATTCAAAGCAATAAAAATATAGCAATATGATTCAGTGATTCTTTGTTTGTACTAAAATATAAATAGACAAAGAATAGCTGGTAATAAAATTTCGAACAACTAGAAAAGAAATTTTTCTTCAAAAGCATGTACTAAAATAACTTTGTCAATATATACAATTCATGATATGTTTATGAGAAAAATTATTATTCTGTTATTGTCTGTTGTGTAGCATTTGTTGATATAAAAAGAAGTTGAAAATATTTAGATTATCTGTAAAAATAATTTAGTATATCCCCATGTTCATCAGTATGCATTTTTAAACTTTTTTCATAATAAAAATTTTAATGAATTTTAATGTTCTTTTAATTTAAATGTTTCATGATTACTATATTATCAATAGAATCTGAGTTTGTGTTATTTTCTATAAACAAGATTATAAGCAGTTTTATCATGAACTATTCTATCCTGGCAGAACATTACATATTGTATTTCAGACAATGCTTAAAAAAGTTAAGTTTTACATAAACTTATATAAATAATTTTCTTATTTTGGAAGATTATTTAAAGTTAACAACAGGTCTGTAAAACTTTGTTTCAAAATTATTAGATTAAATACTATGAAACTTTACAAGCAAACATACCAGAGCATGAAGAAAATTTTTATAAAAATTTTCATAAAAGTAAAGTTGAAAATTTTTTAAAACGTAATTTTTGAAATTAAAATGAAAAAATAGTTTTAGTTCCAAGCAAATGTAATTTTAAAAATTTCACAAAGATTTTTATGCTTTTTCATTAAATGTTTAGTAATTTGCATTCAATTTTACCTCAGATAACTTAACATTTAACTAATAGACTCTCTTCACTTGCCAGTTTTGCACAGTTGGCACGATAAAGCTTTTATGTCTTGAAAGATTGTAAATGTTGAATTTTATCTCTTATTTATTTAGTTTAAGTTTACAGAGTCTAGCAGCTATTTAATTTAACTTTAATAAGTGAAATATAAAAATTTGCATATTTTTAATTCACTGTCTCAAATAATTAACTAAAAATAATACAAAATAACACTGATTTTGGCTTAGTTATTTATGGTTAAGAAAATTTAAGAAATTCTTTTGCTATTTATTATAAATATCTGACTAGATGGTGTGGTTTTACTCATCTTAAAGTTTCATCACTACAAGACTACAAATACTTACACATCCTGTTATTTTTTAATCATTCTGTCTAGATTTATATTATTCCATTTCAGTTGTTTGTAATTATTAAAAGTTCTTAAGTCATAATCAGTCATTTATGATTATTAATTACTTAAGTCACTTAGAAGTAATTAAAATGATTCATTCATTACATAATTCAAATATATATATGCTTTTATAAAGAAAGTAATTCCTTGATTTTAAGTTAAAATTTTAGTAAAGTAAACTTAATGTTAATTGCTATAATAAAGTAACTTAAATGAAATATTGTAATTTGTTACTTTTAAAAAAATAAAGATTGAAAAATACTTATATTTTCAAATGAAAATTACAAAGCATATTTATTATTTATTAAAACAAAATTATTTGTACAAGCAGAAATTTCATTCTTGTAAGACAGTAACTCAGGGTGGCCACCCATCAGGAAAGCCTTGAAAACCTGGAATTATCAGTGCATTTTTTTTATACTGGAAAAATCAGTGAAACTTGGGACAGAAACCTGGAAAAATCAGGGATTTTTTAAAGAAAAGCTGGAATTTTTTCTTTGATTTTTCTTAATTTTACTAATTTAAATTATTTACTAATTTTCTTACATAAAATTATTTTACCAACTGTTATACCCACTTTTAGACAAAAATTTATTCCCAAACAGTTGAAATACCATCAGCTTAGCAATACTTCGCTTGCATCAAAATTTGCTTCAAACTCCCATGGTTTCTTNATTATTTTACCAACTGTTATACCCACTTTTAGACAAAAATTTATTCCCAAACAGTTGAAATACCATCAGCTTAGCAATACTTCGCTTGCATCAAAATTTGCTTCATTATAACCCTGTTAAACTCCCATGGTTTCTTAAAGAATAGAGAACCTTTCCAGGTCACCTCATTCTCATAAGATGACCTGGCTAGCACTCTATCCCATGAGTCAAAGATGATAAAATAACATTAAAAAAATATTTTAAATAAAATACTTTATAATCTTGACACTTTTCTTGTGCCCATCCTAAACTTTATGAGGGAAAAAAGCACATTGACCTGGAAATTTTAAGATTTTTACCTGGAAAAATCAGGGAAGTTTGAAACCTGATTTGTGTGGCCATCCTGATTACTATTCAATAAATTTGTTGCTAATTCAATAATTTTTTGTGATTCAATTTTTGCAATAATGTTCAAATTCTATTTTAAGTTGCTTCGCAAACTTTCGAAAAAACAATTAACTTCTCCTGAAAAGAAAATATTATCACTTTTTGGATCTGATTGACTATTTCAGACATTTTCATTATTTGTTTATGTTTATGCAAATTTATATTTATACTACATCTAATTCTGTTCTTTTTTATTTATTTATTTTTCCTTAGTGGGCATACCCTACGCCTCCTAGTTGTCCCCAAAGAAGATGATATTCTACAACTGGTAAAAATATACATTTATTTTTTATTTTTGCAAAATCTTTTTTTAAATGTGCAGCTTGCCATTTACTGATAATGAAACATGGTGGCTACTCACTTTAGAGACAGTGAAAACCTAGAATTTGAAAGCACAGCTGAGAAACCTGGAATGCAATTCTCGGTCTATTTTAAAATTCTGAGACAATTTAACTCTAATTTCAAGATAGTATTAATTACGCAATAAATTTCTTAAAATATTAAGATAATTAGCATATTTTACAATAAATTCATATCCAATTAATATCTAAATAAAATATTTAATAATTAATACTGAATTTTTATATATTGCAGGAATTATAATGCTCAATTGTTTTTCTTTTAACATCGTGACATTTTTATGTGGGATACAATTAGTTAATTTATATTGAAGAAAGGGATATTTTTCTGCATTTAGGTAAATTCTTAATGAATATCTAAGTAAATTTCTTAATTACAAAATTTTTTTTAAGCATTCAGAAATTTTACTCTCAGTGTTCTCTGTACTTAGAAGAAATCTAGTAAATATAGTTTTGTCTGGAGGATGGCCACCCTGGAAAATTAGTATATTTAATAATTTTCTTGTTGGTGTGTAATTTTGAAAAAAAAAGAAATACATCTTAAAAATTTTGTTTCTCTTTGAAAATATAATGAAAAAATTATAGTTAGATAAAACTTTTATTTAAAAAAAAAAAAAATTTATGGATATTATTTTTTAATTTATTTTAAACTCTATAGGGGAAATGCATATGTGCACCTTTTCATGATGAACAGTTATGAATTATTTGTAATCTTTTGATGTTTATTTTATGTGTGTTATTTATTTATCTATTTATTTATTTGTAAAGTTGGGTGCTAAAGACTTATTTAAAAATATATTTTTATGTTTATGAAATAATTATATTTCTTCAAAGTTGGAAAGTATTATTCGAATTGGCCACTAAATCTGTAACGTGTTCTTTTGAAAGAAAATTTTGCCGATTCCAGGTACTCGAATGAAAATCGCATAGTTTTTTATCGAACAAATATTTTACTAGGTGTAGTTATACTAGTATAGTTTTTTCTATACTAGTATAGAAAATAAAAACATGTTTTTATTTTCAATCTTTTCAAACTAAGTTTTAAAAAATGTTTTTAACAGAAGTTTGGGGTGAGTGTTCGAACACAGAATGATTAAGGTTATGAAATGGAGACTGCTGCTAATAGTGGACTTAATAATTAATTTTTTATTTGAATTTAAAATAGAATTTATTGTTATAGCTTTTGTTTGACACAGGATATTCTATAATTATTTTAATATAATGAAGATTTATTAAATGAAAAATGTTTTATTTATCTGAGTTCAATCTTTAACAACTATAAATGTATTTTACATGCAATGAGATTTATCTTTCTACAATCTCTTAAACTTTTCAATTATTTCTTTGCGATAAATTTTATCTCATAACCGATGTTAAACTGGCGATTTTCATTGCAGTTTTGCACTCCTTATTCACCAATTTCATTCATACATGCTTATCAATGTGAGTGTAAAAGAACTTATACTGAAAATATAATAAAATGTATCCAAATGAGTTTCTTGTTGAGTTTTGTAAAAATGCAGAAATTTATTTTTAAAATAAAAACTACCTTTAAAAAATTTATCAAAATTTGCAATTAACATGGGCTTTTATTTTCTAGGAAATTAATCTTCATTGATATTTAAATTAGTAATAGCATTTTTGAGTAATTAATGCATCTCTTGTTAGAAAGTATTTTTGTTCTGTTTGCAATTCATGTTATTTCTATAAAATGCTAAGCTTACATACCCAAATAGTAGTAACATATTATTATATTTACTCATTTTCATAAAGCAAATTTAGTAAGTGAGTAATACACATCTAGTATAGAGTATCTTATTTTTCTACTGTTATGAAATTTTAATGAATGTGTATTGAAACTTCAAATTCCTTAACTTTAAATGGAGTGAGAATTTTTAAGAAATATTTCTTTATTGTATTTGTAAGAAAAGTAATTTTTTTAAAATTAAATGCTTATCATGTACTTATATTTGTTTTCATATTGATTATAGTTTCAGCACCCATTTTATTCTCACTTACACTGTGTTAAAGAAAATTAAGGATGAAACAGAAAGAAATATTATTAAGTTTACTCCCTATTTCATTAGGTTTAAAATCATCATTATCAATTGTTAGTGTTTATAATTTATCATAATAGTGTATTTGAAAAGTTAATACATGGTGCATAGTATTTTTAAAAAGTGCTTAGCATTGCTTATTTTTGATTTTAGTTTTTTAAAAGCCCTTTTAAAGGTGCTTTTTTCATGGGGTGTTTTAAAAAATTGTTTATTTTTCCCTTTTGAAAATGAGATTTCTTTTCTTTACCATGTTGATTTTCACTGTTTATTATGCAAAAGCGTGATTTTCACATTGTTCTATTCAACGTTTTCACAATTTATTCAACCACAATCTATTTCGGCATACCGTCGGTTTGTATCATATGATAGCAACAATCATGTTATATGTTTGATGAAATACTTAGAAGTGACTACTCAGCTGGGTTTGGTGAGATTCTTTTGCAAGATATTCTCAATTTCAGGCTACATTTTCCACCCTCTGAAATTGAACCGAAAATTCTCTTGATCTTTTTATTGTGACTAATAAAATGAAGAAGAGAGTTCTTTATCAGAAATTAGTTATTTTATCATGATCATGTAAAGTCTTTGAAAATTATTTTGTATTTTCTTAATGTATATAGAGCTTAAAGAGTGCTTAAAAATTACTTTAAATGTGCTTATTTTTTGTTGACAGCTTTGGCTACACACCCTGTAATATATTTGTGTGATTGTATAAATTGCTTATTGCTAAAAATTCTTTTATTTGCAGTATTTTGCATCATCAGCTTACCAACCAGTTCACCGCCAGAACAAAGAGCACAAGTATTTATTGCCTGCATACCAAGCCCACAATGATAAAGCAAATCTGCAGTATCGACAATCAAACTATGGAACATACCCTGGAAGACTCCATCACAAATCTAAAGCATCTTTGGAAAGAGGGAAGCAAGAGAATGGTAGTAGTGTTGTCAATTACCAAGTCATTGAATCTCAACTTCCTAATAATGTTCTCCAAGAAGGTCTGAACAGCTCACACCTGGCAAGTGGTTTGGATAAAAAAGAAGATGAGTTTTCAGTGCACGACAAATATGATCTGGATACTTCATGTTTTAGTGAAGACGAGGGATACTATCACCACTCTAAAGACCTAAAATGTGCTAAATTTGTAGATCTGCAACCTCCAAAACTAAAAGACACTGTTGCCAATTTATACTACACTTTGTGCAGTGATAAACCATCTGTGTTTGCATTTTCCTCAGAGGATAATCTGAATTATCCCATATACATGTCAGATTTTGATGGCGTAGTTCATTGTGATAACATGGCGGAAACTAAAAACGATGCAGATGCATCTGAGGATGGAGTACGCCACATCTCTTATCCATTTGACAGATCTCCCTTCGCCGAATGCAATCAGTCTTGTGATAGTGTCGGTAATGGCGAATGCGTGTGCCATTCGGATTCGCGGACACCGGTTTATTGGGCAGCGGACAAAGTACTTAATCCGGATGAAGCTGACCCTCATTTTCAAGTCCATCCCGATCTTTTGTGTCGCAAGCCTAGTGAAAGGAACTCTATATCATCTGCTTATGATTTTAGAGACAATCCTAACATACCTTCCATCAATCTGGTTGCTCAACGACGGCACCAGTTTGAGTCCGGGAATCTTCTGGCGGAGTCGATGGAAAGGATGAACCTGTACAGAAGTGAGCTGTCGCGCATGTCCAAAGCCAACCAGGTGAAAATAGTGTCGTCTCGCACTGCAGCATTTGAAAATAAGTCCTTAAGTCCTACGTACAGCTTTGAGAAACCAGCTGCTATCCCAGATGCTGCTATACCAGCTTTGAAAGAGGCTGTGTACGTTAACAGTGAAGAGATTCAGGCTATGCAGAATGCTAGATACGCTTCTTTAGACCTGGAAAACGAAAATAAACCGAATGAAGATATTTTAACCTGTGATGTTGATTCTGGTCAGGCAATTGAAAAAGGTATTTTTTTTTATATAACAGATTTATTTTAAAATATTATAAAGGTGATTATTATTTACATTTTCAACTTAAAGTATTAGTGATGTGAAATAAAACTTAATTGGGTTTTCTTGTGCTTAACCCTTTTTAGGCCAAGCATATAAATTTTATAAAATATGGTATTATTCTCATTGAAATATGCTTACATTAAGACTCAAAAGAATTTTGTGTATAAAAAATTATATTTTATTTAAGAAATAAAATGGTGTGAACTGGCACCATTCGTAAAATCAATGAACAAACCATTTAGTTGAACGCTTGCTTTTTTTTTTATGCAATTCGTTTATTTTTTATTATTATTTATTTACTTACTTGCAACTTTAATCCATCATAAAAACATATGATAAATTTCAAAAGGAATAATTATGCATTTTCAAAAAACTTTATTTGCCAATAACCGTTTCAAGTTAAAAAAAAGACTTTAATACTTTAAAAATTTCTCAACAGAAAGTGTTTACTCCAATTGAATTACTATTAATTTTTGGGTGTCTTTAGAACTCTTGACAATAGCAGAGAAATAAAATTAGGGAAAAATATAAGTCACAGTGTTAATAAAAGAATATTTATTGAAATGTTGCATTTGCGCACCTTTGGCCAAAAATGTGTTAATGAAGAATGCATTCCTTCGCAATTTGTCAACATTATCCAAATTACCAGTACTTTATAAGTCGAGTGTAAACTTTTTCTTGGAATGTTTATCCAAAGTGTTAAAACTTTATTTGTATTCTAATGTAAAAAGGAAAGATTCTATCTAAACGTGTAATTTTCAACTTCCTGCACTATCCGGTTGTCTTTGTGTGTTTCTTAGAAATAGAAGTTTTACCGATTTTTTACTTCCCTTTTTCGTTTTCCCCTTTTCTTCTTTTCAAGTCTTTCAGCTTACCAGTCTGAATTGACATCATCAGTTTAACTGAGCAAAAAGCCTAAGTAAACCAGGCACTAAATTTGAAAGCTGATACTTTTTTTGTTTGCTTGCTATTTTGTGAGGAAAAATGAGAGGTTAAGAATATCTTATCTAAAAAAAATTTTCCTCTTCTATAGTCAGTTTTGTCTTTCCTTTTGAAGTGTACATTTTATTTTCAACTGTTATTTTGTGTATTTATATGTTTTGTATGTGCTGTTTTCTGATAGTTAGAATTTAATACTGATGTCTAACCAGTAAGTAATTTTTGCTGGCAATGTTCTGAAGTTAATGGATCTAAATGTAAAATGACTCCCCCATTAGCTCTAAAACTCTTGACTAGTATATATGGTTCTGAACGAATAGATTTTTTATTTAAAATGAATTTCCAAAGTGTGATTCAGAATGTAATTTTTAATTTTTTTCTAAGTTTTCTAAAAAATTTTAATGTAGAATATTTTACTTCCAGTGTTCAAAAGCTGTAAACTTAGTTTTGCCTTTTTCTCCCTTATGGTATCTTCTTAAGCAATGAATATTTATGTTCAGTTTCATTTTGAAATACATTATGCTTTTTTTTACTTTAAAATTTTTTTTATAGGGGAATTTAATCCTTGTGCAGCTGGAGTTGTACATAGGAGGAAAACTGTCCCAGGTATTTGCTTAATTTTATTTTTGAGTATTTTTTTTGTTTGTTTTTGTATTACAGATTCAAAAAAAATATATTCTGTTTTTAATAAACAATTATTAAAAAATTATTGATCCTTTTTTTACGTTTATTTTTTATTATAGAGATGAAATATTTTTTCATAATTTTTAGCTTCTTCAGATCCAGATGAATGTCACATCGTTCGCCGCATATCATATTTACGAGCGACAGCTAACGAACGAATGAACCTAGAATCTGATCTAAGTGAGGAAGATGAAACTTCTGACATTTCTAGGTAACTTTATGTACAATCATGAGAAATTATTAATGCAATTGTTATTATTTAAGTTTTTAAAACATGTTTTTTTATGTATTGTTTTTAGTCCAAATAAAGAGTATCGTATTCAGAAGTTGAAATCTTTCTTTGGGGAAAAGGTGTGTATACTATACTTTATTTTATGTAATTGTTTTTGAATATTTGTCTGCAATGCTAATTTTAATCTTAAAAACCTAGATGAGCAACCAAAGTCTTTGAATGGTTTTGTCAAGTTGATAAATTTCAAATTATGGAAGCAATTTCATTGACAAAATTCATTAATATTTTCAAGTTCAAACAAATATAATTATAATTTAATATCATTTATTATCTGTAATTGTTTATTCTTTTGTTATGTTCATCATATTATTATAATTAAAACAATTTGCAGCATTCAACTTCTGAATTAGAATGTTCTACATAAAAAATACATCAGTTAAACTTTACAAAGTCGTGAGAAATACTCCCACCAATTCCATTCATTTTTAAATGTCGAAGGGAAGCTATTTTCCTACCTGTAATTTGTGCAACCATGTGCCAATTACTTAAAAAAATACCGATAAAGGGCTTTGTTTGCATAGTGTGGGTAACAGTAAAGGTTAGCGTGGGATCAAGAAGAGAAACTAACACTCTGGAACTATGTTCTCTCTCGTGTTATGTGTTTGGATCATTTCTTGTGGGTTTATTTGTAGTAATCCACACAGATTTTATAAATTTGATTATATATAAGTCCAAAAGTTGTAGTTTATAATTTAAATTAGGTAAAAGTTTTAAGAATAGCTTTAGGTAGTAAGGTAAATGAATTTCTTTTTTTAACTAAATCTCAATCCTAAAAATATTTTAACATTACATTTCTAGAAAAAAAAAGTTCTTTAAAAGGTTAATGTAAGCATCACTCTTTAACTTATGGTTTTCTGGTTTCTGAAGTTTACTATTTAACAAGCTTTTACACTGCATATAAAACATTATCTTTTAATGATCTTGTTTATTTTTGTAATTTATTATTACATTAAGTAAGAACATATAAAATAATGAAAAATAATTTATTCTTATTTTTGTATAAACTCTTCTGAACCTGTTTTGTGTACTTCTTTTTTTTAACATTTAAGTAAAAATATTCATAAATTCTCATAGCAGCTCAATATGTTTCTTTTTAGACTCCTAAGGTGAAGCAAGCCATGGTTCCAGTGGACATAAATGAAGATGATACTACTTGTGATTCTCCTGCAACTGATACTCATAAAACTGTATATGGTTGGGTTATCTGTAAAGTTGTTTCTTTGGAGGGGAAAGTAAGCCTCTATTCATGTCTTTTTTCCTGTTTAATGCTCCTACTTGTTAGAATACTTTCACTGATTTTTTGTGCATTATTATAATAAAATATGTAATTTGCAGGGATGAGATTCTTTCGCGGATTTCCGTTTTTTCTCTGATTTTTCCATTTTTCCCGCTAATTTCCGCCGAAATTTTTTTTGAACAAGTTAAAATATTTTATGAGGAATTTAATTTTCCACGGAGCGAAATTATTGAAGTCCTCATTCCTCCCTCTGAAGTTTCTCTAAAAATCATTTCCTTGGGATAAAACTGGTTGACCTTTATACAGGGATGAGATTTTTTTCGGTATTTTCTCTCGAATTTCAGCCTTTTTATCAAAAACTCAGATTCTCTAAAAGTTTCGTTTTTTTTATTTATTTATAAATATCCCGTTTTTTAAAAAAAATTCAGTTGTTGAAGTCAAATTATTATATTTATTTACGATTTTCAAAGGAAAACAGAATATTCAAACTACGTCCTAGCTGCTAATCCTTCCGCATGTTAACTTATATTAGCTATTTTCTCCGATTTCACGCACAGAAAATAAGTTTTTTCGTATTTTTTATCCGTCGGCCGGATAGCTCGTATTTTCGTAATTTAGACGTCGCTGCTTCTTGTATTCTGGAGAGAAAGCAAACAAAAAAAGCGAAAAAAAAATAGGGGTGGATTTGTGGTGGAAATATTTATTTGCTCATTCAATTAATCTTGTAAATTTTTATATATTGTGTAAACANAAGTAAAAATATTCATAAATTCTCATAGCAGCTCAATATGTTTCTTTTTAGACTCCTAAGGTGAAGCAAGCCATGGTTCCAGTGGACATAAATGAAGATGATACTACTTGTGATTCTCCTGCAACTGATACTCATAAAACTGTATATGGTTGGGTTATCTGTAAAGTTGTTTCTTTGGAGGGGAAAGTAAGCCTCTATTCATGTCTTTTTTATCCTGTTTAATGCTCCTACTTGTTGGAATACTTTCACTGATTTTTTGTGCATTATTGTAATAAAATATGTAATTTGGAGCATTACAAAATTACCAGCATTTTAGCTATTACTTTGTAAGCTTTCCTGTTATTACTTCCTAAGCTTTGTTATTACTAAGTTATTTAGTTTTATTATTAACTATAATTGCATGAGGGTGCAGTGAGAGATGTTAAAATTTCCAATATCTTCTACTTGCATTTTAGTTTATTTATCTAAGTTGATACCTCTGCATTACTCTAATTTTTTACTTATTTGCATTCATAATTATAAAAATTATACAATATAAAGGACATCAGATTCAAGTTTCTTCACTTGAAAGTATTTCCAATTTTAAAATTTTATGATAAAGCTCAGAAAAATTGCATCTTTTAATTTTAATAATTTCTAAGATTAAATATTCACTAATAATATGTTAATTTAACAAAATGACTTTCTTTGTCATTCTTGTGTGCTTTATTATTTTACCTGTTATTAATTTTTTGGATTGTATTTTTTTTTAAGAATGCAAATAGAATTAGCAGGATACTTATTTTAACTTTAACCCTTTGAAAAACAATTATTTATTTAAAAGCTGTCAGAAGGTTATGTAACAATGATAAGAATATATAATACAATTAAAAAAATCAAAACCTGTAAATACATAAAAAAAAACGAGAAATTTTTCTTTATCCTCTAAAGCTTTAAAGGAAATTAAATGACTAGTTTTTGCTCTCATTTAGATTTTACATATGCTTACTCTTTGCAAACAATAACACTTCCTTTTAAATGAAATTTTCCTTAAATGTATACTTAATATTTCAAGTTTAGAACAACAAAGATTTATTAAATGCTCTATTGAAAACTAAACAACAATCATTTCTTACGATGGTATATTATTTTTCTAGCGTTCAAGTGATCGATCGTGGAGACATTTGTGGGCTATTCTAAGAGATAATATACTCTATCTCTTAAAAGAAAGACGTGAACCCTCTAAGGTAAATCATTTCTGAAGTTTAACCCTCTTTTACAGTAGTTTAATAACTAGTAACTATAGCAAGGTATTCTAGTTTGACATTTTAAGTGTTGTATTTTTCTTCATCAAATATTTTTAATATTGTCTTAATGTTGTTATATAATCATTATTGAAGAATATTTTAGTGTTTTTATCTTTAATATTTAGATGCTCGCTTTTATTTCATATAAAAATTTTACAGTTTTATTTTTTCCCTCTATAAGATAACTATTATTGAATGATGAATCAGTTTTCCTTTTAAAGTTCTTTTAATTTCAAAAATTCTATTTTATTCATTGCTCTTATTTCTGTGCAAAATGTTGTTATTAAAATATATTTAATATCATTTATATATATTTAAGCATCATTATTTAATTTCAGGGAACATTAACCGGTGATGAACATGTGATAAATGTTAAATTTAGTGTAGCTAAAGTTGCAAATGACTATGTAAAAAGGAAACACGTTTTAAGGCTTCTACTTCTGAATGGAACTGAGTATCTAGTTCAGACTGAAAGTCACAATAGTATGATGGAATGGCTGAAAGCTCTACAAATTTTCACTCGAGAAATCACTGAAGTAACTCAATTTCTTTTTTTCTTTTTTTAATAGCACTTCGATTTATCATTGTATGTTTACTTTGGAATAATTCTAAATTAGGAAACTCTTGGCTTAGAATATCAGAGAGAATACATGGCTAAAAATATCAGAGAGAATATTTTTAGTTCTTATTTAACAACATTTATCTTTTAGGTAGCATTAACTGTGTCGGTTTGTGCAAATCATGTGATATGAGCCATGGTGGTTGAGGGGATAGAACGCTTGTCTCCAAATGATGTGACTCGTGTTCGAATCTGAGCGATAGCTTAAAAAAGAAAATTCTGCTCACGGCTGGCATTGACCACTATACTGACGTAAAATATCCTCAGTGGTAGAGGGGGTCCGAATTCCCTTCCTACTGGGCTAACCGTGGAATGCTTTTTGGTTTTTCTTTCCATGTAATGCAAGGGCGAGTTTGTTCCATCAAAAAATTTTTCAGGCAAGTTAATTTTTCCCAGCTCTTAATCCAGGAGTTCTCTTGTCTTCTGAGTTGGATTCAAAGTTACAAGGATGAACAGCCGATCCAAAAGTGGGTCAGCTGCTCATTGCCGGTTATAAAATAAAGCTAAATCATGTGGTACACATGAGGTGAGATGATGTGGTAATGAGGCTATTTTTATGTTTTACTTATCGGACTATTATCGACACCCTTAATCAAATTATTTTTGTAAATAAGATAAACGATGTGCAAGTTTAAAAAAAATGTCAGAATATATGTTTAAAAAGCTTCTTTCTTATTGGCTCGCACTAAATAAAATAGTAATCCAGTAATAATAAAATTAATTAACCCAGTATTAAAGAAATATGTGCAAACACAAATGACGTATTCGACTGAGACAAGTAATTATTTTACGTATTTATCACAGAATTGATGATGGTACTTTTTATCATACTAGAATCATCATGTGTCTTTTATAAGCTAAATTATTTTATTGAAGTATCTTATTGCATTTGTTTTTGTCATTTAGGTATTTAAAATAGTGATTCAAAATAATGTTTAGGCTTTTATTATAAATTAAATATTAGATTTTAAACCTGTTTAATAACAACAAAAACTAAGATTTGCTAACCACATTTTTTATGTATATTTTCAGATTCCTGAGTGGTTGAGAAATACATCAGTGCTGGAAAAAGCTAAAGCTTATGAACAGCACTTGCACGCTGGCAAAGGAAAATCATCAAATCAACCACATAATGTCAAGAAATTAGTGTTTCGCCATCGCAATCCTTCTGAACATTCCCCTACCATCAAATCGAGAAGAGCTTCTCAAGGAGGTAAGTGCAGTTTAAATTTATTTATACACAGTTACATTTTCTTTATTCAAATTCCAGAAGACGACTGTTATATTTTATACTATTATGCAACTTTTCTAAACTTAATTGCTGTGGTAAAACCGTTTTTTTTTTTAGACCGATAAAGAATTATATTTTGTGCTTTATAAGAAAATGCTATATTTCAACTACCAATTTACTACTAGTTATAAATTAGCTTCAATGGAATTGGGATAATGGAAATATGCTTAGCTCTTAACTGATATATATGGTAGCAGCATAATTTTTTTAATTAAATGTTTCTATTTTGATGTATTTCATTATAACAGACTGTAATACAGAAAAAATATTAGTCATTTGTTAAAAAAGCATAAAGAATTAATTCAAGCATTATTATTTGTTTTTTGAAAACATATTTATGTATTTATAATTATTAAAATAAGTTCTTTGAATAATTATAAAACACTGTTGTAACAGATCAACAGAAATTACCTTTTTTCAAAAAAACATTTATATTTAAGCTTAGTACTTTGAACATAATCAATTTACATACTTTTAAGTTGTGTATTTTATTTAACAGGAATTCGAAAATATCACTTTGATTAAATTTAACTTCTGCCACAGTTTAAATAAGAGAAAATTTTTACCTATCACAGACCTATGTTAAGGAAAGCTAATATTTATTATATATTTAGTAAATATTTCAACTAATGCAGTGTGGTGTTATTTATTGTATGGGTTATTTGCTCAATAAAATTTTTATTTTAAAATTAATTTTCTTGTGGAAATCTAAAGTCCCAAAAATGATAGCATTGGCTTGTAATAACCTTTGATTTCTTTATAATTTTTCTTAATAAAATTAATATTCCTACTAGCTTTCTATAAAAATTCTTTCTATTTAATTTCTTCGAAATTAAATATTGTAATTCTAGCGTGGTAGAAGAAATCTTTCATCAGGGCAGCAGGAACTGGAGTTGTTTGCTACTATTCAAATGTCAAAAAATAACATAATAATCCGAAAATTATCTTATCTGGAATGGTGTTTTTTATAGTAGTTACATTTATTGAGTTAAAAGTTTGAATTTAACTGAATCTATGTATTTTCTGTTTAGATATTTAATTGCATTAGATAAGGATTTATTTTATCTTAAGTATAATTTCATGTGTTTCAAATTAAATTTATGCAGCATACATTTTTTGTGTTAAATTTTTAATTACTCTAAATTTGCAAAATGAAATTTAGCTATACATATGTTTGAGCAAGCCTTATTTTTATTTCGTTATGTGATTGCATTTGGGTTGCAGACAAATTTTGATTTATGAAAATGGTATTGTATGTTGGATCAGCAAATTCTACAACCGGGGTTATAAGTAATATTTTTTGCTATTCAGTGGGAAAGACAATAATTTTTTCAGTATTATGTTATAAATTTCAGCTTTTCACTACAACTTCGTTTTTACTTTATATTTTATTACTGAATTTTAATATAGAATTAATCGAATTATTTTATGAAGTTTTATTTTATAACTTTTCATTGAACCGCTGACCCAAATTTGGGTTTACGACTACTAATGTTCAGCTCTGTAGCCGTGTAATTTTGAATCCAATCCAGAAGACAAGGGAACTTCTGGATCAAGTAGTGGGAGAAATTTGCCTTTGTGGAGGACTATTTGATGGAACTAACCTGCATTTGCTCGAGCCTCCCAGGGTTAGCCTGACAGCAAGGGGACTCTGACCCATCATTCATCTACCACTGAGGATATTTTATGTCAGCACTGTGGTCGGTGCAAGTCAGATGCGGAATTCTTGTCGACCAGCCATGGCTGGGATTTGAACCCGTTTCACCTCACTGGAAGGCAAACGCTCTAGCCCCTGAGCCATCGTGGCTTTTTTCTTTTTTTTATAACGTTTGGCTAAAATGAAGTCATAATATATTTTATGTGCATATACTCTAGGCTTTAATGAAACAAATAATTTATCGATCTTACATTTATTCTTTTCTTTTTAGATGAGTTAGCTTTAACGAAAATTGGAGTGCTTTGGCGAGATCGTATGCTTCAAGGCTGGAAGAGAGTACATGGTGTAAATTCTCATATTCCAAAAGGCTCATCTTTTGGGGTTAAATTAGAAAATGCTCCTCCTGGTATTACTAATGAAGTAATTATCATTTAAGTTATTGCTTTTTCTACAAATAAAAGAAATGTTCTGATTCATTTATAGAGTCAACTGTATTTTTCTAAAGAAGTATTTAAAATGTCTTATATTCTTTGTTTTATAAAGAAATTATTCCAAAAATATTCTTCAAAAGGTTTTCTTTCTGTTATCCAAAGAATTATTGAAAAGTTCCTATCTTCTCTCTGTTTTATAAATAAATATTTTTATAATTTTTTAATTCTACAAAGTTAATTAACCCTTTAATGAGCTATTAAATCCCAGTAAATGTAAATTAAAATATTTTCAAAATTGAAATTGATATAAGAAAAAAAACTCATTTAGCCTATGAGAAAAAATTAAATTAAATTTTAAGCTATTCTTTTGTAACAAGTATATTTATCACATTTAATTAGGTCTTTATAAAGAAAGTAAGCAAGTTACTGACTTTTATATTTTTTATTTATAAAACAAATATTGTTAATACAGTGGAACCCCGATTGTACGTTGTCTGTTTCGTACGTTATCCCGCTTCTTGCGTCATTTTCTGCTGATCCGTGAAAATTGCCTATACCGATAATGTTAAAAAATTCCGGATTTTTCGTTACCCCTTTTATGAAAATCCCGTTTGATGCGTTTTTCTACCAACAGATCAAATTAATTTTTTTTTTTTTATTCTACAACTCTCACACAGACTTTTTTCTAGTTTTTTGAGCAAGAAAAACTTGCTTTTCAGCTGCATGGAGCAATTCTTGTATTCTTTCTGTTCCATTTGTCAATAGGGAGGTGGGTAACAACAATAAAAACTACAAAGCATAAAAATTCTAAAGCAATTTTTACTTGCAAATGTAAATCAAGAAGTAAATTTGCAAAAAATTGTTAGTATTGAACGAGTTGTAGATGAAATTGTAGCTAAAAACAAAGAGGAAGTGAGGATTACTAATCTTTTCCATTAATTTAACTGGTAGGTGTCAATTTTTAAAAATATGCATAGATTTTTCGTTATCCCGATTTTACGTTATTCCACTTCGAGCGTTTTTTATCGCTAGTCCGACCGAAAACGTAAAATCGGGGTTTCACTGTACTACAAATTGCAAAAGGAATTATTCATATTATAGCTCTTCAAATGTTTTTTTTTAAAATTGGCATATGATCACTAATTTTATTCAAAAGTGTTTCACCAGAACTGAAGTTATTAACAAATGAAAAGCCAAATTAAAAATGGCTAAATAGTTTACAATGGACACTTAAAAATGGTCTTAAGTATACATACCAAGGCCTAAGAAAGGATTAACTTAAAATCTAGTATGAATTTTTCATGAATTCCTTTCATTCAGTATCTAAGATGATTTTTGAATGTCATAGGTATAACTATTACACATATTTTATCTATAGTTAGGCAGTCATATTGCTTTTTTAATTTGTCATTTTTAAGTATACTTTAGATAATATAGCCTTAAATATATTTAAGTTAAAAAAAAATTCATACAATTGCAGCACGTTCCTCTGCTTGTTGAACTATGTGTTCAAATCGTGGAATCCAGAGGTTTAGACGTGGTTGGTATATACAGAGTGCCTGGTAATAATGCTTCTGTCAGTGTCTTGACCGATTTGGTGAATCAGGGCATAGATGATGAGGCCCTGAAAGACTCCCGGTGGAACGATGTAAATATTGTTTCTAGTTTACTGAAAGCCTATTTTAGAAAATTACCTGAGCCACTTCTAACATCTCATCTCTACCCTAAATTCATACAAGCAAGTGAGATAGATGATCCAGTTAAAAGACTGAAAGCTATCAAACATGTGGTATTGTATTTGTTCTTAGTTAATACTCTTTAAAATTGACATGCAGCATATTTGGTATTCAGTAGACTGTTGATTGTCTGGCATGCATAGTTAACTTAGCTCTAACACATTGTTTTTGTTTCAGACTATCATGTATTCTCAAAAAAATAAAAATGTTCATTTAAATGCATTTAAGATGCAGGGTAACCATAATTAAAATAAAATTATTTAAAGTTTGATAATAAAAAAAAAACTGCTGGAGAAAAAGTTATCTTTCATGCTATTTAGACTTTGAAAGTATTCTTAGTACAGGTTGTTTTTCATATTGTTCAGCACATATTTATAATGAGAAATGTAGTCAAAGAAAGTCTTGAATATATTGCTTCACTCTACTTCAACGATTTAAATAAGGCTTTTGATTCAATTATAAGGGATAGATTATTACAAATTCTGGAACTCTATGCTATACCATCTGAAATTTATAAATATTATTAAAGAACTGTATAACAATAGCTAAACTTGTGTTGAAATGGAGGAAAAACCAACTGTTTTTTTTTTTTTAATTTATTTATTTATTTAGTTAAGATTGGAGTTAGACAATGCTATGTTTTATGAGGGCTCTTATTTTTGTCTTTGTAGACTGAATTATGAAGATAACAACTACGGAAAAGTTAGAATTAGATGAAATTTTCCCCTGATTGGCAAGATCTGGAATTTGCAGACTATATTGTGCTCTTGTCGTGAAAGATTTACAGGGGAAAAAAATTTCTAGCCAAAAATGCAGAATTAATTGAATTACAAATCAATGGAACCAAATTTAAGATCCTTTGAATTATTAGTAATTAAAGATAATGACATACATCTAAAAAGTAAGCCCATAGAAAATGTTGAGAAAAATGAGAAAACGTTGAAATTTTTATATCAGGGAGCAACTATGAGTGCCAAGGTGGAACTGATGTGGAGAATCGAAATAAAATTTTCGACATTTAAAATTGAAAAAGCCTTCAATGACTTCAAAAACTTAAACAGACTGTGGAAGAGCTTAAATATGGCTTGAAGCGTGAAATTAAATTTGTATAAATCATTGATAAGATCAGCTCTTTTGTATAGTTTAGAAACATGGAACCTGTTTGCCGCACTCAAATTAAAAAATTAACTAGTTTTCATCAAAATAAATGTTAAAATGACACTGTAAAATCATTTTTAATGTAAAATAGACATAGTAAGTAGCGAAAATTTACATGCATTTTGACAGAAGCATTGTATTTACATTCACCAATGCATTTTATAAAACATTTTAACAATCATACCTACCCTTAGCTGTAACATGTATGCAGATTTTCAAGTTGAAATAAGGTAATTTGAAGTTTGTCCTACATGACAGTATGCTTTTGAACAAATAGCATTCAAGCATTTAATTTCTGGAAGATAAAATCGAAATGACCTTGTTTCTATTTAAAAATCTGCTTAAGGCTGCTACTGCTTAGGTTAGGCATGATTGCGAAAATATTTAAAAGAGTATTTTGCAATAATTAATGCAATGCCTATTTTACTCCCAAAATTTCCTTACAGTGTAATTTAAATCCCTCCTGGTGAAAAATAATATTTTTTTTGAGCAAATTCTCTTGATCTAAATTACCTCTTGTGCAAGTTTTATTGAGTTTGATACAACAGTGTTATCTCACAATTACCTTAACTGAACATTATTTCATAAATTTGATTTCCTGTACTTGTTATAAGTCATATATAATTAATTTACTTCGTTTTTTTTTCTAGAAATTTAGCTTTAATCCAATTGATGTTATATCACTTATTTGTTTTAGTTATATCATTTGCCTGTACACTATTTTGCAACTCTGCGATTTTTGATGTATCATTTGAGAAAAGTGGTAGAACATTCAACTACAAATAAAGTAAGTATAAGATGCTCTATTTTGGTATGTGAATTTTTAGATGTCATATAATCTGACAAATAAATTTAATCATTGCCTTCTAAGTAATGTATGACATTAATAGTCAAAATGAATACTCTATACTTATAACAGAATAAAGAATTTATTTGATTATATATATGTCTGCATACTATAGTATAGGTCTAAAATAAGACATTCTGCATGAACTTAAAATTATGAAATATGTTTTTAAATTATAAATATTTACAACTGCAATTTATTTATTTTTGTTGATATTTTTGCACTTTAAAGCCCATTGAGTTCTAATGAAAATTCCGGGAATTTTTTTTTTTTTTCACATCCTGAAATTCAGTTTTTCTTCTCCAAAATAAATTTCTCATTTTTTTTTAGAATGTTTTTGTCCAGTTTTTTCTAGTACAAACCCACTTTTTTCTCCCAAAATTTTTAAATTGTGAGATATCTAAATCTATAGGAGATATTAACTTCAAATCAAAATAAACATATGCAGCAGTAAACTTCCCCTTTTTCATTTAAGACCCAGAAAAAGAGAAAATTAAAAATTTTTGATTCCCTCTGCAACTATTTCTATCAATAAATCGAAATTATTTCATCTCTTGAACAAAGCAACAGGGTCAAAGGGGAGAAAGCTTACATTAGCAATGAATGCTATCGGTGTAATTCATATTGCAATTTATCGTCAGAAATATTGATACTTAACAGTGCATTGCAATATTTTTCAATCTAACAAATTAGTATATTTTTTTATATTGTTTTTGCCTTAATTTTTTTCTTTTTGACAGCAATTAACCCAAAATATTGCCAAATTTTACATTTAGCAGAAGATTTTGCTTCTAACTATTGGTGTCGTGAGCTTTTCCTTGATAGCTCATTTTCAAATATTCATACAAAAACGATTTTTTTTTCTTTTGGTCTAAATATTTGGTACAAGCATGTAGTTGCTAATGCACTTATTTAATATATATTCGCTAATACACTTAGGCCACCTTCCCAAAGTGAAATAGTGCTAAGCAAAGGAGAACTCAACTGCTTAGTCACTAATGTCCGTGAACTGTAAATACTGTTTTAGGAGGAGTTGTTCTGTCTTCTTCATGGAAGGTGTTTTATTCATGATATTGTTTGCTTTTATTCAGATTGAATAGAGAAGTGCTTTGATCTTTTTGATGGAAAAGTGTTTCAGAGAGTCACAAAGAACAGGTTTTATTATATACCCAACTGATAACTGTGTTTGTTCGATTTAAATATTAAGGCAAAGAACACTCATGTAGAAATTAAAACGTTTTAAAACAAATTAGCTCTACTCCCTCTTTATATTTATAAATGTATTAACTTAAATGTAAATGTTCCCAATGGCAATGGGGTTAATGTGGAGCTATGAAGCTAGTGAGTTTGTGTTGGCAAATATAAAGAGGAAGCCGCAAACCAAGGGGTCAGTGTACGTTTGGGAAGTATACCTTTTGAAAATATTGTTTTGCACTAAAAATGTCAAAATTTTTTTAAAGAATTAATTGCTTCATTTCTTTTCTAAACAATGGGACTGAAAACTGACATTGAAATTTAGATTTTCATGAGTTTTGTATTTTAGTACTAATGATTTAGTACCTCTGACTCTATTTTTTATTCTTTACTGTTTCTTTCCAAAATCTTATTTTTTATGTTTGTATTAAAAAAGTGATTTAGGAAAAAAAAAGTGATTTTCAGTTGTAAATTTATGTTATTTATCTGTTCTTTTATTGCTTATGATTTACGGATGAAAAATAAAAGTAGTTTTCATTGTCCCTTTTTAACTTTCATTGTAGATGGAAGCCAGAAATTTGGCCATAGTGTTTGGTCCCACATTAGTTCGAGCTACTGATAACAACATGGTTGCTATGGTGACTGATATGCCTCAGCAATGCTACCTCATTGAAACCATGATAACTTATGTAAGTTACAGAATAAAAAATTTTAGTTATGTATTTATTGCTGTTCTCTTTCATTAAATCATAATATTTTCCTCTTGATGGTGTAAAATTTAAAACAAGCTCATGTCATTTGTGCTAAATGTTTTCATCAGTTGTTAGTCCCTTATCAGTACTTTTGTTTTTGGGGTAAGGCCATCAACCTCATGTACCTGTGTTAAATTATTTTGAAAAATGATAACATTTTTTAATCTTTTAGGTTGAATGGTTGTTTGAAGATTGTGGTGATATCTTGCCTATTGAAATAAATGCTCAGGATAAAAGAAAAACTCATCCGCCTTCAAATATCCAATCAAGCGCTCTACTTAGTAACATCAACAAAATAGACGGTTGTTATTATTTTTTATTAACTTTTGCGAAACTAATATTTTATGGTGTATAAAATTTTAACTAAGTTTCATGAAAATAATATTTCTGAAAATGAGATACATATTATCCGCTTAAATTGTTTTAATTATTTTCTTTAAATGTATCAGGGCTCTAACTCATAAGGTGGTCTGAGACCATTTAAATTAGATTTAGACTGCCATGCAATAATTATCAGTATTTCCCCAGACCTATAATCTTTGTAAAATGATTATATGCTCCTTTTTATCTGTTTTAGTGTGTGTTTTTGTCTGAAACTAGCATATTTCATTATAATTTTGACATTGCACATTATGTAGTTTTTTTAATTAAAATCACTTTCTTAACCTTTTTTAAAAGAAACTAAAAGCAGCATGTATTTGGATCTGGGAAAATGTGTGGGGGCTAGAATTATGGTGATTAAATTTTTACCTGTTACGCAACCAATACTTAGTAGATGTACTGGTTATGCATAAAGTGTTTTTAAAACGAAGGTAATATTGTCCTTCGAATAATATTTACTTTGACAATATTAATAAATTTTAAGGCACACCCAAAAAGGGACTGGATTAGAGTGAGGTTGTGCCCCCAGGTCTCAATATTTTTTAAGAAACCCTTAAGCTTATGAAAGTAAAATTGATTTATGTGATTTTCTGAGAAAATTATCACATAATTTTCAGCGTAATGTCTAAAAAAGTTTCTTTAGAATCACCAAAAATTTTATGTATTTTTAAATGTAAAGTTCGGTAAATAGATAAACAAATTATCTATCTACCCCTCACCAAACTAATATATATCCACACTACTAATATTTGATATGTAAAACAATATCTTTCATACATATTGCTGACACTTCAAAAACTCAAACAACATCGAAAGTTAAAAATATATCTAGTTGATGAAAAGTACATTTAACAGAAAATAGCATTCATAATTAAAAATATTCATAACTATTTGTATAACTAAACACATTACATATTGTTAAATTTAAATTGAATTATCAGATATTTAATTAAGAGAAGACCCATTATCAAAAATTTCTATGGTGCTACAGATTTGATTAACATTCAAAAATTGAGTTGCATTTCTTTTTGTTTCTTAGTTTTTTGCACATTTTTTGCCTGAGAAATTCCATAAAATGCTTATGATGCAAATTAAATTTATAAATTAAGGGAAGACAAAAAAATTCTTCACAATTATTAAAAGAATTGTTCTTGTTGAACTGAAAGTCATAAAAATGTATTCAGCGTTGAAACAGATTTTTCCTATCGTACCTTCTATGGTTGCATTGATTTGTATTTAAGCCCTATATGCAATGGAAATGATTATTCATATGATAATGATTATTCATTACTCAAATGATTATTTATAAGCCCTATATGCAGTGGACTCTTGTTTACCGACCATATTAAACTGGATGGTTGGAAGCCTTTTGTATAGGGATTTAATTTAAGGATGAAAAAATATTTTTTTTATTACCAAAAATGTATAACTAAATGTATATACTTATAAAATAAATAATATTTTTATTACTTACAGAAAACGCTGTGGACTCCTTACCTCATGAAATGTTCTCATCAATTTACAATGTTGCATCCCGTCACCTGAGACATCGTCATAAAAAGAAAGATCCTGCTAGCTACTCCAAGAAGAGATCTGGCATAATTGCTGACGACACTGACATCATGGCACAGGGTGAAAACGGCACCATTCCAATCATCACCTGTAACAACTTAGACGTCAAGCCGAATGAAACAGAGAATCTCTCTGATGTTAGTTTTGGCAGCTGCTCTAGTCTTATTTCTGGCTCATCTGTTTCTAAGCAGAGATCATTGTCCAAAGATCTTCAGAATGGCTCTGCTGAGGAAGCTAGTCCTATGTCCAAAGGCAATCTGCCTAGTGAGCCCCAGACGGAAGAGCACGCCGTCGGGCATAAATACAATAAACTCAGTGAAATGGCCCAAGAAAAGATCAGGAACTTTGAACAGGAGACAAAAGCTCTTCTGAGGAGGGATTTTCAGAAGCCCAGGGCTTCTGTGGGTACTCCTCAAGTGGAATGGGAGCAAATCGAAAAAGAGTGGCAAAAAGCAAAGCTGGAGCTTGAGCAGGAAGATTTGTTGGATTATTTAGCGGATGATCCATCTTATCTTTCTTGCCTTCTCAGCCGAGGGAAAGAGGAGTTTTCGCCAAATGATCCTGGAATGGCGGAACTATGTCCCAGTAAGTCTGTATATTTTGAATTTTCAAACAGTAAATTATGCAATTCCCGGTGGCTGAGCGGTAGCTATTTTATTAGCTAATTTTTTTTCTTCTTAATAACCAATTTACTATGTATGATAAATTTATAGATGAGTTATTTATTAATAAAACATTGAGCTTGCTTTAAACAATTTTATAGAATTTCCATGCATATCNAAATGGATTTTTAAAAATTGTATCTCATTTTACGCGGAAGTAATTGAAGTTTTTGATAAAATAGTTATAAATAAAATATATTCGTCTAGTTCCAAGTTTGAACTCAAAAAGTTATGTAAATAAATTATAAATAACTAAATATTCATAATATTATTCACCTATAATTATAAATTTATTATTTAATATAATGTCTGCTATTTTGTGAAACTTTAGTTGGGGTTTTTAAATTCCCTCCAAATCAACGGATACAGCGCGATTGAGCGATCAACGGAGTGGAGTGTCAGAGCGCTATGCGGTGCAGCGTTTCGCGAAAAAAGCTATAGCTTTTTATGGAATTGCAATCCATTTTTTTTTGAAAAGCCATTTTGTTCAGAAAAAGATTTACTTTAAAATGGGTTTTGTTTGAACTTTGTACGACATTAACAACATTTTTGTTTTTCATTTTACAACTTAATTTTGCAATAAAAATTAAATTTTTTTAACATTTGTCTTATTATAATTATTTTATCAAAAACTTCAATTATTTCCGCATAAAATGAGATGCATTTTTTTTAAATCTATTCATTCTATCCTTAGATATTTATTTTTTATTGAAAAAGAGCTTTAAAATTTAATTGTTAATGTCTAGTAAAATAAATTAAATTAAAAAAAATCGTTTCGGGCTATTGTTTTGTATAATATATACTTTTTAGAAAACAACAAAAAATTTGAAATTTATGATATCAAATTTTGGGTGCAACCGCTATTAAAATTTTGACTCTTTTAAAAAAGAGAAAATCGAAGATCTAGGGATTGCACGTTTNAGGGCTTGTGTTTTGTATAATATATACTTTTTAGAAAACAACAAAAAATTTAAAAATTATGATATCAAATTTTGGGTGCAACCGCTATTAAAATTTTGACTCTTTTAAAAAAGAGAAAATCTAAGATCTAGGGATCGCACGTTTCAGGCGCGAATATTTATTTCTCTTCACTCTAGGGCTAACACAATAGACCGAAGAAAGAGGTCTCATTTTCTCCCGCCGAAACCAGTCTTAAAGAGGGACCCGCACCCCTACTTGAAATAATCATACCTCGTTACCATAGTCACCGCCACACCTCCAGACGAATGTCTGTCAGAGTACGTATCGTAGACAAACAGTACAATGTTGTAACATGTTTTCCACCAAATGTTTTTAAAATGCAATAAAAACACAAAGTTTGCTGAGAAATTTCAAATTCAGAAAATTCTAGAATCAATAAGCGTTTGTGAAAACGTGGCTGTTCCTTGATATTTGTTGAGATACAATCATAATAAAATCGTTCAATCGTTATTCAGATCATTATAAATCAATTGTTATTCCAATCATTATGAATAAAAATTAATTGAAATAAGCTGTTTTAAGGTTTATTATTTTTCTATTTTATAACTTTTATTTTTTATATATCTGGATGACTCAATTTAATGATCTAATTGTCTAGGTTCCTGCTTTGCCATTATTAAAAAAAGTTTGACTGTGTCTATAAACTGATAAGACATGAAAAAATTTTAACTATACATTTTATTAACATTTGATCTTGATGCCATTTTTTTTTTCTCTTTATTACTTTTCTTTTACTTAATGGTTGTAAAAAATTTCCATTTCCTTTTTTTTGTGTGTGAAACATTATTTTATTTTTCTAGCTAAAACTGAACTGCCCCGGAGTTTATCATCTGGTAAAGAGCTTTTGAGTTGCCAAAGTTCCAGAACTTCAACTTTTCTCAAGCCTATTTCTCCCCTCATTCAAAGTGATAAATCAGAACATAAAGCAGAAGTTTCTTTGACTTCTCTCCAAAGCGATATTGACAGAACAAAGCTAGAGAAACCAGAGATTCCCATGTCTATTAGTCAGCCTGCTTTAGCCTCTGTGTTTAGTCAGAAAACTGCTGCTTCTTTAGAAGAATACTCATCATCCATGCCAGATGCTGACATAATTAGGCATAGCTCAAGTAATGCAAACTCAGAACATTCTGAGTCTAAAAAAGAATCTGTCCATCAAATGGATCAGAATTGTCCCCAATCAACGAGCTCTAAGGTGACACACTCATCTCATCCTAGTTGATATTATTTGGGAGACAATTTTGTAAAATATGTATAGTTTATTTATTATACATCAGAGTAGCTCACGCATATGTTGATATTTTATTTTTAAAGTTTTTGCCTTTACTATATTCTGTGTTAATTATGTAAATGGAATAGGTAATTCAAGATTTTGTTACCAAAGCTGCAAAAGTTACATTACCTCATTTGAAGAAAAAAAAAATTTAAAACATTTTTTTTTTTTAAACTAGCAGTGCAGATTAAGAAATTACATATTCAGTAAAAGTGTGAGTAGAGAGTAGCTGTTACCACTAATTGGAGCACAACAATATTAAAAAGTTTTCATTTAGAATTTATTATGGGATATTTTGATGCATGCATGAAAAAATTGTTGTACATTGATACTTTTTTAAAATTCCCTTTAATACTTTTTTATTGTATATTGTTTACTTTTTTTTTAAGGAAACCAAAAAAAATTGTTGAAAATTGCTGAGATTCCTATTTAAACTAAACTTGTTTAGATTAAATAATTAAAAAGATACATTGAGAGAACAGCACAAAGAGCAGAAAGTAAAGATTTTTTTTTCTCCATTACTTTATTTCAGAACTGACTGTATAAAAATTTATTCCCCCTTTTAAAATTCAACTTAAATTTAATCATCTTAAAACTTTACTTATAATTTTTAATGACTTTATATTTGAAAACTTCTCTATATGTATGTTAGATTAAACTACATTTTTAGAATAATTTCTATCTAATTGTGTTGAGATCATAGTCAAATTTGGATTTCTAAAGAAAGTGCTGCAGAAATTCTCTCCATAAATTCTGCTGTCGAGCATATATATATTGGAACCTCAATCGATTGTTTTTTATGGAACCTTCTTTGGGAACAATGGATACAGGGAAATGATAAATGTGTGTCTAAATTAAATAATAATTATTGGCTTGAAAATGTAAAAAATTAATAATGAGGTAATGAACTTGAAAATTAGTTAATTTGTTATTAGTATAAAAAATTTTGATTAAAAAAATTATAACTTTATTGCCAAAAATAACTTATGATGCAAAGGAATGAACACATTTATTTATTTAAAATATTTGAAAATCTTGGTCTGAATACTTTCTTCTTCTATACACAGACAACTAATTTTTGACAATTTTAAAAGATTATTGTTAATTTTCTGTACACTTGGCGTTAATACAAAAATTTGCTCATTGTTTCATAGCCTTTTGCAAAGGTTAGCAATAGTTGGTGATCCATTTTGCCGCCTGTTCTACTTTTTAGCTTTTGCAACCATTTCTGAACATACAACACACGTTTCAACATTTTTATTGACCTATACATCACCATCAAATTTACACCAAATTCTTATTTTCTTCATCATTAGCATCAGGAATTACTCTTTTCCTTCTCAAGATGAAAAAAAACTTCAATGTTTTTAAATTTTGGTGAAATTTCTGAACAATAGACATGAGAATTCATTAATTTTCAAACCAATCTAGACAGGTTTTGTTAATATTATAAGAATAGCATTTCTAACAGTTCTTTTAAAACAAGACAATACATGTAGAAATATGAAAGAACAATGAATTAAGGTTTGACTGTATATATATAAAGGCAATTATACATTCATACTTACATTGTGTGTCTAAACGCATGTGTCAAACAAAAATGTGGGATAATGGGTACAAAGAAGTCTGCTCTTTCTTTTATTGTAAATCCAAAGAAGAATGTTCATTTCATTGAAAAATTTTATCTCTAAATAGGAACTGCTAACTTTTACTCAAAGTTTTACTTTGATTTCTATCATGGTTTCATAACTAAAATAATAATTTAAATTTGAGTAATAAAATTCATTAATATTAAAAATAATAATGAAAATATCACACTTTCTACTAACATACTAGCAAAGGATTACTAAATAACTCAGCTTTGGTAATAATTTGTCTTGAATAGCCTATTTATTTTACATATTTTCATTTTTTTCCTGGAATAATATATCATAAAAATTTGACTTTGGCCCTCATTATTCATGTTGTGTCATATCATTTCTTGTACAATAGTATGCATATAAGCTGCTGGCAGTTTAGTTTATTGCATTTTCGCTTTTTTAGTGATTACTTAGAATCATTCAATGCTTATTATAGTTTAAATTAAGAAATAAACGTATACAGAATATGCAGGGCATAACATAAAATTATTTTAAATCTCATAGAATAAATTACTGGTGAAAATCTTTTTTTCTTCTTCCTTTTATATTATCTGTAAAATAAAACTTTAACAAAATTATTAATAATTTAAATTGGTGAAAATTTTAGCTTTATTAGCTTATTTTAGCTCAATCTTTGTTGAATTCTGCTCTTAAATCATTTGATGTAATACTTTTTCATGTGATTTTTTTAAAAAACATGTTGAATTGTATCAAATCGAGAAAAACAGTTCATCATATTCTATTGTTTTATGCTTCTCTAAAATTTTTATGTCTCTTTGACATAAATTATTGTTTAATTGATCATAGAAGATATTTAGTTTTGTTGCTCATTTATTATATTTTAGCTACTTCTTTGATATCGATACCTTTAAATTTAGAAATAAATCATTTGTTACTTTAATTATCACCTAATTTTTTATTAATGATAATATAATTTGCAGAAATTATATGAACTGTTTAGAATATTAACTAACAAAAAATATTTTTTTTTTAAACTTTTATTTTCTGGTATAATTTTTTCTCTCTCAAATCAATATTGATACTTATAGTCTCGGTATTGATTTGGTTAATTTTATTGCATAAAAATATGTAGATTTTCCTACTTATAATTGATTGAAAATTTTATGTATTTTTAGTTTCAAAGATTAGTTACAGATGCTTTTTTAACGAAATGTGTATGTTTAATAATTTTATTTATTTCATGATTTCCAATTTTATAAGATAACTTACTTCAAATATTCTATGAAAATTGCATCAGTATTTGAATCTATACAAATTGCAATAAATTCAGAAATTACCAATACAATTAGCATTAAGGAGTTTTAAGCGATTGTCCTGGACGATCAACTAATTCTATCAAGCTTTGTTAGTTAATTTGAATTTGTAAGTCTAGGTTCATAGCGCTCATTATGTTAAATGCTTTCATGACTATATATTTAGACAATTTATAACAAACCTTCAGAAATCTAAAAATGTTTCTTTCTTTTTTATATTATTATTTTGAAGTTCGCTATTCTACACCCCAGTAGCAGAACTAATGTTTTACAGGAGATTACACAACAGATTTATTTTGGCCTTGCAGACATGTTCCTCTCTTCGTGAGTGTTTGATGCAAGCCTGATGACTGCAGTACTTCTGCGACGTCGATCACTGATCGATGTTTGAAAGACAGAACATCAAGATGAAATAGTTTTCAAATCCAGCCAACGTGAACACACCGTGTAAGCGGCAGTAGTAAATTGTTTAGCTTCGACGTACGTGAACGTGATGATTGCTTTGACCTTTCGTTAGTAGCATCTAGGACCTGTCCGATCAAACTGTTAATGGCGGCCATTTGCGTTTGAAACCGACTGATCGAAGCATGTTTCACAAGTAGGAGTCTGGCTTTACTAACATCTATTGTCCTTCGGGTCCTCGCCCAGTTTAGTTACTAGCGGAGACTGGAGATGTTAATTATCTAATCGAGATAAGTAATCTTAAAAACAGCGAGAAGTTTTCTTCAAGCAAAGCACAGTGGACTTCATTTTTGTTGATTACTCTCAACTCGTTTTCAAGTCATCTCACAGCTTTTCCTCGCCATGGCAATGTGCCATTTTTCTCCCCACCTCATCCTTAGCATTATGCTTTTCACCTCAGGGCTTCATCTCATCGATCCTTACTTCATGATGAAGGGGTAAAAGGCCATCTCAGCCTGAGGTACCCCGACCAACCAACAAGACCTTGCAGACAACATAACTGTTATGAATCCGTCCCACCCATAGGTTGGGTATTCAGGAAGACGAACTTGCCAACTCCCCTGTTGGAGCCACTGGCCGAACCCTGGAAGCATGCATTCAGCCAGGCAAACCAACTAGGCCAACACTCATGGCACCCAGAAAAATCTACAATAAAAGCTAATTATTGAGGGCAATATGATAAACAGAAATAGCATTTAAAATTAACATCATTCCATCTCTTTGCAGGCAACATAAACCAAACTTTAGAAAAATCAAACAAAAATAAAAGATTTCTTGTGCATAATTCCTGTTTTTTAATCTTGAACAGTTCACATTACATGTTATAACAGGTTTTTTACAAACATTTATAAGAGTGGGACACAACAAAAAATTTGAGCTAATTTGATCGAAAAAATTGTTTCCTTTCTTTACTTTCTGTTTTAGTTTTTTTGAACTGTAAAAGTATTTTATTTCTGATTCAAATTTTAGTTTATCAGTCTTTAGAATGCTTTTTTTTTAAACTTTATTTTCTTATATTTCATTTAATTCACCTGATATTTAGTTTGTTTTTTTTAATTTTGTTCATAATGTTGATTTTTTTCATTAAACTAAAAATAATTTAAATCAAGAATATTTTCCATTTTTAATTTTATTGTACAGAATTTTGTTCTCTCTTTTTTTTTGTTAGGTTATAAATTTTAAACTAGTAATGTCTAACTTAATTTATTTTATGTACTTCTTTTTGCTAGTGCAGCTATTTCATTATGTATTGTAATATTATACTTCTTTACCTCTTAAAACTTTAGAAACTTTAATGTGTAACTTTTGAATACAGTTATTTTAATACCCACTGTACTTATAAATTATGTAACTTATTCACGATGTTGAAGATCATACAAAGGATTCTGCTACTGGGTTTTATATCAAAAATATTAAGCAAGATAAACTACTATTTTCTGTAGTAACTGTTTTAATGAGTACTAAAATAAAATATATTAAATCACAACAGTCTAAAATCTTGTAAAACTAATGCTATTTTTAAGGTCTGTTGTACTTATACATATCAATCTATTAGATCTGTGCTAAAACTTAAAAAAATTGATTTAACTCAACTAGTTTATAGATTATGAAACAAAGCTTATGTTATTTAGAGTAGAAAATCAGGTTTAAACAAAATACAAGTAGTAGTACATAGTATATGACTTTAACGACAATTTGTAAAGTAATCAGTATTTCAACAAATGAAGAGCTTGGACTTATATAATGATAAGCCGCATTTTCAAATTGTCTAGGAATGCATTTTCAGTGAAAAACACAACGATTTTCACTTAAGTAATAAGATGTGCACTGTGGTGTTATTTACGAGGCATCCGTAATTATGTAAAGTATCTATCTAAAAGCAATGTTAAGGAAAATTATTATCTAAAAATATCACCTTTGGAAAAATGTTACAGATCTCTATATTGCCCACAAGCCTTCATATATATAAAGTTTTGTATGTAAATTTAAGCTGAATTTGATAATTCTGCACTACACTGCATTGTTTAAATCCATGCTTCTGAACATTCAGTATTTATGCAAAGGCTTCCAATGAATCTGTATAATTGATCTTACACTGTAGATGATCAATAAGCACATTATAGAGACAACACTGTATTCAAAATCTTGAAATTATTTAATGCTATCAGATTTACAATTAACAAGCAACAGGCAAACAAATCCCAGGTTAAAATTTTATTGCAAGACATCATAAACTAATTTTGGACGATATTATGCTTTTTTGAACCCAAAAGTTCTCTGAAAACCAAAAATAAAACTTTTCTACCCACAGACCTGAAGACATTCAAAACTCGTACATGGTACATTTATCTGGTGAAAACGACCATCTTTTTTACCAGGTTTGAATCCAATAGAATTTTTTTCCCCATTTGGTCAGTTTTGGAGACAAGGGTTTGTAATAAATCCCTTTGGTATACATACCCAAAATATATCCTTGTTCAAGAATGTGAACAACGGGACAAAATATCAGTATGCCAATAGTAGACATAGCAAAAAAATTTATCACAAGTTTAAAACTCAACGTTAAGGCAAAAGGTTGTTACTTTGAATTTTTTAACTATGTTACTGGTATACGGTGTTTTCATGATTATTTGGAAAATTTTAATAAGCAGTTAAAATATCTATTTCATAATTCCAAGGTATTTCTTGTCACCGTATTAAATATTTTTTATGGTCTGGTGTAACAACAAAAAAGGCACATCCATGGACTCATTTATTAGACAGAACCTGACACATTTCATTGTTATTTGCTCTGATTTTTTCCTCACTTTAAAAAGGTTTTTTTTCCAACTGCAATAAATACTGATTTTTAATTGCTAAGGATTATAATCAGGGATAGAAGCATTGATTAATAATGCGACAAGATAAATTCCATTCATTTTCATTTCTTATAAGTTAAATAATAGTGCAAAACCTGGTATAATTTTAATGAGGCAGTAGATGACTAGTCTATGTAATTTTGAACTATGTAATCTGTAATTTGGGACTATCTCACCTATTTTCTTATTACAAAAATTGGTATTGTGTATATTTCTACAATTTGGCACTATAATTCTGTCTATAAAAATATTAGTGTTATATAGAAGAAAAAAAATTTAATAAAATAGGGGTTATACACTTGCTCTGAAGTTTTACTCACTTCAACTTAATTGTTAATCTTTTATCATTTTGGTTTGCTTTAATTAATAAAACTAAACATATAACTTTTCATTTTGGTTGTAGTATATTTATTTTCTATGAAATTGTTTTATTCAAAAAGAAAGTATATAACTTGTTATTACTTTTCATTGTGAATGAGATCATACTCCTTTGATTTCCAGCTATAAATTGTGAAACTAACTGTACAAAAATATTCATTACAAATTAAACCTACAAATTGGAGTTGAACTAAAAGCACATGTTTTGGGTATATAAAGCTACATTAAAATTAAATATGACTACAATTTTTTTAAATCTAAAAATAAAGTTCCTATTTTGTGCTCTTTTTCATGATTTGATTTCTGTGATAAAATTCTTAAATTTTATAAATTGCATGATATTTTTCATTTATGTCCTTTTTTTTTTTTCAGTAGACTTTACTTATAAATTTGTTTTTAATATTTTTGAAATACTCAAAAATCTATTACAGTTTCTACTTGTTTGGTAACATTTAAATGACCACCACTTCATATTTATATAAATATACACTTTCAAGCATGAATAATAAAATGTGGAGGAAAAAAAGATTTGTCTGTTTAAGTTTGATTATAAAATAACACGATTTTTAAAATTTGACATAAAATAGAACAAATGTATCAAGAATATTTTCCCAAAGTCAATCATAAAAGAACAGACAGATCTTATGGAAACTTTTTCTGTTAGGCTTAACTGCTAGATGCTAATATTGAAAACTTGAATTTTCTCAACTCAGTTTTCCATTTAAAACTCTATTTTTGTAATCTGTGGACAAAATTTCTGGGAAAAAAGTAATAAAAATACACATTAAGCTGATCTTATGAAATTTTGAACACTTCTTCTGTATAGAATTGACTAAATATTAAATGATTTCTTCAATTACAACCTATTTAATAATACAATATGTGGTCTAAATTTTACCAATAACCTTATTGGTATCTCTGTCAATTATTAACTCTTTTTCCCTTAAATCATTCCTTCACTATTTGGTCTATTTTATCTGTTAAGAGGGTCCATTAGTTCTTAAGAAATGTATTCGTTTTTCTATAGGTTCTCCAAAAATTTGTTCTCAGTGGTTAAATTATCAAAATCCAAAAACAAAAACACTTGCTCAAATATTGTTTTATGTGCTTGAATTATAAAATGATTGATCCTTTAATTATTAAGAATTCTGTGATAGATATAAAAGAATTATATTCAGAATTATGACCAGAAGTATCTCGTTGCAGAATATATTATCTTTTAATATGTGACCAGAGAAAAATCTGGAAAAATTTATGATTCTTGAGTGATACTTGAAAGTGTATGTTGCAAAAGCTTCAATGTTACTTTACAAGACTGTATTTTTATTAGTTATCTATTTGTATATTATTCGGTGATGTTCTAATGTTCGGTAACTTCTAATTGTTTAAATATTTTTCTTGGAATAAGCATAACTTAATGCTTTTAGTAATAGATTAAGCAGCTTTATGAAAACAAATTACCTAAATAAAAAAGTTTTAAAATTCTTACATCGTCATTTTAAACATTTATACTGATCGAATTCAAAGTTTTTACTTAAAAATATTTGTACGGCCAAAGTTTTACAACCCATTTGATATTATTAAAAAAAAAAATACTTGTTTTCTTCTAAAATGCTGTGATAAAAAAATTTCGAATTATGAATCAACAAAGTAATCTGCTTTATGAATTATTTGTTATCTTGTTTAGAAAATTTATAATTTTGCGCACTTTAGCTGGTAGAAAGCGACCACTTTTATTTAAATTTATTTCTTATATTTTTAGTCTTTTGTTGTAGTTTATGTGATGAGAGAGATTCCATGTCAACTTTTTATGTATAGATGAGTTTGTTTTAAATTGGTATATGTTATAGAAAAATTGAAATTATTAAAAATATTGTATACTACAGTTGTAATTTGGTGTTTCTTCTTTAAGCTTTCAAACAAATTTGAATTTAAGACAATCCGTTTTAGCATACTATTATTGATACTAATTATACTTAACTAATTGTGGAAATATGTACCTAACGATATGTGGGTAATAAACTTTTCACTATCCCAAGAAGCAGATAACAAGAGAATTTGCTAAATTTTTACACCTGCTCTAAAAGTCTTATGGCAAGACAGTATTTAAACCTCCCCCACCCCAAAAAAAAGTTGATAATTGAAAAAATAATAAAGTGGTAGCATATTATGGATTATGTGTAAAGAATAGTTTCTTGTTCTACACTCTACTTTTAAAAAGTCATATTAAGAGAATACCAAACTTAATTTATGTATACCCCATTACAATTATTTCGCCACCATTTTATTTCAATTTTTCATGACTCCTAAAATTATTGTAAAAACCACTTAACTTTATTTCACACAGTCAATCATATGTATATATAATGATTTTTTAATTATGACAGGACAAAATTTATTAAATGGCATAATTTTGATTAGCTCCATTATAAATTTAATTTAGTTTGCATTATAGTTGTTTCATGCTTAATTTTTATTATTAAAAACATTCAAGAGATTTGATGCACTAAATTATTTTAATGAGTAGGGTTAGAGCATCATTTTTACAGCAGCTTTATTTTCTGATTATTATGTTATGCTTGGCTTGAATTATTCATGTGAAGTTTTAAAACCAACACTACAATTTGTTTAGAGAGAGAAGAAGCAAAGTAAAAGGATAGCTCTTTTTTTTTTTCTTTCCTAAAATGCATTTTTTAAACATACATATAGAGTAAATCAGATTTTTGGTTATTCAAATTGAATACCAATAACAAAGGATTTCAATGAAACATCAACTTTGGAAGCCTTGTGTTGATTACCAACAACTGTATATTTATAAAAGTTTAGCAATCTCTTTGGCCCAGAAATTTGAATTAATGATTTTATTTATTTTTTCAATGTATTTTAATGAGATAAAAAATGTTTATTTTCATATCTTAATTATTGGAGTACCTGAGAAAATTGATCAGTTTAAATACAAATTGTTTTGCTTTGATTACTGAAAAAAAATTATGATTTTTTTTTCTTTGAAACTTACTCCTAAGATCGAATTCTAAAGTCTTTTTTTTCGAATACAATTTTTTATTTTATTTTCATATTTTAGATTATGGTTTAAGTCTTTCCAGTTTCTCTGGAAATTGAACAGGGGTAGGCTTGTCGAGTGCATTATATTTTTAGAAACTGCAGTATCTTGCTGATATGTATGTTTCTTGTAGCTTACTCTGGAACTTTGAATTCAAACTTAAATTTTCAATTTTTTTTTTAAATAATCAATTAAATATCATGCATAAGGCCTAAGAATTAGAAAATCACTCTAAAAAATTTCTATATCGTTTTAGAGGAATGCCCCTGCACACAAAGTTCATACTCATGTCATGTGGTAATATATAAAATATACCTGAAGAAATTAAAGATAATTAAATTTTAAACACGTAAAAATCTCAATTTTCGTAATATTAAATTTCAAATACATTGACATTATTCACGAGCAAATATCAAAGACTAGCATTTTTCAGCTTTATTTTACACGATAAACTTAAATACTTCTAGTACCGCAGTGGACTGATCGTTAAGACACGGTTCCCAGCAGATCACCGAAGTCAAGCATCACTGGCTGCGGTCAGTGTGCGGGTGGGTGACCACTTGGATCAGTCTGCGTAGGGACCGAGGGTGTGCGGTATTGGTCCTCGTTAAGCTGTGCTACCGCAAAGTGCTCGACTTCGCGCAGGTCGTCGGGCTACCGAAGCGGGGTGCCATCCCCTCCGCAGAAGATCAAAATTGTGATGGCATGTCTTCGGATCATCCTCCGGGATGCTTTCCAGACCGTCGCCAATAGCCCATTGTGCAGCTCTAGTGCGACGTAAATTAACAACAACAACTTCTAATTGGCGATCGAAATGGGCTGCAGGTGGCGTAGAGCAGAACTCTTTTCCTATGGCAACACTTCACATGCTTTCCCCATTAGCGTGTGGAAAGTCATAGAGGAAGGAAGTACGTTAGTTTCTCTCTTGATTTTCATATAGATTAAAATCTTTTAACTTGAAAAACTATATGGAACTGAAAACTACATTAAACATAGTTCTAAAGAAAAGTATCATGGAAATTTTAAAAAATATTTTTATTAAATAAAAAGGAAAAATATTAAGAAAAGGGAAAATATCGTAGTACATTCCTATATAACTGAAAAGAGGAGGAGAAGGGTTAAAGGCATGAAACCGGTCTCTCCCCAGATGGCGTATTCGAGTGTTGCGATCGCGAATTTTTACAAAATAAATTTTTTATAAATGCAAATCCTTTTCCTACATTATTCATATTGTAATTGAAAAAAAAGTCTTTTTTAGATTTTACATTTAATTTATTGAAATTTAATTTCATATAGATAAACGAAATATTCATTAGTCATTGCATAAAAGTAGAATTAAAGTTCTCAAAAATCACTGCTTGGAAAAAACAAGTCCTTGTTCTCCAAATCCCTAGATAGGGAACACCATTACCTTTTTAAAACTGCTACCTGTGCTAGCGACATCTAGTAGTTGTATGGAACTCATTAACAGCCGAAATCCTTAATGATTCTATAACCAAGCAAAAATAAACGATATATAACGATCTGACTAAAGTTAATGATATTTTAGTTAGCGAAAATAGACAACCGGAAACGTTGTAATTCTTGAAAAGACTGACGTTTAAAATGAATTAATCGGTATTTTTATCAAGAACTATTGATTATTACGTCGTCATAATAACATTTCAAGTCACTGAAGCGCATAATTTTAAGAATTTATCATTTTGTTTATGTTTAAGAGAATTTTTATTTCTGTAGTATGGGGGAAAAATCTTCTAATAAATGTAAATTAAAAAAACGCTATTTGTCCCTACACGGTGAGAAATCTTTTTCATGCAGTTTGTGTAATAAAATTTTCAGACAAAAAAGATATTTAGACCAACATTATCTTATTCATTCTGAAAAGTCTTACTCGTGTAGTATTTGTGACAAATCTTTTAATCAAAAAAGATATTTAGATCAGCATAATCTTGTTCATACTGGGGAAAAATTTTACTCATGCAGTGTATGCGATAAAACATTCACACAGAGCACTAATTTGAGGAAACACTTTCGTCTTCATACTGGTGAAAAGCCTTATTCATGCAGTGTATGTGATAAAACGTTCACACAGAAAGCTCATTTAAATATTCACCACCTTGTTCATACTGGAGAGAAACCTTATTCATGCAATTTGTGTGATAAAACATTCACACAAAAAACCAGTTTAAATCAGCACTGTCGAACTCATGCGTCAGAGAAATCTTTTTCATGCAGTGTATGTTACAAATCTTTCACACATGAACTTAGTTTAAAACAACACTCTCTGCTTCATACCCGAGAAAAATTTTTTCCATGCAATGTTTGTGATAAAAAATTCTCCCAAAAAGCTCATTTAAACGAGCACTCCCGTATTCATAGTGGAGAAAAGCCATATTCTTGCAGTGTATGTGATAAAGCATTCCCAAGGAAGCATCATTTAGTTAACCACTCTCGTATTCATACTGGAGAAAAGCCCTTTTCTTGTAGTGTGTGTAATAAAACATTTTCACGGAAAACTCATTTAAATAGTCACTACCTAGTTCATACAGGAGAAAAACCTTATTTATGCAGTGTGTGTAATAAAACATTTTCACAGAAATCTCATTTAAATAAGCATTCTCGGATTCATGCTCCAAAAAAACCTTATTTATCCATTGTGTGTTAGATAAATCTTTTGCACATTTAAAGGCATATGAGTAATTATTACATAGTTCAAACCTAAACAAAGCAATGATTAAACTATGGTTTTAAAAAATAATTATTAAACTTTCACACTGAAAACTCAATTAAATAAACACTCTTTATACTGAAGAGAAACCTTTTTAACTAAAATTGCCTGAACTATTATGTATATATGTTACTGTAGTTAAAATTCTATTATTTTTTAACCATTGTTAACTATGGATTCCCAACAACACCATGCTTCTATCTTCTGCTAATGATGTGGATTTGGGTGTAACTGAGATAAATTCTTAAACTAACTATTCACCAAATAAAAGATTAGTAATTGAAATGCCTCTATTTGTCAAGCTTTTTCTTTGTTCAAGTTTGAACCAACAGGTATTTTTTTCATAGCATTTTTATCTTTAAAGCTCAAAATTTCTCAGCAGCACTATCTTTATAAATTCTAATTCATGGCCCAAATGCAGCCAAACAAAAATTATTATAAAAATTCAGCTTAATTTAACATATAGGTAAAAAAATTTGCAAAGGTATTTAGAAATTATACCAAAAAAGTTTGTTCCCTAAACTTATTTTGAATGACTTAACTAAATATAAACATATTCAATACTAAAAAATGTGTGATAAATCCTTGTACAGTGTGAGTCGGTAATTGACTAACAGAAATGTCATACTGAAATATGCATGACATATTTTCTAAGATTTAAAACTAAATTATATTCTTACTTTTAATCATTTTCTCAATAAATAATATATATATATAATCTGTAATCTCTTTACCACAACCTTGAATTGAGTGCATAGTAAAAAAATCTATTATCAGAGATTCTCTCTACATCTGCTTAACACATTAATATAGAATTCAAAAGCTGTTGTATGGTTGCTAAATGTTTTGAATTCATTAAAATCACTTATTTCTCATTTTTTATTTTTTGCCAACAGATTTGAATGTGTAAATCTAAGTAAAAGAGTCTTTGCAGTAAATTAAATAAATTAGTAGCTAATGCATAGATTCCTTAACTTTCCTTGACGAAAACTATTTTAATATATTCACGACACTTGCATTTTTGATTTCTTGGTGGACGAAGGTATTATCTGATAAATGTACATTTATATTAAAAATTTAGATTAATCTTTCCTTTAAAGCTCTACGTTTTCTAAATTAAAACATTTCTTAAATTGTTTATCAAAGTTGTTTCTTGGAATAAAGTATGGACGTTTGAAGGTGAATACCTCAAGCTCTTCAATGGAAATATTAAATTATTTTGCATCTTCAACAAAATTCCTTGACAAGAAAAATTCTCTCAAATCAGCATTATGATCTTGAAGAAAAACGAATTTAGAGGCGTTTTATAAAGGTGTTTCAGCGATTTCCCCCCATTTTTATTTTAATGATCTAACAAGAAAGTCTCCAGTTTTTGTAATGTTCTGCAGCTCTCACTGTGTGCTGAAAAATTTTCTGCTACCTGAGTTACTTCTAAAACTTAAAAACTGTTAAGGAGCACATCACCAAGCTAGTTGATTAACTAATTTGCTCCTCTGAAGTGTGGTATCAGGAATTTTCTGCATTTTATTTAGGTAATGTGATTGATCACATTAGCAGCTTTTGTACAGTTAAAGTTCAAGAGTTTGCTTCTTACTTTATTACTAGCAGCTAGTTATTCTTGTGTTTCTTGAGATGATGAGAAACCCCATTTAAAATATATATATATATAACAGGGCTCCTACGAGTCAGGGAAAACCTGGAATTGTCAAGGAATTTTATTTTAACTCAAAAAATCAGGGAAAGTTGCAATTTTTTTACAAAAACCAGGAATATTTCTATATCATACCTGGAAAAGAACCAGTCTTAAATTGTCAGTAACAGTAATCAGTTATTGAGATTCAAGTTAAATAATTCTAACATGTATTCAATTATTTGTTTTAAAAATTTCACATTTTAGCCAAACAAAGGTTCCCATCCTCATTTAATGATATTTTTTTTACACAGAAAATCTTATATTGTGCATTAAAAATAAAATAATCAGTTTTCTGATGAAAATATGGTCTTGATTTTCATTGACATATACCTGGAAAAGTCAGGGAATTATTTCTCTGAAATTGAGTGGGAACCCTGATATAAATGAAATATTTCTACTTTAATAATTCTCTAGTTTAATAATTGATATATTCTTAATTCCATATGTAAATTATAAAAGCATATACAGTCGAACTCGTTTATAACGAGCACAAAGGGTCCGTAACGTGTACTCGTTAAATCCGAGTGCTCGTAATAAACGGGTCCTTTAGGCAGGCGTGCAGCCAGAAGAAGGGGGGAGGGCTTGGGAGGTCAAATGATTGAGTTTACTGAAAATTTAATTAATACTTACTTACTTTAATTACATTAATTAATACTTTTTCTCAATTTAATGACAACTACCCCCCCCCCAACCAGCAAAAAATTTCCAGTTGCACTACAGTCTTAAAGGAAAGAAGCAATAAACGGAAAGAAAAATAAAGGTTAGAGCGATAAGGGCACTTAAGTTTAAGTTCGCGTTTTTTTTTTGATTTTGCACTCATTTCTTATCATTTTAAAAAAATATAAGACTAGAAAGATGAGAAAAAATATTACAAGACAGAAAAATATTGCTCGCTAAAACCGGGTCTTGCTCGTTAAAAGCGACTTCTGTTCCATAGACTTAACACTGATCCAATCAAATATTCTCGTTTCCCTCGGTAAATCCGAGTTCTCGTTAAATCCGAGCTCGTTATAAACGAGTTCGACTGTATAATCATATTTTTTTATGCTTATATATATGTTTAATTTTTTAAATATACTATTTAAAAAATTGACTTGTATTTATAGTTTTGTTACTATAATTAGAAAATTTTGACAATTTTAACCAGTTTTTGACATTAAAAATCCAAACTTGTAAAATTTCATTATTGTTTTTTATGGGATCAAGAAAGAGACATGAATAACTACGCTATTAACTATTTTTAACCTATGAAATAAATAAAAATAATTAGCATTCTGTATGTATTAAAAGTAGCCCTTTAAAAAAAATTATCAATATTTTTTAGCATGTATTTTTTTTCTCTGCTTATACATAAAGGCCTACATTTTCTTTTATATTATTAACCTATGATTTAAAACGTTTGCTTCTTTTATCTGATCAATGTATGAGAACATGATGCTAAGTCGCAAAAGTTTAGACGAATTAGATCTAGTACAAGTCAGTATTCTTGTTATAATCGAAGACATAGCACATGTTCAAAATATATATAATAGACTATATCTTCTTTTAATATGAACCAATTATTTTGTAGTTGTTTGAAATATATAGTTATAGCGTACTAAACTGCCACACCAAGCCACACAATTCTAGGCGAATTATGAACCGCAGAATGATTGTAATATGGTTCCATTGTGCACCTTATTCAAAGCACAGAGATGATCATTATAACAAACGAACCCACTAAGCTGCAAAAGCATAGTTGAATTGGGAGCCTCACAATAAGGCATAATATTTTTTTTGTTCTTTTTTGCTCCTTTTGCAAATTCATGAAAATGACTTAGAGCTTAATTTTCGTTAAACAGCAAGGTACCGTGGTCTAGTATGAAGTTATTATCAAGAACACGAGTTCGAGAACGGAAATGATCTCGTATAGTTTTTTTTTCCCCAAGAAAAAAAGGTTAATTAGCCATTTATTTTTTACTTTCCTCGAATAAGAAATTTTTTTAAAGTAATGTTAATAAAATACTTTTATACCGCTTTCCATATGCCCCTCTATGAAGAAAGCGTCGGGGGCACTATGAAAAATATCCGAAGATTTCGAGTTTTCTCTGTATATGCATAAAAGCAAATTTTCTGCTTTATTTACCTATAATTTTAACACTTTGAACTATTTATTATTTCAGTGTAAATAAGGATGAGGCCATGCTGCAAAAATATAGACAAATTATATTGGGCACCAAGTAGCTTTAATGATACGTTCTTGTTGTTCTTCTTTTTTTCGAGCTTTCTGCGTGTACATAAGGCCTAAAGCCTAAATTTAAAATTTATATTGACCTATAATTTTTAAATTTTGCCACATTTCTTTTTGATAAGAAGAAAACACAAAGCTAATATAAGACATAAGTTTTGGCACATAAAAGCCAATTTATATTATCCTATAATTTTAAAACTTTGAATAATTTATTATTTCAGTATGAATAAAGACGAGGCCATGCCACAAAAAATTTTAGGCGTATATTTTAAGTAACAATGAGTTCTAATAGTGCTAATGCCAATCACTTTAAGCCATTGTGTGTAATTTGAACATGTGCCATTTCTTTGATAATAATGGAAATTAAAACTTGAGCCCAAAGAATGTTGTCTATAATTTTGCGGCTTTTGCTTAATGTTTACTACACTGAAAAAATAAATTGGGTGAAGTTTGAAAAATTATAAGTTGATGTAAAAGTAAGATTTAATGTATATGCAGATAACAGGAAATCTTTAGAAATTTTTTTGCAGAGTCCCGGTGTTTTCTTTAAAAGAAAAACACTGAGAGCGACAATTTGAAATGTTTTATAAAAACTTCCACACCGCAAAAAAGGTAAGTAAAAGATTATTATTTTTATAACAAAAAGAAAAAACATTTTTAGCTAGTAATGAGATTTTTTTATTCATACTCGACGCGATACACCATCACCCAAGGCATCGAACTCGCGGTCTTGGGATAAGCAGTTTGGCGCTTCATTCCATATTTCAGAACCGTGGTCATCTTACCGTTTCATGTGAATCAAGACTCTTAATCATTTTGGTGGTTCCGCATTGCATGCACGATGGAAACATATTATAACCCACAGTATGACCCCTAGTTTGTCTATAATTATTTGTCAATACAATATATCGGACCTATTTTCATATTTATAGGTTAATATTGAGATATATGTATTTAAAACTAGCAATATTCTTATATTATAAAGGGAATATTATCTTAAAAACTTGTGTTCGAACAAAGTTGTCTATACTTGTGCCTTTTAGCTTAATGTTTATTTACAAATAAAATAAAAAATGGGACATAGTCTGAAAATTATTGGTTAATATAAAAGTAAAATTAGGCTTAAATGTATATGCAGAGAATACAAATCTTCAGATCCCTGTGTAGTGAATGGTAACAGGTGCACGTTAAATCTGTCTGGTCACAAAGTTCTCCATGTTCCCATGACAAATCATACCTCTGGTGGAACTAAATTGATTGTTCGCTAATTCAGGTCAAAATTACGATCGGTGGATAAATGAATGCATGTGTGGACGTGTCTGACCTATATACGGGTTGAGACGTATGTGTGTGTGGTAGAAGTAAAATTCTTGATATAGATGGCGCCACTGAAAAACAATAGGAAGTGCATTCACTTTGCCTTATGAAGATAATGTAATTTTCATGCATGCGTAATACAATTTTGATCATCTGTGGAAGGGCTGACTCTCCTGCTTTGGTATTCTGACGTCCTATGAGGCGTCCTTAAAGGTAACAATAGGATAGTTTGACGAGAACCGATACCGTACACCCTCAGAGATCTTTTTCAGGCAGATCAAAATTTTCTCTTATCTGTTGAATAACGATTGGACAAAATAAAAAGGAATGAGAAATTTAACAATTTTCAACGATAAAAAAGCAGGCAAGATTCTTTGATAACCATTAATAAAATGAGTTTTCTTTTTTAATTTAAGTGGTAAAATGGCTAATCACTGGTTGCAACATTTCATAGTCTCACAGTGGACTGATCGTTAAGAGGACGCGATACCCAGATAAAAAACCGGAATTGGCAAAATCAGAGTTGTAATAGTCACCCTTTGGGGGCGTCGCTTTGAGGGAGGAGTGAATTGGTACAGNATCCTCGTTAAACTGTTCTACCGTAAAGTGCTCGATTTCGCGTGCAGGTCGTCGGGCTACTGAAGCGGGGGTGCCATACCCTCTGCAGAGGATCAAAATTGTGATGGCATGTCTTTGGATCATCTTCAGGGATGTTTCCCAGACCGTGGCCAATAGGCCATTGCGCAGCTATAGTGCGACGTAAATGAACTACAAACAAGCAACATTTCATAATTCAGCATCTTCACTGTGGTACTGGTACTTTCATTTACGTCACTCTAGAGCCTCACAATAAGCTATTGGCGATGGTTTGGGAAACAACATCCCTGACGATGATCCGGATCATCCTTTAAAATGCTCCGGACCGGAGACAGCATTCATAAGTCACATCTCGTCATTCAGTGTGGTCATATTCACACGCCATCCATCCGCAGATCACAATTTTGATCTGAACCAGAGCACGATTTATCTCCTATCCTGTTTACTCAGAAGTATTGATTTCTCATTGAAACTTGGAGGATTTTGTGACAGATTTAGCATGCACCAGTCACCATTTTGTACACGGGGAATCTTTTGTCGGCTAGGACTGAACTTATGACCACTCGCTCATGGGTCAATTGCCCAACCAGTCAGGCTATCCCGACACCATATTTTCGCTGTGAATCAAAGAGATTTTTCTATTCGAATATAGTGGAAAAGGTTTGTAGTAACATATTCCCAACCACCTTCTAATAACTAGCTTTTACAGTCCCTTGTTGAGCTACATATTGACGCAAAATCGATATTTATACCACCAATATTTTGAAATACTATATTTTCAAAATACCATATTTTTTTAAGCTATATGATCTTGTTTTCAGCGCATGATATTGTTATAGAATACATTATAAGCTATCTAATAAATTTGATATTCACTTTGAGAATAAAACCTAAAAGTGAGACCGAAACCCAAGAACCTAAATGGTTCTAAATAATCGTAATATACATCGGTTTGTACGGTTGAAACCGTTTATTCAGTGTTAGTATATGAATTCTTAAAGAACAGGTATAAATCAACTGCGCGACTTTAAACTGCTTTTAACGGTTAGGCAGATTGCTTCTTTAAATTTTTTTTTTTAATATGTTTTATGATTGAAGTGGCATCAGTGATTTTACTGCATGGCACTGTTTTATTTTTATTTATGTTTTATGTAAACTGAAAACTGATGATCTAGAGCAAATGACCTGATAAAAGGATTGAATTCTCTCTCACTTTTGTCAACAATAAAAATTATTCATTATCTCTCTTAGTTTTTACAATGAATTGTTTAAAAATAAATTTTCTTCTCGACTGTTCATTTTTTTAATTATCTAAATAGTTTGACATATGCTGATATCGAAACTTTGTTTACTTCTTAAAATATTAGTGACAAATGAAGCTAAATAAAACTTTTTGCTCATTGTGACCACTACTTTTTTAGGGTATATATTTTATTGAACTTTGGTAATTTGCTATATGTTTTATTAGTTTTCTCAGCTTATTAAACGTAAAACTATTTAAACGGAAATATCATTGGCGGAATATTAAACAGAAATATCAAACTGGCAAATTCATTTTAAGGAATTGCGCATTTAGATTTTTTGTTTGTTTTAATGTTTTTATTTTAACTTCATATTTTAAACTTATTTTAATATTTACAAAAATAAAACCTTGTTAAAGGACTAAAAATTTATAAACTGAAGTATGTATTTTATTAGTATTGCATGTTTAACTCAATTTATTGGTAATAAGATTTTTTACGAGATTTTTTACTACGATCTTATCTGAAAATTATTTATTTTTAAGTATGTTTACTTTTCTTCCTGTACGTTTTTTTTTTCTTTTCATTTATTTCAATTTGCTAATTGTCTTGTGGAAAATTGAAGGAATTTTTTTAATTATAATACTTTTTTTCATGTTGGCGCACAAAACATTCGTCTTTATACAGGTTAAATTTTAAAATTAGTTTATAACTTTATGGGTAATTTTTTTAACACTCTAGTTAGTATTGTTCATTAATTAAGAAAAATCCTGTTTTATGTCTTCATTTTAATGGGCTATATTTTAGATATTATTAATTTATGGTTGAAAATGTGTTTTTTAACATTAAACATACCATAATCAGTCAAATGACAGGTACAATATTGTATGACATACATTATTGTATGTAGTGTAAAGTGTTGGTATGTTTAATGTTAAAAATAATCAATAGTAGTGTTCTCTTTAAGCGTTTTTAAAAGGAAGGCTCGCCTTATCTGCCTTTTGATCCTTATAAGTGCATACTCTTTGCTCTTTTTATAAAAACATTGTCTTTTTACTCATATCCCATTTTTAAAAAATTAATAACTCACTGTTTAAATAATAACTACGCACTGGTAGAGTTATCTGCATATATTGGTTTAAATCTGATAACTGTCACAAATATTTACTTTGTTAGGATTATTTTCAATCAGTTAAATTTTTATTAGTTTCACTTTTTTTCAAGAGAGGCAGGTATATTAATGAATATTTTAAATGATTTTAAAATTATTCTTTAAATAAATACTTTTTTTCTTAAAAATGCACCTTTGAATATTTATATTTTGATAATTTTCAGTTTAAATTGTAGGAAAAAGCTTTCAAGCTGTTTATCAGAGTAATATATATATATATTTTTTCTTTTGAGAAAATTTAAGCTCAGAGAAAGAAAAATTTATGCTCAACTCTTTTTGCGTGTCTTTAATTATTTTTATAATTTTTCTCTTGTTTTGATAATGTGTGAGAATTTATGACTTGTAGTCATAAAATAGTATAAGAAGGTAATTCAAAAATGTTGAGGATTAAATCCAGTTATTACATAATGTAACACAATTTCATAAATTTTTACTTTGTTAAGTGAGTACCCTTTTAAAATTCAAAGTGCCTGTTTCTTTGAGAAAGTGCCTAGTCCTTTCTTATTCCTAGGAAGAACTCTGCAAAAGTGTAAATATATAGGAATAATTTTCAAGGGTGAAATATTGTATAAACTTAAAAGGATAAATTAAGTTTTAAATTGCTTGCTGAATGTTACAAATTATCTTGTTTGTCAGCAAATGACCTGATGAACACATCAGTGGCCTATTTTCTCTTTCATACAATTTTATTTAAAAATAAGATGAAAAAACTGCAATCAGTTATTTAGATGATTGTGAATAAAGACTTTTGTCTCTCTTAGTAATTAAATATAAATTATTAATTTTATCAGAACTTGCAACATATGTAGTATTAATTTTTAATTTTATTTGTAAGTGCAATCAGTTAATGATATGTTTCTGAACAGAGATCTCTGCTTCTTTTTCAGTACAATAAAACTTCACCTTATAAATACAAAATCGACGCTTCTCATCACAATGTTTTTTTAATAATTCCCTGAGAGTTTTCTATGAATAAGCTATTGCATACCGTTTCTGAAACGTTGATCGCTTCAAATCGAATACCATATTTTCTAAATTTGAAAAAAAAAAGAAGCTATTTCTACCTTTAATTTCAAAACAAAAAAAATTTTTTTTTTTTTTAAATCATTTTTTAAAGCATATAATTTTTTTTTATTTTATTCATAACTAAAAATCTTGTTAAGCTATTTTATTGCTTTTAAATCAACCATTCTCCTGTTATTTTACTTTATCTTTGCCAAGAAAGGAGAAAAAATGATACTGTTCAGGTGAAATTTTTTAAACAACAGCATCTTTTGTTCTTTTCATCTGGACAACACAAGTGATGATTGATACCCTACAAGTTGAAATGTCACATAAGATGCTCTTAATTCATCTTCCTCATTGAAAAATCTCTCCTTTTTCTAGTTAATTTGACCACTGTAGTTAAAAAAGAAGCTGGGTTAAAAAAGAACTCTAGTCATTGAGGTGTTCCTATAAATAAAATATTTATTCAAGCTTTTGACAAATAGGATTGATTGCCATGTTTTTATTTAATATTTCACAAGAGATTTACCTTCAAGGAGGTATTGCCATGTGACACGTCAACCGATAATAGGAAATATGATACATGTAATAGATGACATAATTCTGATGATCCCATTTCTGAACTTATCAAGTTTGATTAGCTTGACAGGAGAAAGTGTTATCAATAGTGATGATTTTGTAATTATTGGCAAGAATGTTTAAAAAATGATGTAAATGTAGACAAAATTGCTGAAATGGTCGTAAAAAATGACGTTGAGAGTAATATTGAAGAAATTGATACCCATTTGATGCTTTCTGAGGAAGAACCAAAAGTGAAAACTTTATGTGATACTCAAACTTGTGATGAGTATAACTGAGATATTTTTATCTATCCAAAAATGAGGAAATTGATGTAAAATTGCTAAATGATTTAAAACTGTATCATGATAAGTTACATGCAAAGACATAAGTTGCAACTGCTTAAAACAAATTTCTACTATCTCTCATTTCAACTAAATAAGTATGTAACAATGACAAAGACATGTACATGTATCAAATTTCTTCATTGATCCCTTAAAATTAATATTAAGGTCAATAGTTATTATAGATTTTTTATTTATTTCTATATCATAGCAATTATTTTAAAACATTTTCTGGTGTCAGTCTCTGTTAGTAGTGTAAAACGGGCAATTTTTTCAGTCTCAAGAGTGTCTCTCTAACTGAAGTTTCACTGTAATTAAGGATAAAGTATTAATTTTTATCCAGAGAAGTATATAAGGGATAATAGGAAATATGATACATGTAATAGATGACATAATTCTGATGGTCCCATTTCTGAACTAACAAGTTTGATTAGCTTGACAGGAGAAAGTGTTATCAACAGTGATGATTTTGTAATTATTGGCAAGAATGGCTAATAAATGATGTGACTAAAAGATGAAAAGTTTATGTGATACTCAAATTTGTGTTGAGTAACTGAGATATTTTTATCTATCCAAAAATGAAGAAATTGATATAAAATTGCTAATGGATTTAAAACTGTATCATGATAAGTTGCATGCAAAGACATAAGCTTAAAACACTTAAGACTGCTTAAAACAAATTTCTATTATCTCTCATTTTAACTAAATAAGTATGAAACAAAGACGTGTACATGTATTAAATTTCTTTATTGATTCTTTTTGTACTGTAAATATAATTTTATTAAGTTTAAATAAATATTAAAATAAATAGTTATTATAAATTTTTTAATTGTTTCTATATCATAGCAATTATTTTAAAACATTTTCTGGTGTCAGTCTTTGTTAGTAGTGTACCCTACTTATAAACAAGCAATTTTTTCAGTCTCAAGTTTGTCTCTCTAACTGAAGTTTCACTGTAATTAAGGATAAAGTATTAATTTTTATCTAGAAAAGATTGTGCTCCAGAAAAAAATTTGGATTTCAGGATTTTTCGCTTACTGCGATCCGGAAGTCCAAGATCCAGAAGTTTAAGAAATCATCGATCGCATTCATGTGTAAAAATTCTTGTATATTTTATTTAAAAATGAACTAAATTTATACTTGGTATCTCTTTCATTTGCAAATATTTTTTTCTGATTGAAGAATAAATGTGATTAGAGATAAAATAAACTTATACATAATTATTCATTTAAATTATACTACATCTAATTTATTTAGAATATCATTGTAGGGTATCTACCACTATTGAAATATAATTCCAATTCCCTAGTATATGAGACATGTTAACTCAATTCTATGAAGGGGTACTTTTTCATAATTAGATGCAGTCTTGACAGTAACATCCACTTCGATCTGAACACACCTATTTCGATGGATGGTCCACATTGAACAGTTGAATTGCTACATGTGACTGCGACTCAGTCTGGATCACACTCAACATATTCACTCGATTGCTAAAGGCAACACAGGAGCGACCACGCCCGTTAGTTTAATACAGCACTCAAAAGTACGGCGATCTTAATACAGCTCTTCCGGCTTCTCACAAAACAGCAATCAATCAACTAGTAGTATACGTTCATCAAATTCTATCACAGATATAATTCTGGTGGGGTAGTACTGTTGGGTATCTATCATTACTGAAATATAATTCCAATTCACTAGTATATAAGACATGTTAACTCAATTCTATGAAGGGGTTCCTTTTCATAGATGAAGGTTGACATTGTCGATAGCTACCATCCCCACAACCATGTTTTGAAAATATAAGTGATTTAAATTTATAAAGACATCTTTTGAAGTGTGCCATTAATGATTTTACTGAAGAAATTTTCAGGACCTTTGAGTTGAGCTCACAATCACCCCTGTTTAATTTTATAACTGTAGATGTTTGAATTTGAATTATTAATTTTATCTTTTAATTGCATCATTTTGAACTTTGTATCCAATATATTTTAATGTATGTTATTTGTTTTTACTTAAAATCGAACATATTTGACTTTTATAGCCAATCTGGATTGTTGTTTCATGAAATGTTTACAGCCTTGAAAAAGCTAGTCAGTAGTCATGACGCGCCATCCAAAGGTAGTCCTCCTCCTGGTGTTCAGGCTATGGGTCTCAACTTGCAAAGAAAATTTGCAAAAGGGGTACAGTATAACAGTAAGTTTTCCTTGTTCAAAAAATATTTTATTAACAGAATTTTAAAACTCATTATATTAAGTTATTTTAGCTAATAAAATAAAATAGCAGCCTTTAAATGTAATTCTGATAAAATTTTGTTGTACAATGTACGAAAAAGGAGCAAACAAGCACCTTAAAAACTTTTGAAATAATAGTTGAATTTTTATGTATTTGGGCACACTTTAATACAGCCAGGAATTAACTTTTAATAATCTAACTATATCAATGCAGATGATATTTTTAGTTAAAAAATTAAACAAAGAAATGGACTTTCTCTGAATAAATGTAAATTTTTTTGTTGTTTTGTTGGATTATTGAGTTTCAAATTATGGTACTTCAGTTTTTTTAGGAGAGTTGTTGTAAGTTTGGGTTTTTTAATGTTAATTTAACTATTAACATACCTAACCATATGTTAGAAAATTTTAAAGTAAACTAAAATTTTCTTCCTTGCAATTATACAATCCATCATTTATTCAAAAATAATTTTATTTAAAGTATGATTTTCAGGAATTACTTATTATTTTATTTAACAACTGTTGAAATTTTTTTCAATTGAAAGATGATTGCAAAATCCAGAATTTGTAAAGTAAGCATACTTGTTTAATAAAAATGCAAATGTGGAACACTTGCAAAGATTTTTTCACCTGTAATTCTTACCCCTACTTAAATCAGAATTCTCAAACACCTCTTGATGCCAGATTTAGACATTGGTGATCCTAGGCAGTTCATGTTATATGTACCTTTCTCATAATAAGCTTGTTAATTAAGTATCTTCAAATTTTTGGGATATTTTTTTAACTTTTCTATGATTTTTAGGGCTATTTCATGATCATTCATTTAAGTTTTAAGACTTTTTTTTTAGGTTGTATTTCAGTAAAATATAACCAGTTTATAACTAGTTTCAAAGTGAAACATTCTTATAAGATTTTGGTGAAATGAAAAAAAAAGAAAAGAAGTTATAGTTAAAATATTATTCCATTTTTATATAAAATTTATTTTTAAAAATGCAGTTTATTTTTATTTCCTGTATTTTTTTCTTTATATGTTATATAAATCCCTCTATAACTTATCTCTTACTTTATTTGTGTATTTACATTTAATTACTGTCATGCTTATTTTATATTATTTTTAAATAATTTTTAAAATAATTTAAAAATAATTAATTAATAATTAAAGTAATATTTTTTAAAATTATTTTTAAAATAATTGCAAAAGATAATACATTTGTAATTTTAAAATGCTTAGACTTATTTTTAAACTTCTCTGAAAAACCTTTCAGTGAAAATCATTATAAAAGGTGATAGAAATGTTGGAAAATCTTGTTTGTTTGAACGCTTACAAGGAAAAAAATTTGTCGAAGAATATCTCCCTACTGAAGAAATACAAGTAATGTATACAATTTATTGTTTTCCTTTTTGTTTTTGGTGTAATTTATATGGAACATCCATTCATATTTACATTTATGTCACTCAGGTAGCTAGTATTCAGTGGAACTATAAAGCTACAGATGATATTGTGAAAGTAGAAGTGTGGGATGTTGTAGACAAAGGAAAGAAAAAGAAGAAAATTGATGGCCTCAAATTGGACAATAAAGTTACTGAGGTATTTTAGACAAATATGGAAACTTTTTAAATGTTGGTAGATTCAAATAAAAATTGGTACTTTATCATGTCACAAAACATTGTCAATATTATAAGTCACAATTTGTCAAGTTAAAGCAAGAAATGAAACAATAAATGCATTAATTATAGAAGTTTTTATTTATTTATGTTATAAAATATGATTATGTTAATTTTATGTTGTGTAGATTTAATAGTTGTGTTCACTTTTTGAGGTCATAGTAATTGGTTGAAAATAAATAGTCAACTATAATAAGTAGAAGTTTAAAAAAAACCTGATGTTTATGATATGTTAACATTATAATTGTATTCCTTTTTTAAAATCAATGATAATGAAATAAGAAAGAATGATAAATAACTGTTGATGAAACAATCTGTAATGTTGTAATAGTGCCGTGATGGCATATAGGCTTATCATAGTCCCCTATAATGCAGAAACATCAAAAAATCTTTATGAACTTTTGAAAAGTCTTTAGCTATGATTATAAAACCTCATCTAATTACTTAACTAATATTTTAATCATTATTGTCTTGGTAAATATTTTTCTTTTTTACTATTCAGCAGGTACCTGAAGAAGCTGCTCTTGATGCAGAATTCATAGACGTTTATAAGGGTACTAATGGCGTTATCATGGTGTTAGACATCACTAAACAATGGTATTGTAAATCTTGATCTGGTTGCTATGATCTTGTAATTATATTTATTCAATTTAAGTAACTATATCTGGAATGGTTGAGACTTTTTCAAGTCCGGAAATTAGATTTTTCCTGACAATAGCTCTTTAACTTAAAGACCTTTCATCTGGAAATACCTATTTCCTATAGGTACTTAATTATCTTGTATATACGATTTTGTAATAAATTGCAAACATTAAAAAAAGGAAAATCTTATCTGGGCATTCAAACTTTATTATGAAATAAAGCATCTAAGTAAATAAGTATCATATATAATACAAATGTTTTTTACAGATAGAAAAGCTATGTTTGCGTTTTTTACAGATGAAAAGCTATTAGATTGAACATTAGTTTATTTTCTTTAGGTGTCATAGATTAAAGAAAGTAATTTATATATTATTTATTCCTTCTTCAAAATCGTTAAAGAAATAATTGACACTATTACCGTGTGGTTTTATCGATTTTGAAACTCTTACCTTTTGCTTAAAGATATGTTAGCAGTTGCTGGTGAGGACAGATTAATCTTTATTGTTTTTTTTTTTTGATTTCGTACCATTGATAAGCTGCCGCAAGGCCAAGATGACTATCTGAATTACCAGAACGTTCGTCATCCATTAAGCATCTTCTTTGGCACTACAGCCCGAGACAGGCCAAGGCCATCTCAATAAGTTTTTGCCACCTTGCCCTGTTAGTCACTATTGTCCTACATCTTTCAGCACATACATAAAGCTACTTACAGGAAAATTCCCTTTCACTAAATTTTAATTCCACTTTTTTAAGGTGAACTAACATCTTTTTAAACATATTGATCTTTATTTTTCCATTATACCCTTACTTATGCATACAACTAGACAAACTACTTTTACAGTTCTGTAATCCAACGTTAAAGTTCTCAAACAAGCCCAATTATTCTTAGAATAATTATTGCATAATTATTTATGAGCTTGAGATAACTAAGAATGATCGAAAAAGCTGTTAAATACTACTAATTCTAAGAAGAGTAAAGATAGATAAGGTTGTATAGTAAGAGGCTGCTATAACTTGGAAGAAACTTTTCATGAAATTTTGTTTCACCTCCATTAGTATTTTAAAATTTAAATGAAAAGAGAGAGTTCAGGTAAACATAGAGTGAACCATGAAGTTTTAAATGCTGAAAAAATGTTTTCAAAATGTAAACAAACTATGGCCAATGTACCAAAATGCAAACAAATTGTGGCAGGATTACTTCACTACTGCATAATCCTAGCATAATTTGTTTGAATTTTGTTATTTTAAAATAATTTTCCAGAACTTATAACTTGATGATCCATTAGGTTTGCTCGAATTTTTTTCCTTTTTTTTCTGTACATTAAATTATGTATACATAGTTGCAAAGTGTCCTGTTTTTTTAACTAAGTCTCCTGTATTTTAAATCTTTTAACCGTATATTTCCAAATTTCTCGGCATTTGCGGAAGAAATAAAAATAAAAATATAATAATTTGGCGATATATCTGCTGATGGCAAAAATATTTCTCTTATTCCTTTACAGATGGTGCTGTTGCCAGTACTGCAGTATGTTGAGTGTTTATAATGGTTTAAAACATCTTCTTAAGATTAAGATTTATATGCATATTTTTCACTTTATTGAATTTAAATGCTTATATTACTTCCAATTTTGAATTTCTCTTTTTGACTTACATGATTATGCATTATGTATCAAAACTACTCGTAGCCTAAAAAATGTTGCAAGTAAAATCTCCGTTATTTTATTTCTCCAATGTTGGTGGGTATGCCTATGTAGATGAAAGTGAATTTAATTAAAAAGGCTTTTATTGTTAAAAAGACTATTGTCGTAAACAATTATTATATAAATATAAACTGTAACATGTAAATTTTGCAGGACCTTTGCATATGTTCAGCGAGAACTGCCACTTGTTCCTCACCACATTCCAGTCTTAGTATTAGCTAACCATAGGGATATGGGGCATCATCGTACTGTAACAGAAGACCAAGTGAAATTCTTTATTGAAGGGTTGGAAAGGTAAGTATTTAACAAAGTGTTCATGTACAACACGATCTATATAAATTACATTTTGTAATGAAAAGGTATCTATTTTTTTTCAGACCAAGAGACAGTGCTCAAATACGGTATGCAGAAGGCTCAATGAGAAATGGTTTCGGATTGAAGTACCTTCATAAATTTTTTAATCTTCCATTCTTGCAGTTACAAGTAAGCACAAATAAATATATTTTTTTAAAAGCTTAAATCTCTCCCATAGATTTTGGTTTGACAGGTCAATAATGCCTTATTTTTATTTTATTAAAATTGATTTTATGATCAATAAAAACTGTTTCATTGATCCATTGAAATTGATCTATGGTACCTCAACATATCTAATGGCTTCATTGATCTATGGGACCAAATCATATATGTCTGGGATCATTCTCTCATAATGGCAAATTTTATGTCTTTAGATAAAAAAAAATGTCAGTTAAGTAAGAGCCAGGATGGCTCTGGGGATATAGTGTTCGACTTTCAATGAGGTGAACCGGGTTCGAATTCCAGTGATAGGTGGTCGATATGAATTCGCATTTGGCTTGCACCGACCACAGTGCTGATGTGAAATATTCTCAGTGTGGTAGGCAGATCATGGGTTAGAGTCCCTTCCCTGTCAGGCTAACCGTGGGATGTTCTTTTGGTCTTCCTGTCCATGTAACGCAAATGCAGGTTAGTTCCATTAAAAAGTCCTTCACAAAGGCAAAATTCTTCCAATACTTGATCGAGAAGTTCCCTTGTCTTCTAGATTGGGTTCAAAATTACACGCCTATGGAGTTGAACATTAGTAGTCATAAGCCAAACAGATTGGGTTAGCTGTTCAACAACCGTTATAAAATTTATTAAAAAATTAAGTGAGTTAACATGAATGTTTAAAATTATCATTAACAATACTCTATGCACAAGTTTCAATATCAAAATTTCAATATTTAGGAAACTTAAGTATTGTAAATTTTATTAGCAAGGCTTGTCCCTATTTTATTATTTGAACTTTTTTTTAAAGGAATTGGTGAGTTTAAAAAAAGAAAACAGTTATCTAGTTATATTTCTTTTTTTCTATAATTGATTAATTTATAATTTATTCATTTTTCATTACTTTGTTCAACTTATTTTATAATTATTTAATAATTGATTTTACTAATGATAAAATTCTATTAATTATTTTTATTTAAAATTTTTATGTATTTTCAATATATCTCTACTACTCATATTTCTCAAACTGATTTAAAGTTCAGCACCACATGTTGTTACAAGTAGGTTATTTCTAACTTTAGTTTAAGTCAAAACTATTTTGCTATTTTTGCTTTAAATCTGTCTATCATTACAAAGTCCATTTTTGTGGAAATTTCTAAAAAATTATCTAATTGATTTATAATGAACTTTGGGGCTATATTCAAAATAAATATTGAATTCGATTTATTATTATAATTTAACCCTTAATGGTTAACATGACATGACTTCTAAAATGACATGGTCTAAGGATATTGATTGTGTCAGCTATTTTTATTTGGGATGTCACCAAATTTTGCTGAAATAAATATTATTTGCAAATACATTGCTGATGCAAAAAAAAAGAGAAAAATAAGTGTAAAATTATTTGAAAAAATAATAATAAATAAAAAGCTTTAATTAAAACCATTAACATTATGTGAGAATGAATTAATGATGCCTTTAATTAGAACATAGTTAATGCAGCTGTGCTTATGAGTTCTGTTTAAGTAAAATTTTGATAGTACATTATACTATGACACATGACCTAATCATGACCAAGCCCAATATCAGGGCTCAATCTTTATATAGCATAAAAGGGGTAGAAATTAAAAAAAAAAAAAAAAATAGTTTTTAGTCCAAAAATCCAGTAGTTAAAAGATGGTAGGTGCTAGTTAATTAGCAAGTTTGCTTACATGTTTCTAATGATATTATTTGTAAATTTTTTTTTTAAAGTTAATAAAGTGAGTTTAAATTAAGAATGCAGTACATAGTTGTAAAGCTACAATTATTATGAAATTGACTTTATTTACGGAAATACAAACCAATACATGGAATTGGAAATAAAACCCTAAACAGTATATCCCTTTATATCGATGCTGGTCCAAAGGACTACTGATCATTATTTTAAGGTGATCATGCCAAATTTTAGTTATCTTGAATCGTCGCTAATTTCAAGCCACTTTTAATGGTAACAATGTATCATTGACTATTTTCTAAACTAACATGCATATATTTTTTTAAAATTATAGCTTCAAATCTTATTTTTAATAACATTGCTTATAATTGTAGAACTTTGTGTAGTGTTTCCATTATTACAGTTGATTTTCTAGTTGTTGATATCACCTTAATTTTCAGAAAGAAACTTTATTGAAACAACTTGAAATTAATAATAATGAAATTCAAGCTACTGTTGAGGAACTTGATTGTTTGTCAGAATCTGAAGAGCAAAATTATGATGTGTAAGTTTCAAGCTGTTAAAAATTCTTTGTTTGTGTAACAGGCATTTTTTAAAAACTTTAATACCTAGATAAATCAAGCTTTCCTGTAATTAATCTGCTATAATTTATTTTATTTAAAATGTCAAAGTGTATGAAACTTGAAATATTTTTTTATTTTGTAATTTTTAAACATATGAGTTTTTTTTTCATTTTAAAGCCAAATTAATATTTTTTTAATTATACTAAGGCTTAGCAATGAAATCGGTATCAATTTATATAAAAGTTTGATTTCATCACAGGGCCTTAAAATTAACATTTCGTATTCGTCTCTCTTACAAAAAAATTGTGAATATAGTTAAAAAAAATTTTTTAATCCTCATTGCATTTTTATGACTCATTTATGTGTTTTTGTCTTAGCTTTTTAGATAATTTGACAAATCGTCGTCGACAAGTTGCTGAGCAACTTTCTCAACTATCATCGCCATCCATTGAATCTGTGAATGCTTTTTCAGTAGGACAAGTTAATGGTTCTCATGATTTATCCCCTTCTACTCCAAGTAAGCATCATTTTCTTTTAATGTTTATCACATTTGAATTATTGTAATTGTACATTTTGAGTTATATTGTTTTCAGTATTTTAAAAGAGCATTATAATTCAATATTAATTTTACAATTATCAGTGATATTTTTATGACTTCGAATTACGAAATTTATGCATGCAATATAACATCATAAAAGTTAAATTTTTGAAAATTAAGTAAATCTTATAATTTACAATGGGGGAAGAACTTTTTTGCTTTAATTTTGTCATATAACATAGGTAAAACCTTTTAATAAAAGTTAATTGGGCAAACCAATTTAAAGGCTTTATATCATATCAATGTTGTTATACAGTAGGGATGCACAATTTATAGTACAAAACTAGCCCCCAACGACTTTTGACTTTGCCCTGCACTGACTGAAATATTTGTAAAAATTGAAAGAAAAATTATATCAGAAGGCAATTTTTTTTTGGTCATATATTTGGTCCTTTTGGTCTGTTACAGTAATTTGTTATTTTAATTGAGATTTTTTTCAGAATATGAAAAATAGGTGATAGGTGGAATGTTTATGAAAGAATGTAATTTCTTACAAATTTCTACAAATAAATTTGAAGAGAAAAAATAAAATTTCTGAAATAAATAAAGATAAGTATATAACAAGCAATAGAATAAATTTTTATTTCAAAATTTTAATCCCTACTATCACATTAATATGTTACTGCACAAATTTTATTTTTGATAAAAGTAACTTTTGAGGTAAATGGTGGTTGTGAAATTTTTTTGCACCCCTTGGTATATCTATAGATTTGTCATAAGATTTTTCTTTAATTTTGATACTATTTGCTTAGATTTTAACCCACTGACGGTTCTGCACGTAAAATGTCGTATTTTAACCTGCAGTCTTCATGGCATAGCAAAACCAGTTTTTCTATGTTATTAGATAGGGAATTAGTGCATCGGGGAGAAACATTCTCCTAATCTTGTCCTTTTGTTAAACCGCCAGTGGGTTAAATATTACATAACATATGCATTTTATATGCATAACTTACATTACATGCATCCAAGTGAAAAATTTTGCTGCGCATGTAAACATTTATATTGCTTTCTATTAGAATATAAATTCAGCTTGCATTTTCTCTCATTGATAATTTTATGCAAACATTGGCCCGGACATAGTATTAAGTAGTTTTTGTAGCTTGCTGTTCAAACTTGGTTATGCATCCCTGTTATACAAGGTATTCAAAAATTCATGCAAGAAATACTTTTGATGTAAAAAACAGTTTTATGATTAAAAATTGTTAATTTTTTATTAATTCATAAAGTATACAGTATACTTCTGTGAAATAAAAAAATCAATGTAAGTAACAAAAAATTCAAGTCAAAGATTTTTACACACTTTCGGCATTTTTGTATGGCACACAACATAATAATAAAATGAAATAAAAAACCAACTTTTTATATCAGTTATCTAAAATTCTACTTTAGCCTTGATAGTATTAGCAAGGGAAAGAAAATTACCAAGCCCCTTTTCTTGAATTTTATCATGAAGCACATGCATTGTTTTTTTTTTTTAATTGAACAGCATGACCTATGTATAGTTTGTCTAAAGTAAGAACTCCCCTAGCCAGACGTCTGAACTCGTGGTGGTGAGTATAGTAATGAGGTATAACTATTTCAAGGTGTGGGTTCACTGTTTAGGATAGGGTTTGGCTCAAATTGGCGAGAGAAAGGAAATCTTTCTCTTCGTTCAATTGTGTTAGCTCTAGAGTGAAGAGAAGCTACCCTCCCTGAAATGTGCTATTCTTGTTTCCATAGCACCAGACGACCTCATATTTTGTGGTGGGGGGAGTTCTTACCGTAGACAAACTATAAGGTTAAGCATATTGAGTAAATAGCTCTATAGTTTTGTTTACACATATGCATTCTATCGCTGAAACTCTCAATGAGTTACATATTATTGTGGTTAAATTTTATTGATGTAGCACTCAGTTTCTTCTTTCAAAGTGTAGATGATTGTTGGCCCAACTCTTTGATAAAATATGTTTTTGTACTTTGGTTTGGTTTATAATAAATTGTTTTTGTATTCAAAATGTGCTAAAGGGAATTAGTGTTAAAAAAATATAAATCATTCAATAGCATGATTTGGATGAGTAGCATGATTTGGCATGGAATCCAAATAAGCAATCAATTTCTATTTCCATGTAGTTTCGTTTAATTTAGTTGGAAACCTGGCATAATCAACATTGTTAGTATTTCATAATTACTTGTAAAAATAGATGAAAATATGCTAAAAGGTTAAAAGGAAAGCTCAGTTAATAAAGTTTATAGTGTAGTTGTTTTTTTTTTCTCCTCTTGTATGATATTTAAGGGAAAATCTGCTATCCAGAATCATTAGGACTTCAGGAAAGAAGATGATTAATCGATAGACAGAAGATTTAGATAATAGGTCTTTCAGATAAACAAGCATCGAAACCTGTGTTAATTAAAAAAAAAAAAAGAAATAGTTGATAATGTAAATTTCATACTACATTTTCTTATAGGTGGATGACTTTTAATTAACTAAAAATGTTTAGTGTGATAAAGTATATGCGTATATAATTAAAAATAAAGAAATAAAAGTGAGCAGTGATAAATTAAAACTTTCTCTTTTATGAACAAAAAGACATTTTTCTCTTCTTTTTTTCCCATATGATGTGAAGGATTAGCAACATTGATAATCAACTTAAAATAATATTAAAAGATTCTCATATACCAAAAGCAAAATAATTTACTTTGAGGAACTCTAAGCTAGATAATAAAATGTAAAACAAGGAACAGAATTAAAGAAATTGTTTTAACGAAGAGATTTATAATTTAAAGGGAAACAAAGCTTGTCTGCTGTTGTTCTTTTTAAACACTATTAATGCTCGGCTTTATGGATGTCGCAACGAGGCACCCTTAAGTCAATAATTAGAAATATCTAAAAGTCTCCCTTAATATTTTAGACAAATAGAAAGAAAAAATTCATAAATCTTAATTGATTTAATTTCAGTAAAGATAAAAACAGATAAAAATAATTATTCTTTCTGCAAACATATGGTAGGTATAATAAATCTTTTCGTTTTATGTATGAAATTTAGAGAACTATTGTGACTGAGTATTTTAATTTTGTCCCGCTCAAAAATTTAACCCTTGCAATGCCCATGTTTAGCTTCATTAATATTCATAGTTTATTCTTTTTCTAAAAATGTATATCCTTTCAGCCTGGCTATTGAAACAGAATAATTGTTTTTCTATCGAGATGCAAGAAATGAAAAAATAAAAAAAAATTGTTAAGATCACTGGAGCATATTTTTTTTAATGAAAAATTAAAAGAGATTAGTTTGTTTAAGAGTGTTTGAAAAATAGACATTTTTGATAAATGGACGTCCAGATATAGGAGTTGGTACTATTTTTCTATATTTTTTTCCAGTTTTCTCTCTTATGGTGCTACATACATTCTTTTAATCTTGCCTCTATTAGCAATTAATGAAAAATTATTCTTGTACGATATTAACAAAAAAGTACGATATTAACAATTATAAAGTACAATATTAACAATTTCTAGTAAATGATAATGTTTAATAACAGTTCCTATGTTGCTACTAATTATTTTCATTAAATTTTATCTTTTCTAGATAATTATCCACTCCCACCGCAAATTGCATCTAAAAGTGTTTCAATGCCTGCCAACTTATCCCAAGCCAGTAATGAAAATCAACATGCACCTGTTGTTATTATTCCACCTGTACCACTGGCTACCCCTTCTAAAGTAAATAGTTTTTTTTTTCATACTTATTTTAAAGTTTGGTTTTTGATAACTTGTTTGAAACTTGTTTTTAACATTACAAGTGTTAAAAACTGCATAAAACCATTCAAAACTCTGCAAAATCTAGGGTGATAGTTATGCAATTATAGTGTGTGCAAAGATTTTATAGTATAATTAAAAATTTAAATCACAGTGATTTCATGTTGATAGGCTTCAGCCTATTGTATTTAAAATTTAAATTATCACAATGTGCAGCATATTTGATTAGATGTTTTGATTTCTTTTTACTCATTTATATTTAATTCCTTCAAAAAAAAAAAAAAAAAAAANAATAAAAAAAAAAAAAAAAAAAAAAACTTTCATGATTACTGAAATCATATTGGATAATTAATAGAAATTTATTTTCACTTAGAAGCGTTGTGAATGGGGATTTGTGGAGCTTCTTGCTCTCTCTGCCCTTTTAATTATAGCCATGAACTTTAATGCTATCTTTCCCCGGAGTTCTTTGGTACCTCTTGCATATTTGGTATCATTGTGCATTACTTTGTAGTGCTTTCACATAAACTGAATTTAGTAGTACAAGATGCACTGATAAACATACAAAGATTATTCTATCCATATTTCACATAAATTTGACTTGGTAGTGTGCAATTACATGGTAAATGTAAAAACATTGTTGATAAGCATAGTCTATTGAAATGTGTTGTGTTAATTTTTGAAATGAAAGTTATCTTCAAATTCTGTATTTCTTTCATAATTCACTCATGGTCACTAAAATCAAAAAGATTTTAAACTTGTTGAAAATGATGAATATAACGCAATATTTTAAACACTATGAAAGATAATTGGAATTATTGCTGTAAATAGGTAGCCAAATTTTGATTATTAATGAAAATATTCGTGAAGAAAGGAGGTTTGTGATATCAAAGAGTAGGGTTTAATAAATTACTTAGGAATTATTAAATAAAAAAACTACGAATTATTAAATTCTATGTAGAAGGTGATAAAGGGAACATTTATGATTGCTTTATATAATTTAATATTTTATTTTAAGCTAATTTTTTAAATATGGATAAAAAACATGTTTTTCTATCCTTGTAAGAAGGGTTTTTGACAATGAAGCATTTTTGCCTTCTTTGTATCTTCCTTTTTTTGTATTTACTTGATGTTGAACACAGTTGATAAAATGTTTTATTTGATAGTTCCCTTATGCTTTTCACATTTTTAGCCAAATTTATACTTCTGATACTTTAAGTGGACCTGAATGATAGGCTTCACCATGCTATGTGCTGTAAGCAGAGGGTTAAAATGCCCTTTTAATTTTCGACAAACACCACCCCAGCATCTTTTAATTGTATTTATATATAAATTAGTTATCTCAAAAGCAGAATCGGAATTATAATTTATAATCAATATCGTCAATATATTGCTTTGAATAAAAATCAGCAAAATTGATGATTAAAATTTGATTTAAAAATGATAGACCTTGGACCTTGTAAATTTTAAAAAGTGGTAATGAAAATTAAACAAATGTCTATAATTTAATTTCTATGTGACCACCACTAGAAATTGTTTTCCAAAGAAAGTATATTTGTATTAAAATTCCAGCTTTTATACAAATTAATTAACAAAGTGGTATATTAAAATAAGAAATATCTTCTCGTATTAACCTTAAGTTACTACCACTACTAAAATTTCTCAAGTACTGCTCGAACCCTGGATAGAGTACATGTGAAAGCGTCTCAAAATTTTTGATAAACTTTAAAAAAAATTCTTTTTTTGAATGATCACACTGTTGTTAATGTGTGTATTATATGTATTGTTTTTACTAAACCTTCAAAAATGCTAATTAACCTGATAACTGTTATGTCATTATTTTTTAAGGAAGCTCCGAAAAAAGAGTCTGGTTTTATTTCAAGACTTCTCAACAAATCTTCAAGCCCACCTGTACAGCCTTCCTCATCTGAAATGCCTTCCACAAATGGTGTGTATCTTTACTCACATCATTATCCTTCCACAAATGATAGTCAATGTTTGAAATATTATTTAATTTTCCAAGAATAGCATCTTACTAGTTTTGTGGAGTACCTTTAGTATAAGAAATGATTTTGAAAGTATTAACTCAACATTCATGGTAAACTTTTTTTTAAAAAATAACAAATTTAATTTTAAAGGCTAAAGCATAGGTCCTCAATTTTTTTTTTTTTTTTTTTATTTCCATCTACTTTGCCTGTGAAATGTTTTTTAACTATTTATTTATTTATTTTTTTTGAAAAATATATATAATAAATGAATAATTTGTAAAAATTAATAACTCTCTTTGTTTCATGTTAAGACTTTTAATGTTTTTGTTATGATATATTTTTCTTGCACTAAATTGACGCTAAATTTTTCTTTTATGTTATAATAATTTATGCCTTTAAGTTCTTGAAAAAGGTATCTAATTACTGATAATAATTCTGGAGAAATCTTTTATGCTAGTTTTGATGAAAACAACTCATGAGTAAAAATTTTAAGCATCTGCCTAAAAATATATTCTGCATATCACTTTGCAGTTTAAATTAAATACTTAATTCAATATTATTTTTATTGAAAGAAAATGTTGAAAAATGAAATCTTGTATAAATGCTATCAGGTCAACATGCAGTCCAGTGTCTGCATGTTTTAGTATAGTGTATCATATTTCAAAGCAAATCACAGTTGTGTTTTACAAGTTAGGAACAGGAGATCTAAAAATAATTATTTTTTTATAATATTCCTTTGAATTATTAAATATTTAATTTAGAATGCATGTTTAGTTTAGTTTAATAATTTATTAGCATTTGAGACAAAATTTAGGCAAGCCGCTAAGACTAAAGAGTTAAATTGACGCAATCTTTGTCCCGTTCGATGTAATAATTTAAATTGATATTACAATGTTTTCTTGCCATTGTTCAAAAGCCAGTTTTTCAGACAAAGAAGCAACTAAAAGATAATTTTAATAAAATAAATGCTTTAATGATAAATGTTAAGTGCTTAGTTAGAAACTTTAAAAATTGTTTGATAACAAACCGAAAAAAAAAATCTGAATTTTTATAAGTACTCAATCCCACTTTCACTTATAATTTTTTAATGAGCAGATAGAACTAATACTGCTCAAATACACATTATATTGCCTCCTTAAATATCTTCACCATGGCTAATGTTGCTCGCCGCTGTGGCTCAGGTTCACAAGTGCTCAATGGGTAACGTCATATGAGCCACACTTCCGGCGTCATCCGTGACAAAGAACCTAATAGTTTAGTATCGACCATTAGAAGAAAATAACTTTGTTTCTACTCTTGTTATATCATTTTTCATTGTATCAAGCATTCAGTTTTATCTCTCTTTTATGTTTCTCAAGGAGACAAATAAAACTCGAGAGACTTCAGTTCCTTGAGATTTCTTCTAAACTTCAAAAATTCTAAGAATTTCAGAAATGTTTTTAAGCTGAAAATGAAAATTACCTTTTTTTGTGTGAATTTATTGCATTTTAATGTACAAGATTTCACAATTAGAATGAAGTCTAAAAGAATTTATTTGGGAAAATTGGGACTTTATTGTGTACATAGCTGATAACAATATAATTAATAGAAATACAGACTATGACAAAGCACTATTTTGTCTTTTCTTTATATAAGCATTTAAATTTCATGCTGAATAAACAACTGCTTTCTAGAAGTACTATGATTTTTTTGCATTTATTTAAAAAACAGAAGCCTTGCTACTTACAGAGGGGGTTAGGATATTTCAATTTGATTCCAAGTAGTTAAAAATTGGTACTTCAAGTCTATTAGTTTTGATTTTTATTGCCTCTACCTCATTTAGCTTTATTTGACTTACAAGTCATTTATCAAAACAAAGCAAACAGCTGTGTTTGAAATATATTAACTAAGGTAATATGTTTTCTTTCCAAGTAGTTCTTAATTAACACTACAGATTTCTTTTTCAAGTGTATTAGCTTTAATTGCTATGGCCTTTTACTTTATTGTATTTTTGACCATTACCATGATTTTGAAATTTAATTAATTAGCTTTTTAACTTACACCTAAAGATTTTTCAAATTCTCCTTGCAGAGTCACGATGGTTGACTCAGGGGATATAGTGCTTACTTCCCATTGAGATGACCCAGGTTTAAATCCCAGCATTGACTGGGCAATACAAATTCTCTGCTTCCAGCTCGTACTGACTATTATGCTGACATAAAAAATATCAGTGGTAGACAGATCATAGTCTAGAATCGCCTTGCAATCGGGCTAACCATGGGAGGTTATCATGGTTTACCTCTCCATGTTATGCAAAGGCAGGTTTGTTCCATCAAAAGTTTCTTCACGAAGGCTAGTTTGCCCCAATGCTTGATACAGCAGTTCCTTTGTCTCCTGGATTGGGTTCAAAATTACAAGGCTATGGAGTTGAACAGTGACTGTGATAAACATAGAATTGGGTCGACTGTTCAGCACCAGTTATGAAATAAAATGTAAAATTCTTCTTGTATTTGACACAAGTCTTTATTCACAACTTTTAATTTTGCCTTATCTTGTGAATCTTCTCAAATTTACTGTTATACCTAATAAATAAAAAAATAACGAAATAAATTATAAAAATTGTCTGTTTTCCATTCAAAGAGTACATGATCATTGATTGATTATTTTATGTTCATAATTTCAAAAGCAATTTATTCTTCAAGAGCAATTTTTATTTATTGACATTTTATCCTTATTGATTTTGATTTCTTTTAGAAAATTCTCCAAGGAAGGTTTCTAAACTGCCTGGGGATATTACTAATGTAGATGATTTCGTTCCTGATGATGCAGATCAAACCTTCAATTCATTTTTAGAAGAGTCCCCTAAAAAGTCAGCTGATGACATAAGAACAGAAACTCCCAAACTTGAGTCTGACAGGTATTTTTATACTTTTAGCTCTAGTTTGTCAATTTCTAATCATTTATTGCTTTTAATTTTCAGGGATGAGATTTTTCCGCTTTTTAGCGGATTTCCGCTCTTTTCACTTTTATCTCTTAAATTTCAGCTTTTTTTTTTTATCAAAAATTCAGATTTTCTAAAAATTTCATTTTTTTTTAATAAGTATTCCACTTTTTCAGAAAATTCACCGATTTTCAAAGAGAAACAGAAAATTCAAACTACATAGCTACCAATCCTTTCTCATTTTTACTTATTTTACCTATTATCTCCCCTTTTACGCGCAGCAGATAAGATTTTTCGAATTTTTTACCTGCTCTCCAGATAGATCCGATTTTTGTAGTTCAAACGACACAATTTTAAGATCAACTATCGCGATTCTTGTAAGAAGTAATTATTTTTTTAATTAGTTACTATAAAGGTGACTGTTTTTCTAACGACGATTATTAGTATATATAAATGTTACAGCATCAGAGAAACTGGAAGGGAATATATTCAAAACTTACATTCTGTGCTTGCAAAGAAGAAAAAATAGGACTTGTCAGAAGATGTTTGAAGATGGACTAACGACTAAATATAGCAAACATAAAAGATATAGCAAACAAAAGCAATCACTTAGAAAGGGATTGAATTAAAAAAAAATTATAATTGCTGTTAATTATGCTATAAAATGCAAAATTCTTATCAAATAAAAAAACAATTATCTAAGCAGTTGCTGATTGTCATGTAATTTTTCAAACTAAAATAGCAATTTTTGTATGTTAAGGAGTTACTATATATTTCTACTTCACT